ACCCCCCCCCCCCCCGCTCACAGACCGTTACAGAGAAATTAATTTCTCAGTTAATTATTTAATTATTAATTAATAAATTAATTTCTCTCTAACCGTCTGTGATGGTTTCTGAGTTCTCTGTGATAGTTTCTAGTGACTCCATACATCATAATACAGTACGTGACAGAAAAGCTCCACAGATCACCACAGACCATGACAGAAAGACTCCATAAATAATTACAGACACTGGCAAAAAGCTGCAAAGACTCACTGGCAGTGGTAGACGGATTTCAGCAAAGAAGTTTCATCGTGTTTCACCTTTTTTTTATCCCACAGGGATTGCGCTAACAGTTTTTTTTCTACCTATCATCAAATGTCACATTGAATAGTTACTGTATTACGGTCAAAAACTGAATAATGTATGTGTATTTTCTTGCTCTCAGCAGGATTTTTGGCAATAAAGATTATAAATAGAAGAAAACACGATACGCACAGAAAAGCACTAGACTTGTTGAGATGACGTGAATACTATTATGCGAAATACAAATGTACGATAAAAGGATCAAAGAGTAGCTAGTCAAACTATTGACAACAGCTTTAGGGTACAGCAGTATAAGCATCATTCGAATTTTCTATTAATATTTCCAGTAAAAAAGAAAAACAAGCGATTAATCAGACTATTTGTTGGCGTAGCTTACGCTCTAATAGTAGATTCAATGGGCAGATGTTTTTCGGTAGCACAGTAGCTCGTTGTCACATTGTGCAGAAATTTATCAGACTATCTAATAAATGACCTGTGATAAACAGTTGTTCTATATGTGAATTTACTGAGATTGTCACAAAAATATATCGTGAACACAAGTCGAACAAATTCCTCAGAATGGTACGAAGAAAAAAAGCCTACATTGTTTAAATCAAATCTTAAATTCCTAATTTACATCATCTTATCATTTATAATCGATAACAATAACTTCTATCAATGAGAACGTCGTAGTTTTCTTCAGCGCTATCTCTAACTGATTCATTCTAATTGGCAACATATTCAAGTTCTTTGTCAAATACATCCTACCCAGGTTGATCAAAACGGACTCGTTTACGGTCTGGTTATCGACGGTAAACGATGTCGAAACGGTGTATTTACGGCAGTAAATAGGCCGTATTTGCCTGTAGTACCTGGCAACGTAAACGAGACTGAATTTTCATGGTTTACAACTATTTGTGCTCTGTACTCTCATGATCATACCGTCCGTATTACTGCGCCAGATATTACGGCAAAATTTCGCCCGGAAAATAGCCGTAAAGTAATCGTAAACAGCCGTATACGGGCCGTGCTGTTCCACCTGGATAACAAAAAAGAAAAGAAAAGAATCTCTACGGTACCGAGGTTGATGAAAACGGGCTCGTTTATAGTCTGTTTGCCGACGGTAAACGATGTCAAAACGGTGTATTTACGGCAGTAAATAGGCCGTATTTGCCCGTAATACCTGGCACCGTACACACTAAGTTAAAATGTGTCGTATGTGTCGTGATTTGCGACACAACGTACGACACATTAGAGCCCGACACGAGGTGCTCGTCGCGACACATTTTGTCCAGCAAGAGCATGACACCTTCTGAAAACGTGTTTCAAACCTATCCTGCAGCGAATTTTTCAATTTTTTTCTCTTATAAGCATATTGTTGTATCTTTTTAATCTAAATTCCTTCACTTATCCCTATTCTGAGCACTCAAGGAGATCAGATCCTTGGATCTGACTGGCCTTGAACTGGTCTGATCTCTATCAGATCACTCCAGAGTAGTCCTTTCCGATCACCGATCAAGAGACGCATTTTCTCGACCCAAAATATTAGTCGAAAAATACTCTAGAAAAAAAGATAAAATAAAAAATGTATGTTTTGTATGCTCAATCGCATTCCTTATATATAGTTATGTGTGCATAAGAAAAGAGTGAATGAATAGACTGCAGAGAGAACGCAACAAATTCATTTACGCTACATTCTAGCCTCGACGGATTCTTGTGCTGGAGCTCAAGACACAATAACTAACGACACATTTTTAATGAGAGTGTTAACGGGACTGAATTTTCATGGTTTACGGCTGTTTGTGCTGCGTACTCTCATGATTATACGGTCCGTATTACTGTCCCAGATATTACGGCAAATTTTCGCCCGGAAAATAATCGTAAAGTAACCGTAAACGGACCGTACTATTAGACTTGGGCAGTATATAATCGACTATGATTTTTCGTTTTTCTTCATGATATATACATTTTTTTTATCTTTATTTTTGATTAACACTTAGCAGGAACATGCAAGTTGCTGATTTGTTTAGATAACATAGAAATTTTCTACTCACATATACTTGTGCAATTATACAAATCAATAACTTGAGAATAATATTTTGTATGAACGTAATATTACATGAGATTTTAATTCAATTTTAATAAAGTAATTACATGTAGACGTTTCTTAATGTAAAACAATTTTATTTTAATATATAATGGAAATTTTCGATCTTATACGATCATTTTCAATCTCATCAAGTAGAAATTCACACATGACTTGTACAAAAGTAGATATCTAAGTTTGTGGAATAAATTTCATATGTCATTTATGATGATTACAATACATTACACTCATATGATTTCATTGAGTTTATTCATTGAGATTGAGTTATCTTAAATTGTAATAGATTTATAAGTTAAAATCAAGTTTATGTTGTTCATGTTTATATTGTTTTGTTTTTGATGTTGAAAAATGAGTACACATAGTCAATAAATACATCAATCCAGGAGAATGTTTCCGATAGTGGGATCCTATTGGATTCGTGTCGTAATCGCATTGGATATAATATGGATTTCACTAAACCAACGAAATTCTATCGGTATCCGGGCGTAGGATCTACAATCGGAACCCTAGTGTTGGAATCTGATAGGTTCTAGTGTCGGAATTTAACGGAATCCAACATAAGCATTACATCCATGTATTCTGGTAGCATTATATGCCCAGGTCAATGATTCCGGTGGACGGATACCGTAGGAACCGACCGGAAAGATGCGGAAAAATCACCGCATCTGGCTGGAAAGTAAAAGCAGTATACAGGTCGGAAATTGACGGATTTTTTCTGGTGTATTCCGGTCATCTTCCAGTCGGAAAGCACAGGAAACTAACCGGAATCTATAGGAAAAAACTCCGGTAAATTCCGACCGGAATACTGCTTCCACTTTTCAGCGATTCCCTGTGCTTTCCGGCCGTTTCCCACCGTACCTCTACGACCTGGACGCTTATTCATTGGTAATTAAGAAAACGTTTTCTTTCTGTCGAATCCGTTAATAGGTTCGTGACCATGAATCTGATCGGATTTTGTCGGCTTGTCGGATCCCATGAGATTCGATAGGACTCACTGTCGGGTTCATGCACCCGGGTAGAACAGGATGTACGCTCACAATAGACTGAGACAGTATCATTGAATTTTGCAAGGAAATAAGTTAAAATGTAATTATATTGCTCGAATCATAAAAGACATTCATAAATGAATCTTCTCAGTGAGAACAATCTTTTCAACGTCGATAAAATAATAGAACGATTCTTATTTCATCATATTTTTATTTCGTTTCTTTTACATATATTAACAAGGAAATAGATGCTCTATATATATATATATATTGTCCTTCATTACACTGGTCAATTTTCATTAATCATATGAGAAAAGAGCTTTGTTATTTAATTTGACTTTATCATTTTGTTTTTGTTGTATAAAAAAACAAAAATTATGATTAGTAGTTAGATGTAATAGCAGGAAGAGAAAAAAAAGAGGTCACATATACATATAATATCAGACAGCAAGACAAACACCGAAGAAAACATTAGAGTAATATATAAATATATATCTGCTATAATAGTAAATTAATCATATGATGGTCGAGCAAGTATAAAATTGTCACCATAACGTTTTAGAATAGTTAAACCATCTTGTTCTAATTCTTCAACACGTTCATTGTTAACAAACTGTTGACGATGATGTGCATCATACATATATTCAAAAAATAATTCATCACCTTGAAATATAGTTTGTTTAGCATAAATACCGATACGATAATCGCCTGAAGAGAAAATTCATTCACGTCTAGTGCTCGAATAAAATTATGACGATGCTTACCATTGACTAATTTGACTTTTGGAACACAATTAGGTTTCGATGAATGATTAGCAAAGCTTAAAAAGAAAGATTATTTTAATTTATGATTCAGAAAATCTTATTAAAGTATCAATTGTTTCACGAGCTTTTATTTTGCTTTGAAATAAAACTATTCTCACGAAAGGGACGTGCTCATCTACGTCCTACTAAATATTTTTCGTTGTAGAATTTTAGTATAGCCTTTAGTTTCGAATAATAACTAACCGAATTTTACTTCCAAATTGTCTAGCATCAACGCAACGTTCTGAGTCCAGATTAAATAAATATGAACACGCTTGTTTATCATATAGTCGGCCACGTCTATCAGCTTCTTCTTCAGATATAATTTCACCAGTATATTCAGCTATTAAATCACCTGGATAAGCAACTGGTGAACCAAGAAAAGCTCCATAACCAGCAACTAAAACAATAGAAATTAAAATAAATTATAAAAATATCTTCACTTTACCATCTGATTCGCCGACAAGAATTTGTTTAAATGATTTTCTTTGTAATCCAATATTTGCACATGTAATCATTGGCATATTCAGCACTGTATTTGAACTCAACGATGTTCTTGAAGTCGTACGTTTAGATTGATTTCGAACTTGTTTATATGATAGTTCAACAGTTCGACAAGCCCGAAGACTATGTTGTCTTGTTGGTAAATTTTCATTAATTTTGGTTCGTGTACTTCTTCTTGATAATGATGATGATGATTTCCTTTGAACTCCCGTTGTTGTTGTTGTTGTTGTTGTTCTTGGTAATGGTATTTCTGGTTCTCTAAAAATGAATAGAAATCTCTTTTCCTTTTTATTTGGTAATTTTCAAAATAAATAAATTTACAATTTAACTATTGAATTAAATTCTTCGTTAGGATTGGGAAATAATGATGCACCACATTTATGACATAAATCAGGATCACATTCTCGTCCTTCAGCACAACATAGACAATTATTTAATAAACATGCACCTTTGCAAGCACAACCCGGAAATCGATGTGGACAATCAATTGAACAATTACAATATTTTTCACAATATGTACCATTTTTCATACAAGAACAATTCTTATTCGATGATACACATGGCCCATCATGTAAACATGGCTGATAAACAGGTTTTAATGTTGATTTTTTATTGTGATTATTTGAATTCATATTTTTTTTTATATGAAAAAGAAATGATCGTGTTGCACCTTCCAACATTTTCCGCCTATATGGTTGTCGTATTGAAAATTGGAAACTATTGTTTAATGATATACGTTCAGAAAAATATTTAGCATCGACGATAAATTGTTGATACATATCTTTACATGTTCGATTATCATGAAATATTTGTTTAACTAAACATAGATCACCATGAAATACAAAATAAAATAAACGAAATAAACTTCGATCTGTTAATGTCCAATTATTAACTGAGAGATTATCTTGTTGTTGACCTGATTGATTAAAATATTGAGTTATCATATGATTTTCTATACGTGTTAATAAATTTTGTGACGAAAGTTTCTTTTGATTTTCTATTGAATGATAATGTTGGTCAACACATTGATTTGTATGAAGATTTTCATTACGAGGAAAATTAAATTTTGCTGATGATGACGAATGATTTAATGAAGTTGATTTACGTTGACGTTTTCTAACATTTTCATGCAGTTCAGATGAAGTTTGAGAATAATTATGTTGTTGTTCATTAATATGAGATGGTGATAAAGAACGTTTTAAATATTCACGTTCATGTTTATAACATGTTGAACAGCACGGTGATGATTGATGATCGTTCGAGATACAGAATTGTTTTGGTAATTGAAGATGTGAAGGCTTCTCTGTGTGTAACAAACAACTATTAACAAGCAAAAAAATAGATGAGAAGTGAAATTTTGAGAATGCTGAGCAAAACAAATCAGATACTATGAACTAAAAGAGATTGTCATATGAGAAATAATACTTCGTGGAAAAGCCTATTCTTTATTTTCTGTATAAGGCTGATATTATGATCGTTTTCTAGTTGATTTTCTTCAAGTGCCCTGATTTTGTACTATGATGATAAGCTTAACGAATAATTGAAAATGCCTAGAGAAATATCTTCAGGCCTATCAAAAAATTAGACCTAAGATAGGAATTAGTGAATTGAATATATTTCCATTTGTACAAGTTCGATTAGTTCAGGAATATATTATGATATGAATTCTTTCATATTTTTAGTCGTAATCGAGAACAATAAATTTCAATTCAAATGATAGTGTGCCAAAGAAAACTATCATGTTATGAATATATTTAGAATAATATAAAGCTCTCCTGTAAGATGCTCAGACTAAATATTGTATACGTGCTATAAGCATAAAATTTCGTAAGTTATTCAATACCATGAAAAAAGATTTCCTATAATATTCTTTGATATATATTTTTTCCACTAGAATAGAAGGTTTATACTTGTACTTTTACAGAACAGATATAACTCAACATTTATATAAATCAAAAATTTACATTTATCAGTACCGATCGTACTATATGAATAAAAATACCCAGAAGAAAATTATTTTTTTATGTAAACTGTTCAATGACAAGATCATTCACCTTAACAATGAGTTCATATATTTTCAAATAAATCTTACTTATATGTATAACAACGTAGACAAAATCGAGAACACCATGCTTTAATAATGAGATTATTAATATCTATATCTATTGTATCGCATGTATCAATATTTGCATGATGTGGTGGATGATTATCATTTGAAGAAATTTCAGATTGATTAGCAAATGCAATAAGCCGTGCTCGTGATGTAGCATCACGATGATAATCTAAAAAAACAAGATCTCCATTTAAACTGATAGAACATAGAATTTTGTTTTTTCTTTACCAATTATGACGTCAATAATTTGTTCATTTGAATATATTTGCCATGCTTTATTTGATCGTAGAGTTTCATACAGTGTTTCTAATAAAGGTTCGTCGAGTTTGTTTTCTTATTAATAGAAAAAAGAAACAGAGTTAAACAAGAACGAAAAATGGTTTTAATGGTCCTACTGCGTATAATAGCTTTATTTTGTTTAGAAGATTCACCGGATATTGAATTAATCAATTCTTGATCTTCACGATCAAATGTATCTCCTAGATATGGAATTCCAATGAGTTCGCCACGTGTAGCAATGTTTTTCAAAGTTGGTACATAAGATATTAATTCTCGAACGGAAGAAAGCGATGGCATCATAGTAACAATTGTTGCATGTTTTTGAGATCTTTGATTTGCACCATCAGATACAGTAACTGATAGAGTTCGAACACCATCATTATTATTATTATTATTATTATTATTATTATTTGTTTTTAATTCTATAGTAGACTTAGGAATAGGAATTGTTATTGGACTTGGTGGTGGACGATGAGCTACTTGTCGAAGAAAATTTCTATATAGAAACAAAAATTATAGAAAATCTTCTTAGAACCTCATTTGTTAGTATTCTAGGTTGACAACATTTTTAAATTTCTTTCTTTTTCAAAAATGCATTCATCAGTAACTTTTGATAAGAAAACGGTTAATCTTTTGAAAATATTTTTTCATAAGATTAGTGCCAAATTTATTCGATTCGCTAGAGAATGATTCGAAATCTTTGTCTATTTATTGTTTTTTCTATTGGATGCATGCAACATTTCTTTAGTGAAATCTTACCGAGCTGCTTTCTGTGAAGTTTTATGTGCTTGCCGAAAGAGCTTCGTATATTCATGTTCAACCGCTTGTCGAAGAACATCACTTTTTTTCTTCAAATGAAACCATAAGAATTTTATACAAAAAAAAAATCTATTTCTTACATCATTCAACAATTGCTGTTGAGATGGATTATTGCTGTTTCTCGTTTCACGCATATATTTGATACAAAAAACTGGATATCGAACAATTTTCTTACAGGAAGTCTACGTTTTCTAAAATTCTTCATACAATAAAAACAAATGTGAAATGATTTCAAACAAACAAACAAACCAATCATAATCGAGTAATAACCTATTGGCGTCTTAGCTGACCAATTCGTGGAAATTTCGTATCCAATCGGTAAACAGTGGAGTTTTTATACAAAGAAAGAGCAACGAAAAATTGTTCGTCTATTTTATATCTGTTGTTTGCTATTTCTAAGAACATTTTTTCAGATGGCAACGTACGGTGATACATTAAATCAAACATTCCCAAGATTATCATCAATTGGAGATGATGAATTACATCGTACGTTTCATACGTCATCATCAAATACAAAAGCAACTGGCTTCAATTTTGAACAGCAATTTATGTTTGGTAAGCAAGTTACGTATATTTATCGAACGATCAGACACTAATGAAACTTCTCGCGGATCGAATGGCATTAAGACCCATGTATCATTCGAGTAGAATGATTATTATTTTATTCTAGATGATGGGGTCTTGGTCAGTTATTCTCGAGAATTCCAACTACTCTTTGCTAAAAAGTTCAATTGCAGCGATTTTATTCAGCGTGAACTATTGTATGTTCAAGGAATAGGAATCTGAACAAGCACGAAAAAGAATCAGCTCCATGTCTGACAGATTAGTAGTAACTATTTTTTTCCGAATAATTAAAGTGATTATCGAAACCTATGAAATCTAAATTCATGAATACACTTTATCTATGCGACAGATGGCTGCAATAAGCATCATCGATCTTCAGACACAGTGAAACAAGTAAAAGTTCAAGAAAGTAATAACTGGCATTTTAGGATAGAGGGACATTTATGACCTCTATATGCTAACAATTTCTATGGAATAATTTACATAATACACTTGATGTTTCCTACATTGGCAACAACTATTTTAAATTTGATAATATCTTTGCCGTTCAAAAATACGCTAAAAACGTTATAGAATAGTTAATTTTCATTCCTAAAACCGAATTGAACGCAGTCCTTCAATTTAGTGTATAGCAGACATTCTGAAGCCAATTAATAAATCAAATTTTGTTCCTATGATTAGATAATGCATTTCATTCAATAACATATCAGCCAACTGTATCATGTCAACAAATGACAACTGAACACCTTGATCGTTTATGTTATTCTCCTAAGCCAGTGTTTTCTCCTCGTGTTACTCCTCAGCAACCACCACAACAACAGCAGCAACAGCAAATGCCATCATTGCCATCAAATCGTTTAAATCCATTTCGAGCATTTCTAATTGTTAATCGTTTAACATCATCAATTATCAGTGTTAATCGGCAAGCTTGTGAATATTTTTGGTATACAGAAAATGAACTCAAAAATAAAACAATCGATAATTTAATACTCGATGAAAAATCTTCATCTGTTATAACAGATTCATTTTTAAGTCAACAAAGTGGACAAACAAAAATTCTTGCAGGAAAAATTGTCTATGTTCTACTTGGTACCGGTGAACGTGCACGTTTTTCTTTATTCGTACAAGATCTCGATGGCGATGAAACACCGTTACGTTTTTATGGATTTGAACCAATACATGTAATGCAAGGAAAAATACTATGTGATAAACAAGGTGCAATAATTTCATCAGATAATAATTTTTCTATATTATTTCATAATACAATGATTGATAATAATCAACTAAATGAAAATCATCATATTGGAGATTTTATTCCAACATTAAAAGATCCAATAAAATTTAAACAATTATTAACACATCGTACATATCGAACCACCGGTTTGCTGAATAGCGAGAAGAAATTATCTATACCATTAATGATAACAATATTGAAAACTAATGAAGATAATATTGAATTAAGTCTATCAATTATGTCGAATGTTAGCGGACTAATTATGTTAGATGAAACATTTACTATACGAGCATATAATCCTTATTTTGTTCAATGTTTACTCGGTTATCGTTCACTAGATTTAATTAATCATGTAAGTTAAATGGCATATAGGCATTTATATTAATTGTGGATATGAAGTTGGACTTCGAGTCTTACTAAAGACTTGTTTTGTATTGAACAAGTTTGTCGCATGAATATATGTAAAGTTACGACCTCTGGCAAAATTCCTAGAAGACTAGTGATGTCACAAAATGAGGTTCTTTTTTTTGTTGAACTATTATTTCACGATATTCAATAAGAATTTACACGTCTCATTTAGTCCCGCGAGAATGTTTTGTTTTGACAGTTGCATTGTTAGACATTCCTATCAACCAAACAACTCAATTTCATGATTTCAGTAGACAACATTCTAAACAATTCACACAAAAACATCGGTGTTCTCTTAACCTAGAATAGACTATAACATATAAAAACATTTTAGAATAGTAAAATATTGATCAACTTGAATTTTTCTTTAAAGCATATAACTGAAATATTACCAGAATTCAATGAATTAAATGGTACACAATCGAATAATCTTTCAATCAGTACAAATAACGATCATGAAGATGAAAATCTTTCGTGTCAATCATTAGCAGGCGACGACGAGTTGAGTAAAAGTGATGGTTCATCTAATACATTGAACGATTCATCCATTGAGACCACACCACAATCGTCAAGAGTATTTCATTCAATAGAAAATAAAGTTGTTAACGAAAAACGTCTATCAAATCAACTACCTATTGATAAACGATTAACAACCGGTGGATTAGCATCATTTAAAACTACATCAACACCAGTAGCAAAGTCGTCTAACAAATCTGAAGTTAAAGTCGAATCGGATGAACAAACAGGTTTTATTTATTTAATTGTTGATTCTTGAAAATTGAAATTTTGGTTTGTTTAGCCTTTCTCCAAACCATCGCTAAACATAAAAATGGAACATTTATTGGTGTTATTTATACATCACACCGTATAGATTTATCGGATGGGACATATCGTTATTCTATGTGGTTATCACGTGATAATACTGATCCACATTTGATTGAAATGCAAAAATTACTTGATCATAATCAATCTATCATAGCCATGGATGATTTATCAGTATCGTTTTCGAATAATTCGTCATCATTCAATGATAATCAAACATTTGATACAAAATATGTTATTACTCGACAACGTGGTCGTGGTGGTTATGGGCAAGTTTATCTTGGCCATGAAAAATCAAATGATTCTAATAAAGTCGTGATTAAATTTATTAAAAAAACAAAAGTAAAACTTCATCGATATGTCGAAAGTTTTGAACCAAAGAAACGAATTCTATATGAAGTTGCTGTACTTAAACAACTAAAACATTCAAATATTGTCGAAGTAAGACACAAATACATACTATTTATTGTACAGCGAAATAGAAAATCTTTTTTCTAAACTCACATTTAAAATATAATTTATAATCCGAGTTTTCAGAGACACTGACTAAGACGAATGTCATCAGAGGGTTTGCCACTAATAATGTCACAATTGTTTAGGCTTAGCACCCGTTGAAAAGATATATTTATGATAGATGCTAAAATTATTTTTGAAACTAAGTGTAATTGTTCTTTTGAAAACGATTAGCGAAAGACGAAAGCCCATCTCATGAGATGGGCTCAATAAAACTCAAATCGATTCGATGAATCCATTATCTATATTTTTTGAATAATTTCATTTAGATTTTGGACGCATTTGATACAGATAATTATGTTCAAATGGTAATGCCATTGCATGGCCAAGGCATTGATTTATATGAATTTGTTGAAAAGGGTGCCAAAATTGATGAACCATTGGCAAGCTATATTTTCCGACAGGTACTAATTTACAAAAGAATAAACAAATACAATTCGATGACATGTTTTTCTTCTGAATTTTTGTAGGTAGTCGAAGCGGTGAGCTATTTACATCATAATCACGTTGCTCATCAAGATATTAAAGATGAAAATTTAATTATCGATGAACAATTTCACATAAAACTCATTGATTTCGGTATAGTATTTGTTTTTTCTAGGAAGATTTTTCATCCTATTATTATTCAGGTTCAGCCATATCTATAACTCAACCAAATATGTATACAAGTAATTTTGGTGGTACGACTGAATTTTGTTGTCCGGAGTTTTTTCAAACTGGAAGGTTTGATTTATTTTACATAGAAAATTCTTTCAACTTGACGTTTTTTACTTAACTAGTTGTCAACCATTTCTAGCTGATATATGGGCAATGATGGTAACATTATATGTAATAATATTTCGTCGCTATCCATTTTTAAATCCTGATGAAATAAAGCGATGTGAATTAGATCTTAAATTTTTACAATCACGCAGCTCAGATGAACTTTATGATTTATTTGCATCAACCCTTATTCGTCAACCATACAATCGTTTAACTATGCATGAAATTCAAACACATGATTGGGTTCAACAACCATTCCATATGGAATTATATTCGTGGAATGTTGTTACACAAAATTCATTAGGTAATCGTTTTGAAAACAAGTTCATGTAATGAAAAAGAAATAGAATGTACCAGAGTTATTTTCACCAAATGTTGATTATTCTACAAAATATTCGAAATTAAAAACACTTAGTTCAAAGCAGAACGCAAATTTTTATATTTACCATATAAGTAGTATGGCTCACTGGAGAGAGAGAGAGAGACTGAATAGAACTTTCAGACGTGTAATGTCGTTCAGAAATAGTTTCCTTTATTAAATGAAATCATTTATAAAGTGTTTCTTTTTTTTTTTATAGAATTCAAAAGAGTACTCGTTTAGAGTGTTGCTTTTCTAGGGAGTTTCCATTTCGTTGATTTTTCAGTCCTGTAAAAAAATTTCTATTTTTGAATTTTTTATCAGTATTTTATTTACTAAGATTTTTACACAAATTATTTTATTTTTTTTATTTAGAGGATACATTTTTAAATGGTAATCATCTAGCAAGTGGTGAAGATGATAATAATCCTGATCATTCATTTGCTAGTTTAACACGTCAAATACAAAATCAATTTCATTTATTTGATAACGATAAAAAAGATAATAAGTCAGATAAGAATGATCTTTTTGCTTATGTAAATTGTAAACATGCATCGATTTAAATTTGTTTTTTTTCTGTCAGATAGATTATTAATATTTTTTTCCTGCTTTTGTTCTCACTCAATTTCTTGTGTCTTATATTGTCTATTTGTTGTGTTAAACCATAAATAGGGGAAAAAATTTATTTGGTTATTAATAAATATGAAACTCACTGTTTTCATTTGTGAAAAATCAATATTTTTAAGCCAATTATGAAATCGATGCGATTTAGACGATGTTTTCTAGTCAGCAAGTTGTATTCACTTTTGATAGCTAAGATTTGTTTTTAGATAATTTTCTATGAAAACAAAACTTGAAATACTTTCTTGAGGTTCAGAACGGGCAACTTTTTTTGTAAGTTTGTTTTTTGCAACTTTATCGTATTTGCATAACTCTTTAATGATGTCAATAGTTTATGTATTAGACATGTTTGTCTACGAATCGTTAAGATTACTCTAAAACAATCATGTTAACTATTCTCTGCTGTGTTTATAGATACTATTTTTGCGTAAAATATCATGACTATTACAAAATAGATATTTCCTCGATTTTTCGGTTCATTGACGAAGTACTCCGATGAAGTACATTGAGTTCTTTTATGAACCTATTAACACTTGCACATTTTTCCTTGACCGTTAAGTTGTAAATATCGCTAGTCAACATATTACATCAACGTTCAGATAGAAAAATTATCGGAGATACGACTAATTATATTGCTACTATTCGGACGAGTCAGTCTTCAAGGATTTGTAAGTCATTGGATTTTTGTTTTCTACTTGTAAACTGAATTTTCGTATATTTTGTAACATGAAGAAAATTAACATTCTAGTATTCCCCGTTATTCATATAATTACTCAGATAATTGTAATTTTGTGAATAATGGTTATATTGAACTATTTTTCCTATAATACGGGTTTTTTTTTGAAAAGGACTTAATGGATTTTCTGTTTATTTTTTAAATTTTATCAAAATCTTAAGAAATGGCAATTTCTTCTTCTTTCAGTATTGATATTGAAATTACCTTGAATTACACTATGGAAAAGCGTTTGCAATCAATTTTAATGACTCTGACATTTAGCGGCTGTTACTTAACAGAAGTAAGACATAGATCGTTTGTATTATTACTCCAATGAACATTACAGAATAGTAATCGTCTTGTAATTCATGGATACCGCAAGAGAAGAAAAAAGAAAAGGAGGAAGAAAAAATCCAAGAAAATTCGTGTACTGGAAGCGATATGTCAATCAAATGTATATTTACTAAACATAGTGACAGCTGCCAATTTTTGTTGTAATACAAATAATCACGTTCATATGTTGGAGTATCGATGGGTTATTTGTATTTTAACAGTGAATTCTTGTTTATATTTAGCTGTTCATTCAGAAGGTAAATTTAAGAATGCATAGCCGATGTCATTTTGTTTATTGCTTAAAAAAAATCATTTTCATTGAAGATACTACCAATTCAACAAATGAGAGAAATGTTATTTCATCGAAAAATGGATTAGCAGTATGGACAAATAAACAATTCATTATATGTATTGTTAGTGTTACACTAGGCACTTTCTTATTTTTCGTGACATTCATTGTACCAGCTATCATTATAATACGTCGAGCACGGCGAGATAAAAATCGAATAGACCTAAGAGAATTAAGACGTATGAGTGATTTTATGTAATCTATTTCGATGATTTTTATTTAATAAAAATTAACAATGTTCTAATCTTATTTGTTTTACTTCTTTTAATGGAATCGAAAAATATTTAAAAATCGAGTTTGAATTTTTATTAATGAGATCAAAAAAAGTACACGATGCGAACGATCTAATTTTCTTATATTTTATGATAGAACAAGTTATCTTCATTTGCTGACTTTTTTGTAGTTCGAATTATTTCATAATAGCGAAAGCAACAAGATTATTAAGATACTAGATCAACCATAGAGAATGAAATTCTCAATGTTTTAAGCGTTTTTCTTCAAACATAATATTTGTTGAGAGCCAATGAAATTAGTAGATTCAGAATCAACCACATTCTAATTTTTTTAAGTCTCTTTGCATTGAACTTTGTTTTAATAGAACAAGAGGCCATTATTTCTTATACATAAAATAGATATTGTCACAATTCCTTTGACACTTTGTATACATGATAATCGTTAACCGTCTCGTACGTTTAATATATCGTGGAAGAGAGTTTTTTCTTTAAAGAATAAATTATTCTGATACGTCTTCGAGATATTGACGATGATGGATGTATATTTACACAAATTTCCAAATGAATTCTATGTATTTGTGATTAATGGAAAAAAAAATTATGTTTGTTTGTGTAATTAAAAGAAATACCGAGAGGTCCACTCTGAAAAGCCGAACGCAAGATTCTCGACAAAATGAGAACGTTTGAAATTGACGAACTGTGAATATATTCATTTCAATCGAGTCGAAAAAGAGAAATTTTACTGTACAAAGAGCTATTCAATTATTTCAAAAGTCTATTGAGAGAAACTATTCTTTAGAATCTATCCGCTAGTTTAACGAAACAAAATTCCGCATTGTTATATTTATTTTGCACCTTTTCTTACGCCATGAAACATCTGTTATCATGTTTAACAATATCTAAGCATTGTCATTGTTATAAAATCTACAAGAGAATATCAACTCTATTTTAGATAAGATCATTTTACTTGCGCTCGTTTCAACTTGTCCAACATGCATAAAATGCAATTGTACGTCATTGGATTAATTCTGTTACCATTATTAATTGATGGTCTTGCAATTTTTCATCGTGGTCGGCCTCGCGGTGGTATGGCTGGATCGCCAAGACGAACTTTGAGATCGTTCTACAATCGAGTAAAAGCACCCATTGATGAATTGTGGTATACGCAACAACTTGATCATTTTAATCCAACAGATATACGAACATGGGAACAACGATATTACGTTAATGATCTTTATTGGAAAAAGAATGGTCCTGTTTTTATTCAAATCGGTGGTGAAGGTCCAGCTGATCCGATATGGATGGTAGAAGGACAATGGATAAAATATGCCCAAAGACATGGCGCTATTTGCGTTATGATCGAACATCGTTTCTATGGCAAGAGTCATCCAACAGCGTAAATGATATGAATTTAAATTAATTAAATTTTATTTTGTGTTTTTCGTTTTGTAGAGATCTTAGTATAGAAAATCTAAGATATTTAAGTAGCGAACAAGCACTTGCAGATTTGGCAACGTTTCGAGAATATTTCAATAGCAAATATCAAGTATCAGAACAATCAAAATGGATCTCATTCGGTGGATCATATTCAGGTTGAAGATTTCGTCTTTTGCTTTCTTGATAAACGAAATCTATTTTTTACTTGTTTTTTAAGGTGCACTATCAGCATGGTTTCGTCTGAAATATCCTCATCTCGTTTATGGTGCCCTATCAGCTAGTAGCCCAATGACTGCATTGACTGATTTTAGTGGTGCAGTTTTGTTTTTTTTACTTTTTTATTTTTTCTTACAAATGTTTTTTTTCTGTATATTTTAGAATATTTAATTGTCGTACGTAATTCTCTTGCAACTTATGATGAAAAATGTAATGATGCCATTAGTGACGCAACAAAAGTAATGCAAAATATGATTCAATCATCTTCGGGTCGTGCAGAATTAAAAACAGCTTTTCGGTAACTTAAATTTCTATCGCTAACCATTCAATTCTTATCTTAATAATAGTCTATGTGATTCAATTGAAACACAAAACGATGTTGATAATTTCTTTCAAACAGTAGCTGGCAATTTTGAAGGTGTTGTTCAATACAATAAAGATAATCGAGCATTCGAAGTAACTTTATTAATATAAATTAAAAAATGAAGCAGAATTGAATCTGTTTTTTTCTTTCCTTCTAAATCAGGGTGCTCGTGCAACGAACATAACTATCGATGTTTTATGTAAAACAATGCTTGATACAACTCAACCAAATATTCTTCAACGTATGGTTAATGTTAATGATATGATATTAAATGCATACGATCAACCATGTCTTGATGCTGGTTATATGAGCATGATCAATCAATTAACAAATATATCATGGAATGCATCAGCAGCGGAAGGCGGTCGTCAATGGACATATCAAACATGTGTTGAATTCGGCTTTTTTCAATCATCCAATGCTCCTCAACAACCATTTGGAAATAATTTTCCAGCTTCGTAAGAACTGATTTCGTTTGAAATAAATAAATTATCTATTGATTTTTAGATTTTTTATTCAACAATGTGCGGATATATTTGGACCTAACTTTGATGATAATCTTCTTGAACGAGGTATCAATTTCACGAATGCATTTTATGGTGCTGAAGGATTTTCGGGTTCGAGAGTTTTATTTGTTAATGGTGCTATTGATCCATGGCATGCATTGAGTTTTACGAAAGATCCACCAAATAATAATACTGCTATATTTTTGTCAAGTAAGTCCTAGTACTATTTGAAAAGGGTCGTAGTTTTATATGAAAATTTCGTTTTGTTTTTTAGGTACAGCTCATTGTGCTGATATGTATCCAGATGCAGAAACAGATCCACAAGAATTAAAACAAGCTCGTCAAACAATTAGTGATACAATTGGACAATGGCTTCAATAAACTTTGTGAAGAATATTAGGATAACGAACTATCAATGAAATCTGTGTCTTTCAATTTTTGCTAATACAAGGAAATCTAATGTTTCTTTTGAAATTGATAAAAAAATCCTTTTGAATATTTCGAGAAAAACATCTGTTGTTACAAGTTAATTATAGAAACAAGGACAAACTATTGCAAGCATATTGATCACAGAAAAAAGTGAATTAAAATTCGATGATCATAATCGATGTTACTTTAATTTGAAGGTTATATTTTTACATGGGTTGACATATTTTAGCTAAAAAATTGACTCTAACCTAGGCCTACACTGAAATTACCCCTCTGCCTATACTCGTTTGTGTTTTTAGTGATAGAAAAATGTTTCATGTTATCATATTGTATCACATCAGAAGATGGAGCATCAGTTGCGCAAATACGAATTTAAATTTCTCATGCTCAAGGTCACTAATATTGATCTCCTTTGACTAATACGATTGTAATCAAGTAGCCATCATTATTATAGATTTCAAGTAACTTGATCATAAAATATTGATTCAAATCAATCTGTCAACATCTGCCAGACAGACATATATGTTCGAAATCTAATCGAGTGACCTCTATCATTCGTTATGAAACATTTGCAATATCCAATAGATCTACCGGTTCTCTTTATTGTGTCTTCTATGATGATGAAATTGATATAATCAAAATCGAAAATTTACTTTAAAAATAGAATAAATCCAACATTTGCAATTTTCTGTTGAGGTTTCACCCTATTCCCTGAATGTTCCATCACAATGACAGTCCTATCAACGAATAGGTGATCGAGAATAAGCATATATATATATATATATATACGTAAACGTCTGTGTAGTTTGAATGTATCATAGATATATAATAATTAGTGTTGATTTCATTTAGTTATTAACTTTCGATCTTCCCTGCTAGTTTTATTCGAGAAGAACCAGGCAAGTTGCAAGTAAAAACTTGCTTAAATACTTTCAAAATTTTCACTTGGATAAAGTATAACATTCAAACACAGCTAAATTCATCAAATGTCCTTCAACTAAAATTAATTTTTTTCACGAATGAAGATATGGAACACGATATTTTGCAACGCCGCTCGGCAGCTACTGTCAAGAATATGGGTAAAGTGGAATATTTCTTTTTTCAAATGATCATTGACAGTAATTTTCCTTTCAATCATAGGAGTAAATTCCTATTTTCAAGTTATTTCTGCATTTCGTGCTCAAGGTGATCTTACAGAAAATAAATTAACTATTTTACCTGTTTTACAAAATGCATTCGGTATTAGTCATGAACGACATACAGCGGAAGTAAAGCGTGCACTCTATGATGAACAGTTATCTGACATAGCTACAAGGTTTATTTTATGAGAAGATTTTTTTATTTCTATCGAACATTTTTGTTGTCATTATTTAGTATTAATCCATCATCGACTACAACAAATTGGGAAATGGAAGCTAACTATACATATCCAACAGTTGTTCATCGTCCTCCAAATACAAAATATATTCAAGTAGCTGAACAAGTTTTACAAACAACATTACCAATAACAATGATTCAATATCCTCAACCTATCACAACTACAAGATTAAGTAAGATCATAAGGCAGTATTCGATATTGTATTGTTGCCTTTGAATTGTAGATAGTGATTTACAAAAACTTGTTCATGATGAAGTAAACCAGGACGGAATAAAAAATGCAACCCACCACCACCAACAACAACAATCGAATAATACACCGAAACCAAATTTTAATAATACAGATCTTAACGGTATAATTGAATTCTTCTTACATAGAGAATTAGATTTTCGATAAGCTAATATTAAAAAAAACACATTTATTGCTAGTTTTTTTCTTTCCAAATTTTTATACTACGTTTATTATTTAGGTTCAAAAGTTGTTCGTTTAGTTCGTGCTAAACAAGCACCAAAACGTAAATCAAGTTTAGACACATTAATTGAAGTTGTACAAAAGGAATTACTTCGTGTCAATGAGCAAGCAAATGCAATTTCACCAACCAAATTACAAACCCCAATTTCAACACTTCATCGTCCGATAATATCATCGATTTTACCATCATCACATTCAAGTTCTTTAACATCACAAACAGCTCAACCATTTAAAATAACACGTAAACGTGGTATTGAAAACTTCAGTTTTCCCAAAAAGAGTTTCTCATTACAACAACGTATCAAATCGTTTAATGGCGATGACAACAATAATGATGCCGAACAAGCAATCAATGTTATACAAGCAGGTTCAGAAAATATCGAAGAAATTGTTCGTGAGACTGTAGACAGACTTGTTGCTATAACACTTATGAATAATGCACCATTTGTTGTTAACATGCTTACAGCTATTCCAAATAATGATAACAGTACAAATACAGAATCAAAAACTTTGACTAGTGCTCTTATTGGAAATGTAAGTAAATATATTCAGCATAAAATATTATAGTTGAATGTCATATAGGAACGAATGTCTAAGAATAAATAATATGATCTATCAAGTTTAGTTGAAGTAATACAGTTTTGATTACTCAAAAAATAGAATCAATAGTGATTTAGACAATAATTTTTGATTATTTTTATATGAGCAATTTCTAATTACCCTAGTTGGTGCACATTGCCAAATTTAGATTATTCGTAGATTTTGAAGAACCTTTAAATGTTCAGTTCAATTTATAATTTAACTCGTTTTGTTTTAGAATACATTGAAATCTCAATCACCTTTAACCGTTTCGAAATCGGATTATTATCGTAATGATCTTACATTACTTTCATCAACAGCAAGTGATATTAGAAATTCAGCACAGCAAACATCTCCTATGAAACAACAAATTCATCATCCCCAATTAATTATTCAGCCAACAACAACATCAACAAGCTCTATGCCAACAATGCAAGGAACAACAACGCCAACACTTTTCGTTGCTCCACGCATATTAAATTTTCAAACAGTAGTACCGAAACCAACAACAAATATTCAAATAGGAAATACAAAAATTATTCTTGTTTCACCATCGAATATAGCACAACATTTACCACACTCAACATCTATTCAAACCCCGTCGAATATACATTCACACCGTCACCACCAACAGCAACAGCAACAGCAACAACAACAAAATCTTGTTAGTAATAGTCCTGTTAAATTAGTTAAATTTGCTACAGCAACAAATAATAATAGCTCAATAACAACACGCCCAACAATAAATACAACGCAAGCATCAACAGTAGCATTACCCAAAAATGTTCAAATTGTTATACCATCTCAAACACCATCAACAATACAATTAACACGAGCACATAATGATGATTCAAATAAATCTATTTCAACAGCAACATTTCGTTCAGTTGCAAATGCACCAATGTCGTTAGCAGCGTGTACGGTTGATTCAATTCCTCAAGCATCACAAGAAGTAACAATATCAACATCACCAATGTCGTCACCACCTCTAACAACTAGCGCATTGGATCATCAGCAACAATCATCTCTAGGTACCACAACTAATGTTGTTTCTTCGAATTCAAATAATCAATCACAGAATAATACAAATAGTCAACAACAAAGTTTTCCCGTGAATCCATTAGAAAATAATAATACTAATGGTTCAACTGTAGAAAAATCACGACGACGTTCATCCAGTAGTGCATCGATTGATAAGCCTGTCGGCAAAGTTTTACGACCGATTACTAAAGTCCTTCCAGTTTATTCGCCTAACAATAGTCATGATCATGGTTAGTCTTGTGGAAGAAGTTATTTGAGATGCGATCAAAATGGAGGAGATCATAAATCTATTCATTCTTTCACTGTTAACAACTTCATATATTTATTCTATGCAGAATTTCTATATTAAGTTATTTGATAGTATGTTTGGAATCGATTTGATAATGCGCATAGAATAGCTGAAGATTACCAAATATTTTCCTCTTCTTGATTTATCGGCATGTCGATCACCATCATAAAATATCTTGTTAATTACTTTTGACAGGAGCGATACGCTCATCTCAGATTACTCAATTATACTGCAACGATTTCCATGAGAATCATGTCAAATAATCGTTGAGTTGTGCATAGATAGAGCTCTGTAGGATTAAGTTAGTCTCAATCGATAACACTATTCCGAACTCTTCAAATTTGACAAATGATTGAGTAGCTCGTTGTATGATATTTTGGTAGAGTTCGCTTCGAAAAATTGAAGACTACATAAAAAAAATGTTCTGTAATATTCAAAAATAAATTTCTTCGCGAATTATCACCCTAGTAAAATAACTTCACTCGGAGAATAATCCTGAGTAAAAATTCTCTCATGTAAGTTGAAATGATTTCTAATCTTGAAATACAATAATTATTTCTTAGGTGGGCCATGATCAAAATCGATATCTTGTGTGGAATTCTTAGTTTTTTCGGCAGAACATAGAACCTTTTTCCTGAAAACTAGTGTACATGGATTATTTCAGTATGATCAACATGTTGCTTTTGTTAACGAACTAGTTGTTAATCGAAAATGAAAGCGTATTTATTCATTCTTACAAACAATCAGTCAATTAGATCTTAGAAAACATTTTTTTCTGGATGCGTTCACTACTCTAGATATTATCCGATTAAACTGAAACTACACTCAGCATATTATTCAACATGGAAGAAGTCAAGAATTTTTCACCGCTCAAGAACGAGTGGATTTATCATCTTAAACGACTTCATCCTATTATGTTAGATATGCTCGTTTTAAGTCTCAACATGAGAAATCTATCGTGAATGCAACCAATCGAACATAGACAAGATGATAATAATATTCTTGACTGAACCAATTATCTAGGTATAGAATAGAAATTCAAAACATGTAATTACTCCTGTTAGTCTCTTGGAAAAAATCGATTATATACGAAAGACATCGAATAGATATCCTCCATAAGATAAATTCTTCAGGAAAGTCAACAGATTCCTTGCAAATGATAAAAGGGAAGAATGTGTTTATCTTTGATCTGAATCAATCGATTGTATGGCATATTTCGTCGAACAGCATTTCTGTATAATAACAACCATCAAGGCTACGACAACACATGTCTATTTGTTATTTTTTAAGCATCCGAACAATTCTAGTGAATTCTTCGTAGCCGACATTCCTTTTTTTTATTGTTCTAATCCAATATTTTATACTATCTTTTAGCAACTATCATGGACACTACAAGTTCAACATTGACCGTGCAACAGCATCCATTAGCTAACGTGACGACAGTACGAACAAGTCCAATACACGACGAAATGATGAAATCGGTAATAGTTAATTTTCAACCAAAACCTCAACAAATGCCAAGACCAACATCGACTCATGGACCTATGATTTATCGGATGACATCAGTAAATCCAAGTAAATTTCTTTTAAAAAACTGAAATTAAATTCCACGATTTTTTATCACACTATTTTTACTTTTAGACGTGCCTGTTTTTCGTGTACGTGCAGCAACAACGTCTCCTTCAACAACAGTTATAAATAAGTCAATTAAAACTGATACAAAACCAATATCAGTAACGACGGCAGCGAATATGTGTTATGAACCTAAACCAGCACATACAACTCCAACGACAAGTGGATCTGTGTCTGTACTTGCATGCTTTAAAACAACAAAAAAACGAAATAAAGTATGATCTTAATCAATACATATCTAAATTTCATAAATCTTTTTTTCTTTCTTTCAAGGAACGAGCAATTATGCCACGACCTAGTACAATCGATTCTAATGATGTATCCCAAGATTTTCAACAGCGATTAAGTACAATCCTCAATACGAATGCATCTTTAGTGCTTAATACTGATATGAACAATAGTAATTCATCGTCGGATTATCGTCAACAATCACCATCAACACAGACACGACTTGTTCAACAAACAAGTTTATCATCGACCTATTCCGATGACAATGCGTCGAATATATTTTCATTATCTATGAATGAGCAAGTCAATGATACAACAACATCATCGTCAAATAGTATTCCTATTTTACGTCATACTACAAAACAATTAAATATGAATTCAATTCAAACAATAACAACTCCTAATATATCACCAACAATGTCACCTATACAATCATTGCAATCGACACCGAAAACATTTATGGCCGATAAATCTATACAATGCATTAATCAGCATAAAAATGAATTTCCTGATAATGCAAGCCATGCGGAAATAAATTATGAAAAGCCAATAACAGGTAGCTAACAGCGGAAATCAAGTTGATAATTTTCTTTTCGATAGATTTAGGAAACAATAAACGATCGGGTGATGATATGGAAAGTTGGACAGTAGCAGCGGAAAGGTAATGAGTCCTCTTTTCTTTTTCTTTATTGTCTTCTATGAATTAAATTGATTTAGTCTTCTTCATAATATGCTTTCTCAACATGATTTTCATTTGCTTGATGTTAATTGTCAACAAATTTTGTCATCAAAATTCGATCTTGTTCAAGCTAATCTTGTTGTATGTATTTTTCTGTTTATAAATTGAATTTGTTAACAAAAATAAAACCCAACTATCTATACATTTTTATTATTTAGAATGGTGTATTATCATCCCGAGATGAATTTTATAATTCAATACTTGATATTAAACGAAATTTATTCAATAATGATTTATCAAAAGTGTTCGAAGATGATCTGGAAAAATTATTTAATTATTTTGAAACCGAATTTAAAACAATATGTGATCAACATAACGAACATGTATGTTTTATATTTTAATTAATCTGTATAAAATGAAAGCAAAAAGTCGAGAGAAGAATTATTTAAAACTCTTTTTTCCAAACTCTAACTGATTTTTCTATAATTAAATTCCTGTTAACAACTTTACAAAAACAGTCTCACAAAAATAAAGGTGCCCGAAACTATTTACTTAATTCTATCGTCAAGTCATGCCATAAAGAAAGTATACCCAAACAATTTTATACGTATGTCGACGAGTGCTACACGCCCTATCTTTAATTAAAATAGGACCTATCGTAGGATGAGGATGTTTCATAGAAGTTAGGCTGTCCACAGCTCGAGGATATGCTCAGAAATTTAACATTTATTCGATAAAACTGTCTACGAAACAGTTTTAGTATGTTGTCAGTTTTAATTTTCTCATTCATAACTGTTAATGGAAATGTGACAAGTATTTATTTTGATAGGAAATTGTTTCAGCTAATCGTATTATTTCTCTGGTTTGCTATCAATTAGCAGAGAACTTTATCGTACTAAACTTTTCGATTTTGTTTCTATAAATCAATATTTTTATTTTTTTTAGAAACGCATGCGGCAACAATAAGATAATCAACTAAATCCATTCTATTTCTTTGTGTGATTTACTTTTCGTCTCGTTGAATAAATCATTTATTTTTTAGTTGTGCACTCTTCGTTCATCTGTAAATATGCCTATGCTTTATTCTAGCGTCTTTTGTTTTGTCTTGTTAACCTTGTTTTCTGTTATTGTTTATAATCAGTCCTGAGATAAAACTTGACATTAATTGCAATATCAATTTAGTTTTGGTTCTTTCATATACAGCCTTAGATTTGTATGTTTTGATCAAGGCTGATGTTTTTTTTCTCTTTCATTTGTTTGTTCTTGATATAGCAAAATGTATGTCTTTGCGTATTTTTCTTTGCTTTTGCTTTTGCTCTATGATCAAGGTGAGAGGTGATAATAAAAAAAAGTGATTCTCTCTCTTTGTCTCTCTGTGTATTATTTTATCATTTTCTTTCCACTTCTGTTCTTCATTCGTTTATGTTTATACGTGTACGAGCTGAAGAGACAACAAAACAAGGCACAATTTATATTTATCATTTTCTCTTACTATATAGCTAGTTATGTACAGATGATGTGTTTATTTCGGAATAAAAAAAGACAAGAAAAGAAAAAAGGATTTAAGACTAGTTTCTTTCGAAATTATGTATTTCTTTCTTTCTTCATAAATAGATGATTTATTCACGCAATGCCTAAAGCCTATGAAACCATAGACAAAGAATGTCATGATTGTGGACAATATGGTAAGGCATGCAGGGAATGCTTTTGATTGCGAGTTTGATGTGTTATTCTTAATTGAAGTTTGAAATCAAATTTTATCTAATCAAATAACGGAAAATGCTATTGCACACTAACCATGTTCTGCTTTGACCCTAAACACGATGATTAGTATTAGTATCATATAAACATACAATATTGTGTATGAGAAGAATGCACTGCGATTAAGATAACATAGGATCAACGGCCTAGACAGCAGATGGCGTGTATGTATTATTTCAATAATCGGTAGTACATTAACCATGTACGAGAAATATGTATGCACATGATTCGAAAAACCAATATGTACCAAATTCAGGACTACGAGAAAAACGTTTGTCCTTGTTGGGACCAAGAATTACGCCGGCCGATACTTTATAACGTCATCAATTATATCGAAAGATTAGCATTAGAAAACTCAACAAAAAAATTCATCGAATACGAAATAAAAATAATTGAATCAATTTATTAATTTCATAGAGCATATCCCTATGGATTATTTATAACGTTTTGATGAAGTATATAATTAAGTTTTCATATGTTTACACGCATGAAAATCATCACAAAAAGAACTGTTTTAACTATGACTAATTTCTTTCATAAGGTTCGCAATGGTGTTCGATCAACCATGGTGTTCTCCTATGTGATGAATGTTGCAGTGTACATTTAAGTCTTGGTCGACATGTATCACAAATAAAATCTTTCAAACGAAACTATTGGCCACCAAGTCAATTGAATGTATAAAACCACCGAATTCCTCTGCATTTAATTCCTTTTTTTTTGTCTTAGCTGATAAACGAATTAAGGTCAAATGGTGCTAATTTCATATGGGAATATAGTCTACGCGATCCACAAAATAAATTTCCGAGAAAAAAGCCATCAGCTAAAGATCCACTTCCGTAAGAAATCAAATGATCTACGAAATACATATTTGTTGCTGTTGTCTACATAGAATTAAAGCTGATTTTATTCGAACTAAATACCAACAAATGGCTTATATCAATCGACTAAAAGATGACACACAGGCAGCATTTGAAGATTTAAACTTAGTAAAAAAGACAAATCTCTTCAGTATTTATAAAAATCATTTGTTTTTCTTTTGTTTCATAGCAATTACATTCGATTGTTCGTACAGATAATATTATAACATGTTTACGGTTTTTGTCTCAAAATGCTGATCCAAATTTTCGAAATCCGGTTAGAAATCAACACATCACTATAGAAAAAAGGATTTTCTATCAGAGAAAGTACATGTTAAATTCTTAATAACAGATTTAGTAGAACTGAAAAATAACCTTGAAAACTTTTGATCCAAAAACATGTTCTTCTAATAGAGTAAATCTTCCTGATCAACTAAGATGCCTTCAAGCTCTACACGACGTGTCTTTAGAGAACGATAATCATAATGAGATGTGTCTACAACGCTGTTTTGTAGGATTCTAATGAGCTCATTGTGCTTTCGACTTTAAGGCCATTCTTAGAATAGTTCTCATTCACTCAATTTCGAAAATAAGTTTGGAATATAAACGATTTGCTAATTAATAAAAACAAAAATTCTATAGGAAACAGGAACATCACCGATTCATGTTGCTGCAAGTCGCGGCCAATCAAATCAAATTGAAGTAAAATATTTATACTGATATGTTAATTAGCGCATAAACTATATTATTTAGCTTCTTTGTATCTTTGGTGGCAATCCTGCTACAATTGATGCGGCTGGCATTTCACCAGAAGAACATGCCAGGTATAAAAAAATAAAACATAAATTGTTTATGAGACGTTTTATTTTATCTTCGATGTAGAATAAATGGATATACAGATTTAGCCGATCGATTAATTGAACTTCAATATGAATTAACTGATAGACTTACATGTTTTATTGGTGGCAAACGACCAAATCATAAAACTAATCAGCACATAGTTCTACCAGAATTGAATGACAAGTCAGTTAATTATTGAAGAAAGACAATTTATTATTATTTTATATTTCAATAGTTTCGATAATTCGAGTCAGACATTAGCAGCTCGTCAAAAACTTCAACAAGTATATTTAATAGTTCACATCACTAAACAGTCTCTGATTGTTTTTGTAATATTTTAGTTACCAAATTCAATCTTTGAAGATTTAGCAATGGATGTATTCGATGAAGTTGAACGACGAGAATTAAAAACAAGTAAATTCAATATGATGAGATCAACTTATTTAAACTCTTGGATTTTTTTTAGTATGGCATGCACAAGTTGATCAAGAATTGATTCCGTTACATGTAGTACCATTTTTACCCGTCAATCCATCATTTTCAGCAACAAGAAATCAAGTATAACAAAAAAGAACAAAGCTGCATTGACTCTCAAAATCAATCTTTGTTTTTCTAGGGTCGACAAAAATTAGCCCGATATGAATTAAAAAATTTTAATCGATTTATTTATGATATATTACATGAAGTTAGTCGACGATATTATGATTTTATTCAACAACCATCAGTTTCATCGACAACAAAATGTATGAAAAAAGTTGATCTTTGTTGATTCATGCTGATTAATTTCTTTTGAAATAGGCAGCACATTACCTCGACAAACGAATGACTCAATGATAGTATTGATTGATTCTGATGATGAACCTTTCTACGATAAAGTTGCATCGGACGATGAATATAGTAACTATAGTAATAAAAAACAGCAGAAACCAACCAAATTAAAGAAAAAATTAACTAAAAAGGTTAAGATTAAAAAAAGATTAATTAATTAAAATATTTCTTTTTTTCTCTTTCAAAAATAATAGTTAACAAAAGATCAATCTAGTGATGATGTATTTCAATTTCCACCAGAAGTAAAAAATTAACTAATTTATTAAAATTATGGTCAATCTCATTGCATTTTTGTTTAGGATGCAGGTTCATTTAATGATTCAACTGGAAATCATTTTTCATCCGATCTAAAATCTCGAATTATGAATACTGAAATGCAAGTCAAATATCTAGCATGCGCTCATACAGATTTAAAAAATGAATTATCTGTCCTACATCAAATGGTATTATAAAGAGAACGAAGAAGAAGAAGAAGAAGAAGAATTCTTTCTACTTCATTTCTATTGTATTTAAATAGATTCAACGACTACTTGATGAAAATCTTGTAAATAAAATTGATCGACAAGTAGTAACTGATACATCTACTATTATTAATTTCGATGAAACAAACAGAAGAATAAAAAAAGTAAATTTTTATATGAATTTTAATTTGATATAAATCCAGACTGTTTTAGTATTCACTATTTATGAATAACGATAAATACTGAGAATCTCCTATTGTATGTATTAGATTACTACAAAGAAAAAACCACAAATTAGAACTGTTAAAATCACGAGGACTAACTAATAGCTATCATCTTTCCTGCGAATATATTTTTTCATTTTCGAAATTAATAAAACAATTCTAATAATTTGCATGGCATTGAAAACAGTGAAAACGCATTCTTACTGATTGTATTAACATTTACAATTGAATGTCTATTTCAATTTTAAGTCTCAAGAAATGAGATTGAAGATGACAGCAGATAATTTAAAAATATGACTGCTATCCTTGATTTTATTTCTAATTTTTTTCTTATCAGCCAAATCAACGATTATTAGATAATCATAGTCGTAAATCAAGTCCCTTTATTGAAAGCGATTATGACAATACAACAATGATTGATGCTATTGAAAAGTAAGTCTTCTAATTTTGCATATTGGATCATTATTGTGTCATATAGTTTTTCGTCGTCGAATTTAATCAGAACAACATTGCCTATTCATGATAAACGGTAATTCATATAATAATAAAATTTCCTTTTTGGAATGTCCAAAAATAAAAATAAAACTTTTCTTCTAGCAGATCGAGTCGCACTATGCAAAGATTTCCACTCTTAGATGATACGTCATCAAACAATATTCGTTCGTATCGATCAACAGATATTATTAATAAAAATTCAAAAGTATCGAATCCAACCTATGTAGTAAATTCATCGCAACAACCAACAAAACAAAATATACCAATACATATAACTCGATCTCGGTCATGTTCTGGTGGACGAAATAAAAGAAATTTACCACAAACTTTACTGCGAAAAAGTATACTTCATATTGGTATAGATGAATCATTTCATTTTTAATTTAATCGAATAACTAGGTTCGTTCAATCGACTAGAAATCAACCATGATGTTGATAAGCGTACACGAGAAATTACACAGCGTATAGGAGAATTATACAGTTCGATCAAAACCAATCAAATTGATGGGTATGAAAAAACTTTTAACAACAATACAAAAATAACTTTATCTTTTTCTTTATAGATATGGAATTTATGCTGAAGAAATAAATAATTCAGTTCAACGCATGATGGAACTGTCGGAACGAGTATGTTATTAAAAATCTATTTGAAATAAAAAATAGTTAATAAAGTACATTACTTATATTGAATAATAGTCTATACGAATATAGACTATTAGTGCAATCCATCCAGGGCAAGGATTTTTCAAATGCCTTGTTGTTAATTGAATCTATTTTTGTATACATTTCATTAAGATTTTTTCAACGAATTAACCTGACATGTAAAAAAACGATCGCTTATGTTGACGGTGTATGATTGTATTTCGACATTGATCACGATTTTTTGATGTTTTAACCTCTGATTGGCGACTCCTTTTCGATCAAAACATATCTTCGATGTCAATTGATTCCTTTATGGCTTATTCCTAAAAAATAAATAGCCGATTTCTATTCGACAAAAATAAAGTAGCAATTCAAATCAAACCCTGGAACATAATTCTATGTGTGAGCTTCCATAAGCAACACGATGTTTTATTTGACACGTTATTTTTGGGCCAATATTTTTCATTATTCATGTTACCTTCTGCGTCAAAGCTTTTTCTCTAGCAAGCTCAGAAAATGATTTTCACTTTTTTTGATTACAAACCCCGTGATTCTTAATGGAGCTTCAGTGAAACTAATTGTTTTTTTCTCGTTATTTGCGCATTCATGTAAATCCGTAGCAGTCTTTGACATAACACGTTTTCTCAATTAAGCTTTTTCATTATTAGATTATCAAGAGAACTTCCATAAACAGCTAACCAGATCCTGAGAGATTTATTTGAGATACTTGAGATCTCGTTCTTTTTCTTTGAATGAAAAAAAGACTAAGAACTTAGCAACAAGAACGCTACAGTTTTATATATATATATCTTTTTTTTTTCGATTGTAGTTGTCATTCAATGAAGATATTCGAGCCAATCTCGATATGTTAAATACAAGTGCACAACAGCTGTTAGATCATACAACATTTAAAGGAAAAGATTCAACCATGCAAATACAATTTATTATTGATGATTGCTATAGAATTGCACTTGCAACAAGGAATCTTTCAAATCTTTACCAGAAAATATAGCGAATAAGAATGAAAAAAAAACATTTTCTGAATGTCTTTCATTGGCTCAGATCTACTTTTTGCTTTGTATTCAGAGAACCATTTTGATAGAATTATTTATATTAGTCAATAGAAAAGGTTTTCTTCTTTCGGTTAGATTTCCATTAGTATACGTACTTAAAGTTTTGACCGCGAATTTTTCATTTATATATATATATATCGAAATTCAATATCTAAAATGAAAGAAAAAATTTTGCATTAAATCAATCGAGGAAAGTCATGCTTTTGGTCTGACATTCTTGTTAAAATATATGTATAAAAATAGCTGAACCATGAGCACGTCTACTTATGAAGATCTAATTTGAGCGAAGACTTTTGTTCATTAACAAATAATGTATATAAAATTAACGACATTTTATACATTCATTTTTATCTTTGTAACAATTTTGTTTAGTTTATTATATTTACTCTTCTGATTTTTTACTGCTTACCTTTATGTTTGCATTGGTAAACTATTTTGTTTTGTTTTTTACTTAACTCTAAAGTAACTACGCATCATTATATCAATAAAAAAAAAAACCCAGTCTCAGTTTATTTAAATGAGGAGAAGAAGAAGAATAAAAGCACAGTTATTGCGCACATTAATAAAATCTCAATGGAATTAACAACTAAACATACTGTAAAAAGAAGTTTGTCCTTGAATATTTTTCTTTTTGCATAGACTAGTCACGCATTCTATGAATTATTAATTTTTATGGAAATAAGACGTTAGAAGAGAAAATATCTATCAAAAAGCACAATTGTCGACTAGATTAGAGCCGATATTACGAGTGATTTATCTGAATACAAACCGTATTTGATTTCAAAACAGAAGGGAAAAGATTGAATCCTTCTAAATAAAGAACGCCATTTGACCAAATAAAGCCTAAAATTACTTTAGATATCTCACATCACAACAAAAATAACATTCTGCCATCATCAACATAATGGAACTCTTTTTCTACTCACTATTCGTTACCACTATCTATCTATAAAAATATTCTACTCAAGTCTATTAAGAATATAAATATCTATGTCATACAAACATTATGTTTTCCTTTGTACAGATATCTTATCAATAGATTGATATACCTCTTCAGTAGGTTATATTTTGTTTCAGCGTACCCGAACTTCATTTGACCTAGAAAAGTTAATATTTGATATTTTTTCAACAGGACATGTATTTTTAGTTGGAACAAATAGACAAACAAATTAAACAACGAACATAAACATAGAAAAACAAATTGATAATAGACTTTGCCACTATGTTGTAGAAGCGCTGACTTGATGAACAATCTGACTGCAGTCACAAAGTTTCGCGAAAGTCAATATCAACAACATAGGAAAGAGAAGAAGAAACAAAAAATAAACGCATAATAGGAAGACAAACATAGAATGGCACACCCACACATACACACACAAACACCGTGAATCGCAAGATCGAAAAAAGACGAAAAACAGAAAAGAAAATTTTTCTTTCGTTTTCTTTTCTCTCTCTCTCAGATTGTAATTCCATTATTTCGTATAAACATACATACACATCACAGTCGAGTGAGAAAAAAGAAAAGAATTTTTCAAAAGAAAAAAAAACAAAGGCAACTTCTCTATATCATTAATAAATTAATGTCAAACAGAATTTTTCACTGTTATCAGTCGATCAGGCGAACTCGGTAGATACAACAAAACAAGAACTAATTCTAATCGTGCTTACAATGCATCGAATTAAATTTGAAAGAAAGAAAACCACAAAAAGAACATAGAAACAAGAAAAAAGACTAGAAGTGACTCTTGTTGTTGTCCTCCGACTGATAGTGATGGTGATTGTGGACGGCACACACATATACACACACAAATATATAGAGAAACATACGTATATATATATAATATATTATATATAGAGAGAATGATAGACAGACATCGACACAAAAAGAGAGAAAAACAAAACTATTGCAATATCCTTGTCTTGAAATGGATGGGAAGGAAGAAGGATTCATGAGTAGAAAAAAAGAAAACATACAAACATTAGGATCACCGTCCTCGTCAGAGACACAAAGAGGCTCAACCGTATGTACAAAATACTGCTTTGCTATGCTCAAACACATAAATACATCATATACATAGAAAGAGATTGCGTGAGAGACAAAGCATTACTGTACAAAAAATGAAAAGAAGAGAAGTATCCTTCGACGAGGGAGCCTAAACAAATTAGAAAGAAAGAAAAAGTGAAAGATATGACGATGATGATGATGATGATGAGAAGAAGATAGTCATTCTCGACAGAAAGATAGATGGATAGAATTTAAGGAAAGATGGTTTTTGAAGAAGACGAAGAATAATAAAGAAAACAAAAATAATAATAATAATAATAATAATAACATTTGCCCCGTAAAATATCTAAGCTTTAACAGAGATATATTGTGTTGGAAATTTTTGATATGATGTTGTTGTTGATGAATAATATGGACTATAAAAACCTTGATTATTGTTTGTGTAATAACATGTTCGTGAATAATTTTGTTTCGATTGTTGTACAGTTGATACAAAAGATTTTTGTTTTACTGGTGTAGTTATCTCTTCTTTTTCTTCTTCAGTTTCGACCGGTGAATTATCAACATTTGACAATGGTAATAACCAAGATTCGGGTGGTTTTGGTAATGATGAACATTCCGGTGGATCAGCGTATATATTTGAATAAAATAAAGGTACAGCCGGTAATGAACTAGCTGACATAGCTGTTGGTGAAGTTGTATTTGAATAATAATTATGATAATAATGATTATTATTATTGTTATACATTCTCGGATAAGATGATGCCATACTACTATTTGATCTCATACGACCATTATTTGAGTTTGCAACTGGTATTGAATGTGAATGTTTTATACGCTGTTGTTTCACAGGTGATTTTCGATTGTTCATATTCATATTTTGTATGATGATATGTGCAATTTAAATGTCGATTGGAACGACGAAAAACACAAAAAAAGAGCTAATCTAAAAGAATACATGGTTGTTTTTAAATTGAGACTAGAATATCTATCTCCATGTACAGTAAACATATATATATATATATATATATTTAAGATTATATTCATTTCTAAGGCACTGACAAAAGGTAAAACGGCGACAACCACTATTTATGTTACTTTATGAAAAGAGAGAGAGAGAGAGAGAACGAGGGGTTGAGGGGCTCACATACATAGACAAAAAAAAGTGACGATAGACAAATAGAAATACTCTATACAGCACGCTCTTCTACGGCATTCGTGATTGGTCGAAGAAAAAGTGGAAGAAAAAAAAAAGCTTGTGTATTCATACAACGACGATCGAGGCTGACTGACGCTCGCATTAACGTCAAAAATAGTCTTGGGTATGCGTGGATGAAAAAAGACTATGTGGAGGCGAAAAAAAGAGAACGAAGAAAAGCCCTAACAGACGCTTTTTCTACCCCTTTTCTCATTTTCTATTTTGCTAGTAGTTTATGACGATGATGATTATCATCAAGTATGCGATGGCCAACTAAACAGCAGTCCATTAATATAATCTATTTCAAGAAACTCGTGACAACAAGAAAAACTAGTGAAAGAAAATTTAGTTTATTTACTTTAACAGCTGCATATCACATTAGTTGTCTTAGAAAAAAACTAAGCTTTTTCGATCCAATGTGACGAATTATGATTTATGAATAATGAGAGGAAAAAATTACTTTCTATTTTCTAAAAACGGATCTTTTTCGCTTTATCATACTTTTTCTATTCTTCATCTACTTTCATCAAATAAAAAAGTCAACAAAAAAAAAACATGTGTATGAAATAAAACCATCTACACACATAACGGTAAATATGGTTTTGTGGTTCTTACTATATAAATATATATATAAATTGATTTGTAGGACCCGTTACCTTGTGTAGATCATGTTCGATACGATCTGTACGCAAATACATCTGCAGTTGACCTTCTCTCTCTCTCTCGATCGATTGGACATACGGACGGATAGAGAAGAGTTCAAGTGAAAAAGGATATTACTCGTTCGTTCGCGCGCATTTGCACGGGACACATATGCACAGTGTAATGAGTTTTTCTATTTTTTTCTCTCTCTTTCTTTCTTTTCTTTCTCTTTTTCTATCCAGAATGTTCTTCTCTATCCTCAACATGATGTGTATGTTCGCTTCTTTGCTAGACAGCTATAACCGTCGGATGTAGCGAATGAAGACATGGATAGAATAAAAATAGAAGAAAATGACACATAAACGGATATAAAAAGAGAAATCATGCCTACTAGTGTCGTATACTTACTGATCCAGTTGATAAATACGAGGGAAGAAAATGTGATTTATATATGAAAAATAAACAAATTGCCGAGAGATGTAGTAAAGGCTATTGCTAGGCAACAGTATAGATGAAACTGATTAATTCATGTTTATGCAGCACAGCTGATTGTCATATTGAATTTCAAATTCGAATAGAAAAGCACTAATGTTTACGGATACTGGCCCACGGAATAATAAGAGACGACCATATAATAATACTCAACGACCACGAATAGATAAAAGTATTAGACATCATTGTAAAGAATATTTCACTTAAAAATGTTTTGTTTTCTATAGCACTTGATGATGATGCACGAGTCAATAATTTTCAATTTTCTCAACTTACAAGTAACATGCTTCGTAAGCAAGAAATATTCTTGAAAAGAAAACTTTAGACTGAATTATTATATACACAAAACGAATTTGGTGTAATTCAAAGAATTATGTTCTGTTATGTACTCGTATACTTCTAATAATAGCATATGAAAAATATTTAATTAATTAATTAATTATTTATAAATATTAATTGAATAATAATTCATAGGAGGTGCATCTGTATCAACAAATTATGATATGTCATCAATCTACAGTAGAGCACCAATGACTAAACGAGTAAAACCAATACGTCCATCAAAGTAGATATAATTCTCTTCTTTATTAATTGTACAAATAAAAACAAAACATGTGTTTTTTTCCCACTGTAGAACATCAGAACCTACAGGATTACGTACTTATAATGATATTGTTAATTCAGGTGCTTATGCGGAACCTGATTATCAACCCAGACCGATTAGTATGTCTAATACATTAATTGCTGCTCGTTTTTATGTATTTTATTGAGCAATTCATTTCTATAGAGACTCGTACTGATCAAGAAAAAGATCGTCTAGCACATTTAATGGCTTATGGAGTTGATCCAACAAAAGTAATTTATAAACCAGTTGAATATTCACCATCCCCTCGTGAAATTGATCGATTTGATGAGTGTATGTCAAGTTTTCTTATTCACTAATACGAAATTTATTAAAATATTTTAGTGGTACTTGAAATTGAGCAGAGAAAACAGTTTCTTGAGCAAATGACATCACTTGGCAAACGTAAAGAATATCAACAAGTCATTTCAAATGAGATCTCTGACGTTCGTATAGTTAAAAAAGTGATTAAAAAAATATTTATCTTAAATTTTCTTTAACATAGAAAATACGTGAAATGGAACAAATTGATCGGCAACGTTCAAAAGCTTTAGAAAAACGTCTGAAAGAACAGCATCAGTAAACAATCGATTCAAATTCAATGTAGTTATTTTTTTTTATACGCATACAATACAATCATATAGAGTTTTTGTGGGATGCAGTTTTTTCAAACAAAAGAAAAATTCTTATTATAGCTGTAGTTCAACAAAACCATATTGCGCATTATTATTGCAATTTAAATTCATAATTATAAATAAGACTTCTATGACTATGGCATAATAATTTGTAATTTTCTTTTTTTGGTAGTGCGCTTGAATACTTGAATTACCATAGTCACGTTTAAGTATTGTACTTCTCGGTGAGCTTTATAGATTAAAAAAGAGAATCATCAACATTAGAGTTTTGATAAAGATTAACATATTTTTATTATTTACTGTTACATAAAAAAGAACTCTTTTCTCATCTAGTCGAATTATCTATTAATATTCACGAGTTCTGTAAATAAACACTGAAGATTGTCTTATGGTCAATATCATAATGCATCTCTGTTCGTTTGATGGTAATCAATAGTTCTGACAAAGTTTTATCAGTGCACCACAGGTGAAAAAGTCTGTGCTATTTTTTTTATCTCAAAATTAATTGAATCTCAAGATCAGACATGCAGCTGTGGCAAGGATACTTCCTTTGTGACATGTTGGCAGAAAATGTCGGCGGTAATATTGAAAATTGTCAAGCAAAGTAAATGATTCAGCTTGATCCAGTCGATCGCGTGTAATGATTTTCAAGAAATAGGGTCACAAATAAATATTGATCACAAGGCAAAAAATAGAAGTCTGATAATATCAATACGTTTCAGGGCCATTGTCAATCTTCGTTCTAGGTTAAAAATCGTTTTCAATGAACTCAAGATCATAGAATTACTATAGTCGTGGCAAGTCGATCTACTTCGAACAGCACTATCATGCATCTTAATTTCATTAAAGAATCGATCTGGATATGGTTAGAACTAATAAGAAAAAAACGAGACCACCAGACCTCTTATGGATCGTATCAAAGTCAATGTTTACTATTACTTTCTAAGTCAAGGCTTTGATAGTACGGCCTATTTTTACTGAGAATTTAGTTGCGCAATAAATGTGTAACATTTACAAAAGTAGCCTCTTATCAGAAACTGTGAAATAATTCGACCAAGCTTCGAGGCCATGAGAACTCCAAAATAGCAATGCTTCTCTGTAGATAAATCGAGGCGAGCAATCACTTGGAAAAAATATAACGAATTCATAAGATGGATTAGTCGTCGATGCTATTCGATTTGTCTCTATCGAAAATGTATGACGATGATATCTTGTTCATATGAAGAAGCCGAAGAAAACGACTCAAACAATTAATCAGATTTTCATTTTTCTTTTAGAAAAATGCTGTTATCATCAGTTAGAATCGCGCAATAATTTTGTTAAAAAGAAAGTAGCCATGTCATACTTTTGGTTTACAGGATTTACTGTCCGTTGATTGCCTCGAAGAATAGAAATGAACAGAAAAATATTTATCGCAATCAACTATGTATATTTAGAAAAAAAAGAATTCAAGCAAATATATGAGGAAATAACAAAGAGAATAAGGAATTGATTAATAAATCAGCCAAAAAATATGAATGGACGTTCAACTTTTTGGTGGACGCTGAAAATATCTAAGTCCAGCAGATTTTAAGAATGATGGAATATCGATAATCGAGGTAGCAGAATTGTCGTTTACCATGGGCAGATTCAGTAAATATAGCAGACATTTTTAGCAAGAGGACGATAAGAAAATTATGTTCTTTGAATTTATATATGTTTTTTATAATTTTTTGTCATATTAATGACTATCTCACCCCTCAATTTGATGAGCATCCGTCATTTTAAATTGAAAATTTATTCAATAGTTCGCTCATTGGTGACTTTTTTGTTTTTCAACATTTATGTAATTTTCTGTTCAGAAAAGGGATTGACAGTCAAGACCATTACTCATTTATTAATTTCTCTTCTTCGAAGAAATTAATGGATAGTAAATCCTCAAACGAAAAAAACGCTAATTGAGAAAAAAAGTGATTCAATCAATGGACAGTAAATCCTCATACAAAAATAGCGTGAATTGGAATGAAATTTTTCCGATCAATGGCCAGTAAATCCGCGGAAAGTAAATCGTGTAGACGCATACTTTTACGCGAGGTAATAATACATTTGATTTATGTCGTCGATTCTTTATCTCGTACGTGCTGTTTATATAACAAAACTGCTATTTATTTTCAGAAAAATGATCAAGAAAAAATGACAATTGAATCGTTTCATTCAACTATTGTAGAAAAATTTCTTTTATCAATAGCGTATTGTTTACATCATCGTCATCGTTGTACTGTTTCTTATTGATGTTGTATATATTTTACCGAACAGAGACTATGCATTGTATTTTACAATAATCGAATAATATAAACAGAGTTAAATTAAGTGGAAAGAATGGAATTATAAAGTCATCGTTTTATTTCATTGGCTCTTAAAAAATATATATACTTAGTATAGTTAAAAATATGAGAATAGAGAAAAAAATGAATGAGTCTGCTGACTATTTGATTATTCTATGAAATATGTCATTGTTATGACGAGTTCGTACCACTTGAACTATATATATCATTTGTTACTAAGATAAATTACAAAATAATAGTAGAGATAAGAAGAATTTCCAGTTCTGGCTAATTAATAAAAAGCATTTCTTAATTTTGAAAAATGCTTTTTCTATCAGCTCTTGAGTTGTCAATTTGTTCGTCTGACATTTATAAATTATAATTCAACAGAATAACTTCCCATAATATATAATTGAAATGCTATTAGCAACGCTTTGACTTCGCATCTTTTCTTCACTTAAAGAAGAACCAATAGAAAACTTCGAATCATGTAATACAATGACTGTGTCTTTGCAGTGAAAAAACAACAATTATTGCATTTACATTTGAATGAATCGTATTGACTATTGTGCCTACTCTTGTATTTGATTTGCTTTTGGCTGCTTGTATTATTGATACTATTCTATACAATTCTACTTGATAGGCATACAACAAAGAACTCTTTTCTATCTTGAACTGAAGTAAATATTTGATCTATAATACAATGAATAGAACACAGCTTTGGCATAGATCATTAATTCAAAGGCGTCTTTTATATTCGTAGACTTTCATTTTCTATTTTTCGTATCATTAATATTATTTTATATGTAAACAAGAAGATATTTGATTATATACAGAATATTAAAGTAACACTAAGTTAAATGTCATCATGAAAATCTGATTGTACGATCGATCCGAAAGAATTCATAAATAGATTAAAAGGATGCAAATGAAATCGATAACAAACTCTGTAAATAAACGCAAGAAATCTGCCAATTTTTTTTCTTCTTGTAATTTCAATCGAATGCTACAGAAACGATAAGATTCAAAAAAGAGCTCACTTCAATTTTCTGCAGTTCATCGGATGTTCTAAACTACAAAAACAAAATCCTTCATCACTTCCTTCCAAATGTTATATATCGTAATTTAACGAAAGCCTCTTTGAAGGACGTGCGTGTAGTATAGTATCATTAACAACAAAAATTGCAAGAAACAAGCGGCTCTGACGAAGGCTGCATCTCGACAACTATTAACAATTGTTTATCCAACATGTAAAAGAAATCTGAAGGCGATCGATCGCGTTATGTAAGAATGAAAAAGCCTAATCATATCACGAATACATAAAAACGCTCTTCGTATTGTTTCTTAGTAAAGTACTAGAAGATCGAAAAGAAAATTTCTGAAAAGCCTCACGGGTAAATCTGACAGCTAGAAAACATTTTTATTTTTGTCATTTTATCATCGAGCACTGTTTGTTGTATTAAAATTAGAAACTTGTAATTTTGAAGTACATTAAAAAAATATATTTCCGATGTGAAAAGAATAACTTTCAAGAGTCTTCAATGTTTCTAATTGTTCTTGATGGAAGGATGACGTTTTCCTGTTATATGAACACTATTTTCTGAATAACTTTTAGAAATGCATCTAATTCAAATAACTAATGACTTTGGCAATATTAAAGTATCAAATGAGAAAACGTACTACTATTCATTGTCAAGATTAATAAATTGAAACTAAATAGTTTTCATGACAATCTTTTTTTTGCATCAAATTTATTTCATATGAATTAATCCAATGAAAAAACCTAATTTGGTTTATGGATTAAAGTCCATCTATTTTTAATAGATAACTTTCATTTGAACCATCTTAATATTCGCAATAAATTTAATGATTGAGAATGTATCCAATAAATCGATCTTTAATATGATTCCAATAGGTTATAACCAAATCAATTGAATCATCAATATTGTGATTTAATTGTTCTTTTGTTTGATTAAATATATCGGATACTTGTCGTTGAAAACCATTCAATAATTCATCAATGTAGAATGTTGCTCGTTTACGACCCACCGATTCCAATAAATTAGCATCAGCGAAAATCGAAATCATCAATGCGTTAATCTTATTGAGATACAATTTTTTTAATTCTCCTAAAAGATTCTCCACGGTTTCATGTAGGATTTGTTTTATTGCTGAGAAATTCATTAAATTTCTACCATGGTTTTCAAATATTGTTGGAATATTAGCAAAAAAATCTGTTATATGATTATTCCATTGTGTTGAAATGAAATTGACTCCGCTAAATAATTCTGAAACCCATGGTGCCGGTTGAGTTTTATCGAGACGAGCTAATCCATGCTGGCCAGTTTGTGAGAGTCTTTCACCAAATACAAAAACTAATTGAGTAAGTTGTTTAAATGTATTTTGAAATATTGGATTTAAATAAATGAATAACAATTGAGAAATATAATCGATAATCGATGTAGCTTGTATTTCAGGTAAAGATGAAGCAAATGTTAAAGTGAGAGAAGCCATGAAAATAATAAGAGATAATTTCATTTTAGACTTCTTTTTTTTTGTTTTTTGGATAGGTTGTTTTTCTTTTTGCAAAAGTGAATCTTATCGAATGGAAACAATTATATTAATCATATCTTTATTCTTTTATAGATTATGAAAATATGCATGTGAGAATCAAAAGCAGATGGATTCATATTTCTATGTCTCACAAGGTAAAGTATTTTCATTCGAAGAAAAACAAACGATTGCACTTTAGTATTTATTGGAAAGCAAAAATATTAATTGATTCAAAATTCACTGATTACTTTATTGTTAAATATATAGATATGCTTTCTTCGGTTATATATCACGTGAAGTCAGTATTTTTTTTCTCGTAAAATATCATATTTATCTAGTAAGTCATAGATTTTTATTTTGTCATTCTTATTTCAAACGCACAGCTTTCAAATATTAGTTATTCTTGTCTATTATAACAATAAATGAAAGTCACAAGACATTAATAACTAGAGAAATACTCTCACATAGGAAAAATTCTTTTCATTCTAATTGTCAGAATAAAAAAAAGACGCATGTGGCGAAGTCAAAATGATCTTGTTGAGTAACTTCCCTTTTCTTTTTTGTCCAATCATGTAATTATTGTGTGATTATACGTTATTATTATTTTCAGTTTCTTTAAAATTCATTCATAATAGGTACTTTTGAATATTTATCGATATTACAATCTTCTAGTAGACAAAAAGCTTTTTGACCAACCATCAATATGAATTATATTTAATACATCTATCTTTCTCTTCTCTTCTTAATGATTACTGCACAGATGATATCTCATCGTTCTAGTAAAATAAATATCGTATATTCATATAGACGTACAGTTGCCTCTAGAAAATTCAACAAAAAAATAGTACAGGTTTTTCTTTGATTGTGAATTGATTTACCATGAAATCAGATATGTTTGATTGATACATCACGATCATTTGCAATAATTGAATAATTTAGTCAAGTTATGGTAATGATCGAAGATAAGATCTCCGGTTTCGTTTGACACATATTATTCATCATTCGTTAGTCAAGTTACAACAGTTGACTTCAGGCAAAAACAAATGTCTTGCTCGTTGAAAGATAGAGCCGGAAATGAGCGAACTCGTGATTCGCGGTCTATTTCCGGATTTATTCTACATACTTAACTAGTAATTCTCGGATGTTGAACTATTGTAAATGCATGATGATCAATCGAAATCAAATTTACAAATAATTAATCTAACAATTGCACTAATTAAACAAAAAGAAAAGTAAAAAAAGTGTTTATCTGGACGATTTCTTTTATGGCTTTTTAATAAATTATTAATTAGATGAAATTCTATTTACTACACTCCATACAATAGAACAAAGACAGTTTATATCATAGATATTATTTCATAATAAATAGAAGACTTAGAAAGAAAAATTTTCTTAATTCAAATAAACAAGTTAGCTATAGTTTTCATAATCAATCTATATTCACTTCTTACATTAAGTAATGTTGATGAATAATGAGACAAAAAAAATAGAAAATCTTCCTTTGTTTTTCTTTCCTTATAAAAATGAATCAAAAGTACATCAAAAGCTGAAATAAATTCTTCTCTGTTATTTTCTTTTTCTTTCTCTTCGTTGTGTTGTTCTTTTAAGTTTTTCTTTTTTCCGTATTTTCTATATCTTCTTATGTGAAATAATTGAAGTGGAAGTTTTATTTATTCAATTACTTAATCTTCTTTAAGCGATAATTTCTATTCTATCCGATTTGTTAATAACACTCATGTTGTTGCTTGTAGTGCATCAAAACGACTTTTTAAATAAATAGAAAAGAGAAGAAAAGAAAAAAGAGCACGTCTATATCTAATTATCACTTCTCGCTTTTTACGAGCGATGTCAAATAAATTTGAAGAAAAATAGACAAGATTATCATCAAAATATTAGATGGCATATACGAACATAGAACGAGAGATATGTTTATATTTAGTGATTATATCGTGCTTGTTATTTTATACGATGTATACAATGAAAAAGAAGAAGAAAAACCTAAGAACGACTAATCTATCTGATTTATTGATCTGTTGAGAGGGCGGAAAAGCATCATTGCTTAGTACTACTACACATGAGGGTAGTACATTGCGTGACCTCCATTCGTGTGCTGTGCGCGATTGAAAATGGTTCATTATCGGCATGCATTTTTTTCTTTTTCTTTTTCTTTTTCTGACTGCTGTGAGTTTGTGCGTTAGCTAGTTGTTATTGTGTGTGTGTGTGTGTGTTGAATTTAGAACTGTGTATGTATACAATGATGCGACGGCTTCATCTGTAATCATGTTGTATGTGCGTGTTGATTCATGTGATTTTCATTTCTTCCTTCCACTTGTTAGAATATGCTTTGAATAAATAAAGAAAAAAAAGAAAATTCTTTTTTTATATTAAACAAGAGTAGAAATAAAAATTGGGTGAAAATGTAACAGAGAATACCAAAAATGAGATTATTATTGTTTTCATTTTTTGTGTCTTCAGAATAAAGAGTAGAAGAAAAAAATGCTTGTTTTCTTTTCTCGTTTAAAAAAGTAGTTTATCTGAAGTTTTTATATTTGCATGGCTTGATTGAACTGCGGATTTTTCTCTCGTATACAAAAAAAAGCTCGGAAGGAAGAAGTTGATTTCTTCTATGAACCGGCAATACCCATTGAAATAAGAAGCCGTTACTGACTTTTATTGTGCACTTTTCTATTTCTGTTGTCATTGTCATGTACGCGATCTATCTGTTTCTGTTGCATTGCCATTACATGTCATCATCGTCATCACATGCCACATACATTCACGCCGACAGACTGACTCATTATTTGAGTGAATGTTAATCATTTTCATCTTGGTCATCGCCGCAGGCGGCAGTCATTCGTTCGGTAGGGGTGAAACTATAATACATATAACGTCTATGTAGCTTTAATTTAAATTTTTTTTTTGTTCGCTTATGTACGTATAGCTAGATGTTTAATCGTCATCATCGTTTTCTTCACCTGTTCATCTGTCGTTCATTCATACTGATGTAAGCAAAGAAAGAGCATATTTTGGCCCGATTATCTTTTTTTTCTTCTCTCTGGGTGGCCCTCATCGTTCTTAACCATACTTCACTTTCTCTTTCTCCTTTACGCGCCGCATGCAAAACGATAAGATCAATCACGAGGACGACGAGTTGCTTTTTTTCTCTCTTTATGCTTGTATGTTACTGCTACTACTGTTTACAGTTGTTCTCCTCATTAGAGTTGCTAATCAAACGGAGTTGAATGCGCATTTAATAATCGCTATGTAAAGGTGTGTTAGCACATATGACTCTAGGGCAAATTAGAAAAAGTGAAGATTGCGATACTGTTGATTAGTAAGAGTTAGTCACTACTATACAGACAGTCCTATTCGATTTGTGTTATTTCATTAGATGAGAAATGATGATCAAATATTCTATTAGATGACGAGAGAAAGAGTGGGGAGAAAGAGAGAGAGAGAGACAACAACTCTCTCGGGAATCAGAAAGAGAACAGAAAAGCAGTAACACATCGCAGTAGCAATTAACTTTGCATTTCCAATGAGCGCTCTCGTGCTTTCTTTTCTCTTTTACTCGTTGTGAACACTGTGTGTGTCTTTTAGCGAGCTATGCTTCTTGATCAGATTCAATTGTTTGACAGTGACGAACAGTTTACTTTGTCTTCTCGTTTCTTTTTTGCTACTCTCCTGTGCAAAGATCATATTATTGCGTACACATACTTGTAAATAGACACACACACACACACACACACACGCTGTAAGACTATAGATTAGCATTGACTGTGTAGAACTCGTTTCCGTCGGTCATTATCATTCAAATATAGACACACATCATATTGAATATCTTTTTCTTATTGTCATTTTTCTCATTTTATAATTGTTGAACTTAATGAGTTGCCATATTACAACACTTTCCCTAGAGAGAAAAGCGTAGAAAACAGGATAAAGCTTGTTGTAGCATGTTGTCGGTCGTTGTTCGTTCAGTCGTCATCATTCGCCAATTCTCGTTTGATTAATTGCAATGAAAAGCACATCTTTCTGTTTCTTCTCCTTCTCCTTCTTCCCATCACATATGCACGCATAGCTCATATTTCATCAAATCCTCGTTTATCCACATAAATGGAGTTCTCTCTTTCTTTCTCTTTCCATTTCATGTCATAAAAGCGACGACGAACAAGCGCTCTATTGCTCTCCTCCTTTCTCTTTCTTTTTGTCTCCTATTTTTCTCGTTTTAGATGTGCAACACGATAGGAGTGACTGCGAGAGAAAATAGATGAGAAGAGGGCGACAACGATGACAAGATATCATGCGTACAGTAACCGCTAATTAATTGTTGCTGTTGAATTTTAGTCCACGGGGGGGGGGGGGGGGGGGGGGGGGGGGGGGGGGGGGGGGGGGGGGGGGGGGGGGGGGGGNGTTTCTCGCAAACCCCAGCAGCAAAAATCATACATGTCGATGTTGTTGATCTTTTGATGTATATGACACTCGCAAACGCTTGCACACTAATTACAACAGTCTTCCGCAATCACCTGCTTGTCTTGTCTCTCCTTGAGTCAATATTTTATCTTTCTCTATTCATCGATAAAAGGCACTACTACATACCGTTATACAAACATAAATAGTAAAACGACGATTGTGCAATATATTTATATATATATATATATACACATACAATCTTCTCTAATACATCGTCATCACAATCATTCGATACGTTAGCATGTGTATCCATGTATATGTATATATACATATACATATACATATATATATATATATATATATATATGCATATAGAGCTCTTTGCCCAAGGCTATATTGGACGATAGCTAATTTCTTTGATATTCGAATCATGTCTCTTGAGAGATACTTGCGTCTTACGCCTGTCTGTCAATCGTATTAAAGGGCATCTATGTAATGACTATTCGGTGGAAACATATATAGAGAGATTGACTAGTTTTGTTCGTACCAGATGCTGCCTATTGCCTAATTGCATAGATATATATGTATGTTCTCGTGTATCAAAAAAGAATTTGTTGCTCAACTAAATTAAATCTTCTCGTCTTTCTTTCAACACGTATGTGTCTGTGTCATCTGTCATCAATGTATGCTTTATAAGAGGTGTCAATTGCCCTTCGAGTGTGAAACGATGCATCTCCCTTGAGTAGACGCGATAGCAGTAACAGCATCATCATCTCCTTCTTTTGTCTGTTGATAGCATACTACCCGCCTTATTCTAGTCAGCGTATTCGTTGTTCTTTATGTCTCTTTACCCGGTTGGCTTTGATCTCGATCCTCGCCCTTTCCGTCGTCGTCGCCTTCCGAGCAATGTGTTTGCTTGTGTATGTGTGCGCTCGCGCTCGTTTCCTCCTTTTCGTTGATTCTGTTCTGTCTAACAGCTACAGAGCAGCGCGGTGAAGGGTAGTAGAAGAGTAGTACACACCACACGTCGTTACAGTCGTTTTTTCTCTTCTTTCCCTTTACACGACGTGCAGCATATCCTAAAAGCCCCAGAGTACTTCTTGTCGCATGTTTGTCTATATTTCATATTCCAATTAAAGACTGAAATCGTTTCATTGTGCATAATTTAATGTTTGAGTAAAATAAGACTATCATATTCATATAGGGTATATATATATATATATATATATGCATAATTGATGTCGGACAATGATAATTATACGAGTGTATATGCGCGTGTCTATTCCTATTTTTCTTCTCTTTCTTTCTTGTTTCTTTGTTCGACAATAATAATAATAAAAAGTCATTTAAGATTGGACGAATAAATAATTGTAAGCACATGACTTCTAGAATAACAGTATGTGTGCTGTGTCGAACGGAAGGGTAGTGTTAATCATTGTTCGATAGAATAAGTGACTGAATGAAAGAATGAATGAAAGCAGTTTGTTTACTGCGGAAGACTGTTGTAATTAGTGTGCAAGCGTTTGCGAGTGTCATCTACATCAAAAGATCAACAACATCGGCATGTATGATTTTTGCTGCTGGGGTTTGCGAGAAACCTCCCTGCGGTATGGTGGCTTCTCGTGTTCGTTGTCATGCTGCCACCATATCCTTCTCTTTTTTCCCATCAATGTGTGTATAGTCAATATTTAATCAACCAATTTATCGTGACTATGCGAAAATCGCATAACAGAAAAAGAATGAAATGTCACTGGAGGCGCTAGCGATACTACTACTAAAGCTAATCCATTCAATTGTGTGATGTAATCGATGGCAATAGGTGCCTGTATAGTTGTTGTTGCATGTATACAGACACGCTCAAAATAATATATACATACATATACACTTACAATTTGTCGCTCAAAGCGGTAAGAATCATTATACACCTCATCGATCTAACCATCCATCAATCGTTCTTTTTTTTCAATCTCACCTTGATTTGTATATACAGGCTTGTGTTCTCTTCGTTGACATTTATATATATATATATATATACTTTCGCACACTTTAATAAGCGCATAGCTTAGTTTGTGAGTAGAGCAATACATATATTGTTCTCTATATATGGGCAATAGAAAAAACGGGGTAAGATTGAAATTCAATATTTGTTTGATGGTTTAAAATGTCTACTAGCATCGAAGCTGTCACTTTATGCCTTTTGGCAACAGAACTTGCTAATCGAGACAGAGTAAAGAAGAGGGTGTTCTTTCTTTCTTGCTTGTTCACTGCTCCGTGCTAAGTGAATTCCCCATCGTTCATCTGCCGTCTGTCTCCTGTCGTACACACGCACTTGATGTCGATTGTTATTCTAATCATTCGCGTCGTTTGATGATTTTTTTTCTCTTTCTCTTCTCATTCTCTTCTTTTCCTTTTGCTTTTCTATTGCCTATGTTATATACGTCTGCAAGCATTGATTGCAGTAATGAATGTATGTATGAACGAGAACAGAAGGAGGAGCGAGAGAGTTCATCGTACATGTATATATTTATATACATATAGATATATAGCTACGTGAGTATATGTGTGTGTGTGTGTGTTATCACATGATGATGAACAACAGAACGAAAGGTCCTAGCGCGAATCTGTAATTGTGCACACTCGAGTGTTCGACAAGCGTTAAATGCGTGTAGGAGAAAGAAAGACAACGCAAGAAGCGAGTAGATCTATAAATTATGTTTGTGTTAGAGGAAAGAGAAGAGAGAGAGAGTAGAGAGTGTGTATGTGGGTGCGTGCGTGAAGTGGCTACTCTTTTGCAGTAGTAGCGGCAAGAGAGAGAGAGAGAAGAGAAAGCACAGGCAATCATTTGCAGTGTATATATGTATGCAAGTCAGCATGAAAAGTCCAGCTGCTTTTGTGTATCGAGAGGCGTCTCTTCTCTTATCATGTGGTGTTTTGTGCTTACGTTTTGTCGACACAAATTTCTTTTTTTATTCTTCTTCAGATGTCATTTATTTCTTATCTAATATGATGATGATCAACTCTCCACCACCATCATCACAAACAACAACAACACAATCAGATTCAACAAAACGTTTACGTTTAACTATTCCAAGAAATAATAAAACCGACTTATTAACTAATTCTAACAGCATATCACCGGAGAAAATTATTGATGAAAAAAGAAATCATACCCAAAAAAAATCTATTGATTGTAACAATACGATGACAACAATGAAACAACAATTATCATCATCAATTGACAACGAAAATGATACAACACTACTAACTACCACCACAACTACAACAACTGTCGAATTTAAAGTTAAAACAACCAAAACATCTTCTTCACGTAAACGTAAACTAAACATTGATGACGATATGATAAAAGCGAGTAATACAACTAATAATGTTGATAATAATGATGGCGATGACGATGATGATGATAATATCATCAAAAAACAACAACAACAACAACAACAACAACAACCAGTTAGTAAGAAAAAGGTAAATATATATATATTATATAGAATACAATTGAAGCGCGAAAGACAGAAAGGAAATTCAATCTCTATTTCTCTTTCACGCGTGCGGCATCCTCGAGGGATAATGATATCTTGATGTGTGTGCGTGTATGCGTGTGCATTCGCCCTATTTACTTTTCTCCCGACATACATACGCGCTTTATATGTGTATGTGTGTACGCAGCTGCTTTATTTCTTCTTTTTCCTTGTCCTGTCCTTTGTCTGTCTGCGCTATTCAACATCGTCGTCATACAACACTTATCTTAAAGAGACAGAATAAATGTGTAAATCTGTCAATTAATTTATTCATCCATTTCTTTTTTTTTTGTGTTTCTTCAAAGAAAAAACAACGGTCAACAAATAATGATACAATTACAAATGATGAATCATTCAATACTGATAATGATCATCAGATGGATACAAAAACTGTTGATCAATCATCTGTAACTGATGAGTCTTCGTTTGGTTCATGCGAACCCGGTACAAGTGTTGTTTTGCAGGGCATTGTTTGGAATGAAACAGATAAAGGTAAATAGAAGAAGAAAAACAATTTTTTTATTGCTTTTTAATTTCATTCTTTAATGTGTTTTATAGGTGTTCTTGTTGTTAATATCACTTGGCGAGGTATGCCGTTTCTTTTGTTTTGTTAAGTTTCATTAAATGTGATATGCTTTAGGCAAGACTTATGTTGGTGCATTGCTCAATACAACTGAACAAAATTGGGCTCCACCTCGGTAAGTATTGCCTTAAAGGCAATTCCTTTTTAATCAATAATAAAAGGAAGGGAGAAGACGGAGAGAAGAAAAAAAGAAATATGTATGTCATCAAGAGTCTCACTTTATGGGACGTTCTATGAGAGCCTACTCGAACGCACTCTTTGTCTCACTTGAAAAGACCACTTTAAAATAAAGAGAAAGAAAAGAAAAGAGAGGGGGGGGGGGGGGGGGGGGGGGGGGGGGGGGGGGGGGGGGGGGGGGGGGGGGGGGGGGGGGGGGGGGGGGGGGGGGGGGGTGGGGGGGGTTGGGGGTGGGGGGGGGGGGGGGGNTCCACACCCCCCCCCCCCCCCCCACACCCCCCCCCCCCCCCCCCCCCCCCCCCCCCCCCCCCCCCCCCCCCCCCCCCCCCCCCCCCCCCCCCCCCCCCCCCCCCCCCCCCCCCCCCCCCCCCCCCCCCCAAGATGAATCTTATTATAAATAAAAAATAATCGATGTTGTTTTTTTTTCGCTTTAAATAGTTATAAAACTGATGTTCGCCCAAGCAAACATAATCGTCATAATCATCATCATAATCATAACCGAGATTATTTATTATCATCAACATCATCATCACATTCATCTGTTCATTTGCAAGCAAATAATGATATTTTAACAAATGAACCAGCTGAAAGAATTTTGCGTAATGGTAAACGTCGAGGAACTTATACAACAGTAACACCAACTCCCACAGCAACAAATTCAACATCAACGAAATCAAATTCATTTAAAGTTCCTGAAGCACCACCAACAAAAACAGATGGAATATTGAATACAGAAAAACTTACTGATAATACTTCTGGTGTACCATCATCGTCATCAACGAGTGTCAATGATGAAGATGATACAAATTCTATATCAGGCGAAAAAACTCCTGTAAGAAATGGTGTTGATGATGAAACGGGTGATAATTGTTCAAGTCGAAGTGTTAGTCCAACGACAAGTGGTGCAAGTACAACATCATCAAGTCCACCGCCATCTATACAGGAAAAATCTATTTTGCCATCGACAATAAATAATATCGAACAACAACAACCACCACCACCACCGCCACCACCACCACCTCCACCACTACCACAGCAACCTACTTCGATACCGATGGATTTATCCAATTCAAGGACGACAATCAAAATTGAAGAAAATTCTTCATCTTATAATTCAATTCTTCAAGCTCCATCACCTTCAAAATCTTTATCAACATCAATCACGCCTTCTTTCTTATCATCATTTACAACAAAAAGCTGTAAATCAAAAACAAAAGAAACACTATCAACACCACCTTCTTTATTATCACCACATCCTTTTCATAATGGTTTACTTTTTTCGCCGCCGGGTAATCCATCCGGTTATTTTCCTTCACCACCACCTTCATTTTTACATGGACCATCAAATCCATTTGGTCTATCACCATTTCATCCTCATCATCCTCATCATCCTCATCATTCGCCAACATCATCACTACACAGTAATCATAATAATAACAAAAATAAACTATCTCCATCATCATCATCATCACCATCCGCTTTGTCTCCTTCATCCTATTTAACGATTCCTCCGCAGCTTTATTTTAATCCATTGACAGCGCCTCGCTTTCCGTCTGCCTGCTCTTCTTCACCTTCATCTAAATCGTCACGCTAGCTTGTATGTTTGATCAGATACTTTAATTACTTGCGCGTATGTTTACGTGTGTTCTTTTTCTTCTTCTCTTTATAACCTATGTGACAAGGTGCTCTGATGGCTAGTAAAAATTGGTTCCTTTTTTTCCTTTCCTTTTCTTTTTTGTTTGTTGTTCCTGTTATCGTTGTTGTATATATGCTTTCGTTCAGTTTATCTATTCTAGTCGGATGTTCTATGTTCGCAAAGAAAGAGACCTATAACCCTTGTGTAAATTTGCTCTTTCTTTCTTTCTTTCTTTCTTTGCTACTATTACTAGTACTACTATTATTATTATTTCTGTTTAATCATCAAACAAACAATAAGAAAAAACAAGAAAAACAATCGATTATACACATAGACTATTAACGATACAGAGGAATGTATGCGTAGCCTTCAAGTTGCTCACTTAATTCATTTTTATTCATGTAAATAACGAAGAAAAAAAAAGTAGTATAACGATGAATCATATGTTGCTGTTGTTGTTAATATTTCGAATATGTTAACGGTGACATCATTATTAATGCAAGTGTAGAGAGCTGGTTTTCTTCTTTTTTTTTTCTTTGCTTTTTAATCTTCTCTCAAGCAAGTCAAGTCAATCGCATTATCCAACCTCTTTTGTCAATGAGGTGTGCGTGCTTGTTCATAATAGGAAATTTTCTTGACATTATGCAATTTCCGCTCTTCACATTTTTTTTTCGATTACGATCAATGTTACATTGAATAGTGACAAACAATCATCGCACACGTATATATTCACATTAAAATCATACATCTATTTGTATGAGCGCCCGAGCAATTCAATACAATATATATATACATAATTTATAGAATATTGCTTCCATACTGTCAAGTACGATTATGAGGACAACAAAATTGATGTGAAGTTCATCTGTCAAATAGCTTGTCTAAGAGAAAAGGTTATATAAATAGAAACTATCACTTCTCTTTTTCTTGTATATATGCGTATAGTTTCGAAAGCATCATTATCGGCATACAAACTGTCGCTTCGGCGACTAATAGACATATTTACATAGTACCTATATTATATATATATATATATATATATATACACACATACACGTATGTGTATACACACGTATGAATGTGTGTATTGATTGTGACAACGACAAAATCCGAAGCACCATCAGATTCAGTTTTCTTTTCTTTTTCATTTCTCGACATTACCTATCTTACACCATTGAAATGAAAGAAATCGAGACGTCAATTAAAAAACAAGGCTTCTCTCAATACACTTTGAGAATCTCTTGAAACGAGAAAGAAAAGAGAGAAGAAGAAAAAGAATAGAGAGAAGAAAAACTTGAATGTTTCTTTGGTCATATGCACATATACATAGACATAAGCTTATCGTAGCTAGTATATAGTTACGAATTCGCCGTCATAATCCGATGCGGCTTGTCGACAATGACGGTGATGAGATGGAAATGAGTAGATGAAAAAGCGGAAGAGAGCGAGAGCAATGGCATATGTAGACCTCGAATCCATTTGCGTGTTAGCTGAAAACATAAAGGAAAGAGGCGAGCAAACGAACGAGTAAAGAACGTGTGCCCGGCCGAAACTCCTCCAACACAACATCAATGCGCGAGTGTAAGCGCAAAAGATAGGCATCAGAAAGACGAGTGAAAGAGCCCACATTTTTTTTCCTTCTTTTTCTCTCTCTCCTTCTTCGGACGAGATCGAACGAACGAACGAACGAACGATAGGAAAGAAGAAGAAGAAAAATATATCCTCCGTGCGCATCGGCATATTCATTTCTCTGGAGACGAAAAAAGAATAAGAAAAAAAAGAAAAAAACGACACGACGATCATCACTCTCTGTAAGCAAATGTAGCCCTGAAGAGAGAGAGAGAGAGAGAGAAAGAGTATGTGTGTTGTGTGCGCGCAGAACGACAAACGGTCCTTTCTTATTCTTCTTCTCGTCATGTTAATATTTTCTTTGTTCTTCACAAATGTGAAATAGACTGACCCGTCGACAGAAAGCAGAAAAAGAAAGGAAGGGAATAAATCGTAGCAGCATCAACAGCAACAGCAGTAATAGCAGTCCACAATATGACTTTCTTCTTCTTCGTCTTCTAATCCTAGTTCGTCCTTAATTGCCAATACGTGCATTATTTTCTTCTGCTTGTTCTTCTTCATCTTTCTCTCTCTCTCTCTTGTGTGTGCTTTTGTTATTGTTCTCTCTCTCTCTCTCTCACTCTGCCCGGTTATAGGACCACCCAACAAACACACATACACACACACACACACATATATATACACACATACACAACTAAGGCAACAGCATGAGCTGGCTCGTCATCATCATCATCACACGATGAATCTTCTCATCGAACAACGCCCAAAAGCAATAACATCATCGAAAACCCAACAACAATCTCAAATATCTAATGAAAATGACATGAACAATAGTTCACCATCATCTCCGCTCGTATTAAAAATCAAGCGTCACACGACTAAACAACAACAACAAGACGAAACAAATAATTCTATTTCTATTTCATCACATATGTCCGAAGAAGATAATAATAATTCTCGTTCGACAACGAATACTCAACGTTTAAAACGTACTTCTTTATCGAATGCGACAGCTACACGTCGACCATCGTCACCTGCATTTAATGGTAAACAACAGCAGGCAACAAAACGTTCCGTAACGATCGATAATAATAATAATGATTTAACGTCGAATATTGATGATATTGCTGTTACAAAACGTTTTAAACGGGATGATTTGAATGTAAGTGAAGTTGTTAATTTAATTCTATTTGAGATTTAACAGTAGTTATATTGCATTCTCCTTCAGTTTCCTTTTTTATTTACTCAGCGTCTACTGTTGAAATTGATCTTATATATATATATATATATTAAAAAAAGAAAATGTTATAGTTTTTAATACTTCATTTTCTTGTTTTATTAAGCAGTCGTCTTCAAACAAAGTAGATGCCTGTGTCGAAACAGTCTCTATTGGTTTGGCAACTGAACCTGATCATCTCGGTCCTTGTGAGCCTGTATGTTGTTTTTCGTTAAATCTCATTTCCTCTCAATAATATATTCTTTTTTTTCTTTTCTTTTCTGTTAGGGTACAAGCGTCGTTTTGGAGGGCATCGTTTGGAATGAAACCGACAGCGGTAAGTAATAATAGTAATCAAATAAAAAAAGAAGAAGAAGAAGAAGAAGAAAAAGTACTACTACGTTATAATATTAATGACATCCATGAGCGCTTATATGGTGACATATCGCTACTATAAGCAATCAAACTAAGCAGATGTTGGTGCTCTTTTATATTAATAATGAAAGAATAGAACTACTGAAGTTTGTGACTTCATTGTTATTAAACAAAGAACAGATAAGTTTATGCATAGTCTAACCATGATAAACAACAGACGACGTTGCCTGTATGATGGTCTCCATCAAGTCACTTTTTTTTGTTATTTTCTCACTCAAGTAATAGTTGTGCATAGGAAATAAGTTATTCATCGTCAATACTTACGAGAGCAGAAAGAAAAAAAAACATTCTTTCCCATTCGTTTTATCAGTTATTTTACAATTATGCATACATATATATATATGCCTTAAGATTTAACCTTGTTAATAACGGAATTATAATTTGTGCTTTTTAGGTGTACTTGTTGTTAATGTAACATGGCGGGGAAAAACTTATGTTGGTACATTACTCGATTCAACTAAACAAGATTGGGCTTGCCCGAGGTGAGAGAAGAAAAAACGAAAATCAATATAAAAAAAAATAAAAGAAGGCTTTTCTTTTGTTCCGTTGAATAAATTAGATTAACATGTGAATCACCAACAAGTGATTATGATGCTCGAAGTAGTAGTAAAACTAGTCGAACAAAACGTACTGGTGCCGGTGGTCATACTCGATGTTCAAATCAACACTCGTTATCATTTTGTCAACAGATAACAGCAAATAACGTTTCATCAGGAATCGACGATCGTAAACTTCGTAATAATATTAAATCGCGACAATCGAAACGTTTAAATAATCTTCCAACATCGATAACGGAAGAAACAACAAATAATTCTTCACCATTAACTTCACCGTATCGAACAAATACACAAACATTTTTTCCTCCTGAGACTCCTGTAACACCTAATACATCGACTAATCTCGAACCACAACTAATCTCATGTTCAGAATCTCATTGTCATAAACGTTTTGCTTCGGCTACTGCTCTCGGTTATCATATAAGTGATGCACATAGAAAAATTGAAATAACATCAACTATTCCACAAGCGAGTACTCGCGATGAAGAAGATGTTGCACATATTCTTGCTAATGTTGCTGATTATGTACGTCGTTCATCTCCACCATCATCTATACGATGTTCACCTGAACATCAATCTCAGTCTCAATCGAATTCACCTCCATCAAATTTGAAACCAATGGAAAATTCAACAGCATTATCTTGGCCATGTCCACAAATATCGTCTAATTTTGTTCTATCATCATCATTAAATAATACCGAACAATCGATATCACCTATTTCCGCAAGGTTTGTTTTCGAAACATATCAAATACAAAATAAATTTGAAGTTTCTAGGTGTAAATTAAATAGCAATGAAACAAATATTGATCAAGATGAAATAAATAATTCCGTTAAACAATCTGATCATTTCCTCTTACCTATACAGAACGAAACAAGTATTAATAAAACTTCTCCAATAACAAATTATGTTGATTCAACTATAACAAACAAAGAATCAACGAATATACTTCCGAAAATTCCAACACCGCCACCGCCACTACAATTAACTTCATCTTCACCAGCTTATTCCGATATATCCGATGAAGATCCAACACCTAATGAACAAATGCTCCCACCGTCAACAATTAATCTATTAACAGCAACTAATGGAAATCTTGATGAAAATGGAAATAATCTCCATTCATCATCATTTCTATCTACGAATGGTGGATTAAATAGTTCTAATCCTGCATGGGCTGCACAAATGATTTTTCAACAATTCGGTTCTTTTATACAACCACAAGCATTAGCATCAACCACAGTATCCAATAATAAAGATTTATCAACAACGCCGAATCGGTAATTTTTGTTTTGTTTTCTTGAAAAACATAATGAACTTACTCTATTCATTTTCTGTTTAGTTTGAACAGTAATAATATTTGTCCATCATCATCATCTTCTTCTTCTTCTTCTTCTAATGGTACCAGTGATTCAAGTGTAAAAAATATTCTCGATGGACGTCGTTCAGCAACAATTAAGTCATCATCAGCCTCCTCATCATCGCCACCAACAAGTTTATATCCTTTTCATTCACATGAAATAAAATTTCCAACACCAATCATCAATACATTAACATCACCAAATGAAAATCTACTTCATCTATCATCAACATCAACGTTGAAACCTATGGATATACTTGATTTTTCATTAAATAATAGTCGTACAACTAATGGCGGACAGTATCATCATTCATCTTCATTACACCCGTCTCGGTGATGATATGGATTTGTTTCTTTTCTTTTCTTTTTTGTGTTTGTTCGATTCTTTTTTCCGGAACTTGTCGATCGATTTGTTTTTCCTCTGACTTTTTTCTGTTTTTGGAATTTTTTCCTCCTTGTTTTGTTGAGGCATAATGCTTCAAGCATTTAAAGAAAAAGAAAGAAAGAAAGAAAGAAAGAAAGAAAGTCAAGACAAAAGAAGAAAAAAAAACTAACTTATCGATCATGTAAAAGGATCAATCAATTTTCACTTTCTATCTCTTTCTCTCCTACCATCTCTTTGTGTACAGCGATTCTTGTCTTTTTTTTTTCTTTTTTGTATCTTCTATTTGCACAAAAGGCGTGTCTTTTACACCATCAGTCTTTCACGTTCATTGCATTGTGCGTGTTGTATTTCGCTATTTCTATGTGTGTGTGCATTATCCTTTGAGATGAAATGACAAAGAAAGACAACGACAACGCTTAAAAGAAGCGTGTGTATCATTTTCTATTCAACTTAATACTCAGTTTTGCTTTCTACATTAGACAAAAAGGAAAGAAAAGGTTATATGTACAATGGGTGATGGTTCATTTATTTAGACACATGTGAGAAGAAAAAATAATACATGAAGAATTTTGCGATGACATATAAACTACGTTAATTATAGCATATCATGAATAAGTAGAATTTACGCTTTGTTATTCTATGCAATGAATTATTAGTCGTTATGAATGATTTTAAACTCAAAAGTACTAATTTGTATCAAGAAGTTGACATGTAACTATTCTTGTTGTCATTCATCTTAATGAAATAAACTTTTCCCGTCGATAGACTAGATTGTTGTTATTCTCATGACAGACCGGCAATCCACACTACATCAATCATTTTATTACCTAAACATATTTTTTATGGCTTCAGTAGTTTGACTATATAGATTGAAAAGAAACTTATTGGATAAATAAAAACAAAAACTGAACAGATTACCCTTGTAGAAATAAATATGAAAGCATAAAAACTAGGTCATCTTGTTTCTATTAATATTCTTTTAATGGAATTAGAATTAAAAGTAAGATTGAAGAGATTAGAAAACAAGAAAAACATTTCTTTTTATTTATTTTATAAGAGTTCGAGTGATGCTTCAATAATAAAGACAGAAAAAGAAATTTTTTTTTCAAGGCGATAATTGTCGAATATTTCACTCGAGTTTCTAAATTTTCATTAAAACAAAAGTATAGCTTTCAAGTGGAATTATTCTTTTGGTATAATTATAGCTATTTGACCACAAATATTTTATCATAGTTTTCTTGTTTTCATAACATTATCAAATATATGTCGAACAAACTTTTGTTAAGTAATAAAACTTCGATATTTCATAATATTCGTATTTATTTAACACAAAAACAAAGGTCTGAAATTCGTCAAGAAGTAGTACTTTATGATATCTGATACTTCGAGTTCGTTTGTTAACATCAATCAATAATAGAGAATGGAGAAGAAGAAAAAAACAAAAATTTAGAAGTTGTTCCTATTGAATTAAAAAAATCAGTAGTCATTAACAATGTCGATTTTCTTGCAAGTTGTATGTTTCACAGTGACTATTACTTTTATTCATGGACAACAATACGTTATTAAACGAGATTTTCAGGCATCTTATCAGTTTAATTCGTTTTCCGTATTTACAAACGATGAATATCAAGTACTTTATCGTATTGAAACACAATATTCATTGACATATGCAGCAACTATTAAATCTATTTTACCGCTGAACGATTTTATTATTGTTGCACATATTGATACATTTCTTGGGTCGCATAGAATTTTTACTTTTCGTTTACTTAATTCATATTTAGGCCGATGGTTGGACGGACGTATTTATCAACGAACTATGCTTATTTATGTTATTGAACTTGTTAATTTTGAAACGATTATTATTGAATTATCACCACCACGTACACCGACGATGTCATCATTAAATAGTGTACGTTTTCGTGATGGACGAATATCAAATAGAGTCCTAGCAGATTATACAGAGCGAACACCATGGCTATCGATATATGATTTACGTTTATTTAGTAATGAGTATCCAATTGAACTGTATCTTGTTGGTTTCGCTATTGTACAAAGACGAAGTGAAATTGTATTTTAATCGCATATGTGTAAATATGTATATATGTGCGTGACTGAGAATATCGAATTTATAATTTTATCTTTTTAATTGGAGAATAAATAGACGAACGATACTATAGAAAATCGATTTGAATTTTTCAAAACAAGAGATTAGATCATTCTTTAATGATGTGAAGATATTTTTGTCATAGGTATTTCAGTAACGCTGTACGGCAAGAGATTTTAATTCATAAAAAAGAATGGAAAAACCTGCCGCCAGTATTGTTTCTAGTATATATTTCTTGTAAACGAGAATTTTACAAATAAAAATAGTTAAATTTTGTCGAGGGATAGTTAGAAGTAAGATATTTTGTTTCTAGACTTGTTCTGCAAAAAAGAACAGCTGTACTCATATAAATGATAAGAAAAGAAAGTGAGTTAGCTATGTTGTGTTTCTATTTCAGGGTAAAACAACGCAAAAATGTTCGAGAAACTTCTTCATTTCTCTTTGTAATATAAATCATTTCTCGAAACTCGAAAACATCTTTTGTGAAACTATTTATTACTCTATGAAGACTATTTTGAGAGATATATGGCGTTATTTTTTCATAAGAAATCAATGTTTCTTAACAGACAGTTAGCTGCTGAGATCAAATTTAATTTGAAATTTTGCTAAATAAAACAATACTACTGCAAAAAAAGATGAAATCAATTCTGTTACTTATATAAGTTTGATCGTGAGCAATTTGTCTTAGTTCGTTGTTTTCATTACCGATTTCTCTATGTGCAATTTTGACACAAAGTCTCCGTAGTGCAGTATAAAAAATATTTTATTCGCAAAGATATATCAGTGTGAAGCTAGCACGATGAAACAGAGATTCAACTATAAGTCTTCTCAGAAGTATTGCCGGTCCATAAAAACAGACCATTCGATGCAGAATTTAATTCTGGATCGGATGGTGATACTTTTTTCCCCGGCAATACTTAGGAAGAAATTTTACCTACACCTTTGTTTTTTTCTAAATAGGACAAGAAAAACCGGATAGAATTTTCTCAAAGTATTGCCGGGGAAAAAAGTATCGCCATCCGATCCAGAATTAAATTCTGCGTCGAATGGTCTGGTTATTATGGGCCGGCAATACTTCTGAGAAGACTTATAGTTGAATCTCTGTTTCATCGTGCTAGCTCCGTCGTGCTAGCTTCACACTGGTCAAAGATATTTATTGCTTTACACTAAAATATTCATTCATTTACAGTTAGTTTACAGAATACATCCTATATTTTATAATTTGTTTTTGAGAAAGTAAATATATGGCACACAGAACGGATATCGTAGTTTAGCTTTTGAAGTCGGCTCTTTTTTTCTAAATATTTCGTGAAATGTTTTGTACAATTCTTGTGAAAAAAAAGATTAATCCTGAACGACACAGCAATCCTATTTGATTGTTGGTCGTTTTCAACTTAATGATGCCTAATTAGATTGAAATAATTATTCAACAAATAAAATACAGTTATAATGGAGAACATTGTGATTGTAGTACATTTTATTTTTTACAAAGAAGTTTTGTAATCGGCTCCTAATTTTGTTCATTCTTTTTTTTGGTAACACTGCTGTTTATTGATGGAAAAATGGCAATACATGCACATAACAGAAAAAGCAAAACAGTAACAAAACAACGTACAGTATTGCCAAAAAAAGCAGAAAAGAAAAGAAACAAGATGAGACACATGACATTAGTCTTTTGTCTCGTAGTTTGATTTGGTCGTTTCATATTGCAGTATAATGTGGTGAAAAAGTGATATTCGTAGTAGTGGGTATCACGTTGATTGGTCTTCATTGTATTATCATTGTTTCATAATACAAATGAAAGTAAACGACAGGAAACAGAAATAGCTGAGTATAGAAATACCCCAGGTCGAACAGTTCGGCCTGGAAGCGGCCGATTCCGAGCAGTTCCGTTGATTTTGTGGAAGCAGTATTCCGGTTGGAAATTTTTCCGGTGATTTCCGATCAATTCCTGCCAGAAAGCACCGGAACCTGGCAGGAATTCGCCGGAAAAGTCCGGCCGTATTTTTGACCGGAATACTGCTTCTATGTTCCAGCGATTTCCCGTGTTTTCGTGCAGGATATAGTGACTTTCCCGCATATTCCCTGGAGTATCCTACGGGATCCGGTGGCCGGAATGTTCGACCTGGGACGAGCCAGTAAATAGATTGACTCATTTCTCGTTATATATATGAAACAAACTCTACGTATGCGAGTCCGATATAACAATTTTCATGCAGATTCGGTTGACTCACGAATAGTCAAGTGTCTCGAGGATGATATTATAGTAGTAGGTTTGTGATTTTTTTCATATAATTTTTTCTAGTATATCTTGAGGATAGATTATAGATTTATACATGATGATCAGCATGACTACTGGGCATGTCTTGATTCGATTAGAAAGAAACCAAAATAAACATTAATAAGAAGCTTTCTTTTTTCTTTCTTGTTCGTGAATAAAAAGTTGTGAATAAATATTGTATTCACTTCGGCAGCATTTTCTATATGTCTTCTGTGAGATAAATAGATGACGAATGCTTTAATGCTTTTAGAAAATGAAACTTTTCTTTACCAATAAAAAACAAGTTTGAAATCATCAACTGAAGACATTTTTCAGTTCTTTGAAAAATGTGTATTTGACAATTGAAATATTCAATGTTAGTTGCTTACTTAGCTTAGCTTTTGTATTTAATCGCAGTGTGTAATTTTTAGACAGATACAATGAAAGCTCTGGATGATGCAGTATCATGTCCTATCACATTATCACTATTTCGTGACCCTGTTGTAGCCCAAGATGGACATACATATGAGAGAGCAGCTATTGAAGAATGGATACGAAAAAATGGTACAAGCCCTATTACTAACAAACAGATATCATTAGAACATTTAGTTCCAAACTATGCAATAAAGAAAATAGTTGAACAGTTTGAAAATTCATTGAAAAACAAAAATTTCCAATATGTTCTTGATGTGGATGTGAAAAAGAAAAAAGGTCGACCGTTATTTCAAACATTTGGAAAAACTATTTATTCAGCAGAATGGTTACCCGCTAATGAAGGTCGTCCAGAGATAATATTGCTAAAAATAGATGGTGCACGAGCAAATAAAGAAGCTTCATTTTATGTAGATCTTAGCCGCCATACAAATATTGTTCGAACATTTGGTATAGTAAATGACGAAGATAGCAATCAAAATTCTATTATGTTATTACAAGAGTACGCACCTGAAGGAAGTCTTTATGAAGTACTGACCGAGAGAAAAAAACCACTGAGTGAAGAAATTTTGATTGAGATATTTTTGCAAGTGATTGATGCAATGGCTTATTTGGCATTAAATGGTGTGGTTCATGGCGATTTAGCATGTCGTAATGTACTTGTGTTTCGTTTGGACGAAAATGATCCAAGAAATGTTGTGGTAAAAGTAACAGATTTTGGAATAAGTCGTTATAGTAAAATTTATAGTCAAACTAGAACTGTTGCAAGGACAACACTTAACGTTATTCCAACACGATATTGTGCACCGGAAGTACTTTCAACAGCTGTAACAGCAAAAGATTTTACGGAGAAATCAGATGTATATTCCATGGGTGTATTAATGTGGGAAGCATATTCTCGAGGTGTTGTACCTTGGGCAAGTGTAGCAAATGATGAGGAAGTTGTTCGACGAGTTAGAAACGGAGACATGTTACCCAAACCAGAAAATTGCAGTCAACAGTATTGGAACATTTTAACCAAAACATGGAGTACACAGCCTAATGAACGGCCAAAATTTGATCAATTGAAACAACTTTTTCACAAGCAAATGTATCAGAGTACAGTTTCGGCATCGGTATCAAGTAGGTCTTATTTACTCCATTACAGTAAAATAAAATCATAATATTTAAACCATATACTAGATTATGATAGTTTACTAAAATATATCTTTTTACGAGCCATACGATGAACCGAAGTTTTCGTTTGAACTATGGGTTTGTCCAAATCAACTCCTCATAATTTAATATCTTTTAATCGAAACAACTCTGAATATATTCAGTAGTAGTAAGTCAAAATTTTTAAAAACCGTGAGCACAAAAACTTGACTTTATTTGAATTGCTAGAATTGCTTTGTTATTCACAGAGCTTCTTTACTACTTCAAGAACACAAAAAGGTTACAGGCATAATTACTGAATAAATAAAAATGCTTTAATAAAATTTGAATAATTTTTGTATCTACTTTCTCTCTGTAGTCATTAAAATCTCTCTCTTACCAACATGCCTCTCTCAGTCAACAAATATAGTGTGACGAAGTTTACGTTGTTTGCAATCTATAATTGTTTTTGAGTTAGAGTACGAATAATGCCGTAAAATAAATCGGAATAATATTCATTGAATCTTTGATGAACGAACTAAATGATGTATCTCAAAAGTAATACTTGAAGAAGTACAGAATATAGACGATAACATGAGGATAAGACGTGTCTCAGTGTAACAGAATTCTCACACTTCATTCTTATTGCTAATCGTATTTTTTCCTTTTTATACAGCTTTACCACGCTATCATAGCCAAGTAGGCGTTAATAAAGACATTTCAACAGGCTCGTCAGCTAATCACCATCGCGTTGCCAATAACGATCCAAATCAAGGTAACGTTACTATTGTGACCATTTTATAATTAAATAAACCAAAATATCGCTACAGGTACTTCCACCGCTACAAAAAAACAAACTGCAACTGGTGAAAAATTCCGTCATAGTGATATGCTGGAAAAAGTTGTGCGACTCGGTAACAGTTCATATAAAATCAAAGCTTACGTTCCATGTGGGGGCAAACAATTATTTGCTCTTGAAGCTGAAAAGCCTGTAAGAGGCTATGATGGTATCTGTCCGGCATGTGGTAAACAACATCTGAACCTAGCTGACTCACGTGGCTTTTATGTCTCAGTCGATTCAGTCTACCAAGTACTGGAACAAAAAAAGTTAGAAGAAGAACGTTTACAAGGCCGAAAAGCTATTGATCGCTTAGAGAGTGTCGAAGATAATCTACCTCCACTTAAGCTTCCAATACTTGGCCAAAATAAAGGTATTGAAGGTGATTCGAATTCATGCTACATGGATGCAACGATTTTCTGTATGTTTGCTTATTCTAATGTATTCGATTCATTACTTAATGTGGAAACTGAGAAAAAGCCTCTAAAACAATTACAAAAGCTTTTGAGAGAAAATATTGTTCATGTACTTCGAAGTAAAATTGGTTTCGTTGAACGTAAGTTTCGTGTTGTTGTCTTCGTATTTCGTTTAACTCAATTTCATAAATAGGTGATGCCCTATATCACTTACGAACTCAACTGAGTAAAGCAACTGGAGATTCAACATTTAAAGATGTAGAAAAAGATCCAACTGAATTTTTGCGAGCACTTGAAGGACTTTTTAATTTTGCACCACTAAAAACGATCGCACCTGATCAGCCACCAAATGCGACGGCATCAAATATAACAACAAATATCATGTGTAAGTTTTAGTTTCTTTGTATAACAAGCATTTAATCATGTATTCGACAATTTCATAGGGGAGATGTTTGATGCTAATCCTAACAATCTGCTTTCAACAAATATTGCCAGTATATTTCTTAATTCACTTTCTGAAATCCCGGCGAAGTTAGCTACCATTCCGCCTTTTCTCATTTTGGTTGCTCCTCGTCATACACGTTCGGAACGGTCTTACCGTTATATTATACCTGATCGCCAAATTGCACTTGACAACAGAATTGTACAACTGGTATGTCTCAAATGCCAATTAACAAATCATAATCCCGATAGAGCCAATGATTTTTATTCGTGTGACTCATGTTTTGCGAGAGAATCTCCATCATTGATTACACCAGACACTGATGCCAAGATAGTATGTTACTGTTCAACATGTCTATCCAATTTACATAGAGATCTAGGCAAAGAGCTCATAAATCATAATGCAAGACGAATTCCTGTTGAGAAACATAAACTTAATTTATTTGCTGTATTATGTATCGAAGTAGCTCATTATGTTGCGTTTGTCAAATGTCAAAAACAACAAGACCAACATGAATGGCTCTTTTTCGATAGTATGAGTGACCGAATTCATAATGAAAAGAATATACCACTGGTGGACCGTGTACCTGATTTTGAGAAATGGATTGAAACAGCGGGAAAAGATAAATACTTTTTTCCAGACTTAGATGACCTTCGAAAGCAAGCACGACCATCTTCGCAAAAATTCAGTGAAAATGATATGCGACGATTACGTTTATTTCGTGATGGTGCTTTTTTCTTCTACGAAAATTCAAGCGTTAATTATCAATAAAATATTTTTTCTCTTCACGGCCAAGCGTTCCTACTTGTGTTTACTCGTTTATGATTATCATATTGTGTTTTGAATTGTAATAGCTTCGAGTTACGAGAGAACCGCAAATCTTTTGTACGAATGTTTTACTTTTTTTGGAATTGAAAAAAAACAATTCAATAATAAACCTTTCATTCAAGACAATCAGATTGAGGAAACATCATGTTGAAGTTAAATGCGAATTAAAGCAAACTGGTCAAATTTTGATTGGAAATTGAAGAAAGAAATACTTTCGACAATAAATTTTCATTAACAATGAATCCAAATAGATACACTCAAGTAAATGGAAAAAAAGATTCAGTCATATTGAACAGATTATATATTCAAAGAGTTGCATTGGTATTCTGTCACAAGATATCAAACCAGTTTTAAAAAGTTTAATATTGTCTACATACTGATTTTGTGCATCGCTTCTATGAAATAATAACAGAAAGAGATTACATTCGAAAAATTATATATTCATTTGAAGGAATTCGAGTTAATTTGATCTAGAATTTATCTAGGAAGCAAAGATGTGTAAAAATCTGATGAAGCGAATGATGTGGACAACGACAAACAGCCAGTACAATCGTTCATATTTCCTCTACTGAAGAAAGTATGAATCGTATGGACGCAAAGCTACTGCTTATCACTCGCCGAACTTTCTCATCAATAGAAATATATTTTAGACCATCTCCATTTATATGCATAAGAAAATAATATTTCGCAAGAAATAGCATTTTGATACTTGCGTATGTGCAAAAGTATAAAAAAATCACATCCACATCGACCACAGAATATTCAATTAATCAAAATACGAGAGGACATGGATAGATAAATTTATAGGATTTTCTTTTCAGTCGTAGCTTATTCTGCTCTTTTTATATTTCCAAAAATTTAGAATTAAAACGAACAGATATTTATGATTGTTATAGTGAAGTAAACTAAGCTCTGAGTAAAGTCGAATATTTATAGCACAATAGTTCTTTTGTAATCAACGTCGTTTACGGTTTCGTGTATCAAACTTGCGAATCAATATTAAAATAATGTCATAAAACCCAATAGGCGTATGATGAACTAGATTCGTTGTCATAAATTTCAGCATTCGATATCGATTCTTTCATTAAAAAACTCCTAGCAATAGACTTTCATAACTGATATATCAAAACTTTCATCTTCTCGGAGACACAAGGAACGATGTCTCCGACAGGACAAGAAGGCGAATATTGGGCTTTATGTCAATGTTTTTCATAAGTCTGAATTTTATTATTTCATAAATGCTTTTCATATCTGCATAAAGCACTTCATTTTTGCGTTAGAAGTCTTATCTTATGTTGATCTGTGTTTTGAAACTAATGGAAACTAAGTTTTATAAACTAATACAACGAATTATTCTGCAGTTACATCATTATTCTGATTTATTTCAAGCTTTTTCGACAATCTCGTTTCAATAGCGAAGGGATAAAAAACAGAAGTATCTTATCTAAACGTATATGACAAGAATATTTCTATTTTTGTGTGAATTTATCGAAACTATTTTTATCAAAATTTCACCGTAAATATTGCAAAAAAATAGTCTTTTCATCATCAAGTAAATTTTCCTTCATACATCTATTAAATAGTTATGAAATGAAAATTAAATTACTCAGTTTTACTAAATATCATTATCATCTAATAACAATATCGTTTAAAGTTTTTCTTTTCTTATTGCTATCTATGCCATGTCAATATTATGCAAGATATATCTTAATAACGGAAAACTTTCTCCTTATATAAAATTCATATCAACATCTTGCTTGTCGTTGTCTGATGTTACATTTTATTTAAATAAATAGAACTCACGCGTTTCTCTCCATAATAAATATAGAAGATAAAATTAATTTTATCTTTATCAATAAAGCAACAACATAAAAAAGAACGGTAAACGGTGAATATTCAAACTAGTTGCATGCGTTTGTGGGGTAGCATGTCGAAGCCTATTCGTTCGATGAAGTTTTTACTTTTTATTTTGATCCTTTTTATTTCATTAATTGGATTTACTCATGGACAAACAATAACAGACACTGAAACAGAAAGAAAATCGCCAGTTTGTTTAGCGAGAGCCCAACCAAAAGCCATGGTCAGCACTTGTGACCCAAACGGAAATCGATTTTGCTATTTAACAGAGGCTATTGAATTGATTCTTTTTGGTTCAAAACAAAATAGAACAGATATAGAAGCACTTGTCGAGGCTATTCCCGAAACAGAAACACTCGATTGGTTTTTAACACTTGGACTTCAAGAGTTAGCAATGTTTGGTATGAACAATCCAAATCTCGTACCGAGTAAGTCATGAAAAAGAAAAAAGTAGCAATAGAATGAAGAGATTTTTTCCTCTGTTTTTAGGTGATTTTTTCGATGTAATAATTCCTGATCTTATTCGAATAGTGACGCTTCTAAGAGAGAACGGTACTACAGCTGTCACTTGGGCAGATTTAAAATGTTATGTAATACGTTTCGTTAATCGTCCGAATGCTATTAACCTTGTTCTATATTTGCTTCGTGATGCCCCAAAAAATTTCAAGACTTACATTAACGAGATCTATCTTGCTGGTATTAAAGATAAAAATTGTAAACGAGCAATGAGTTTATGGTTTGATTCGATTTCACGACCGTTAGAAAATACTTGGGCATTTCGTTTGTTTGATGCAAGTGGAAAACCGCCAACAAATATTTTAGCTGCCAATACAAATTGGCTCGGTAATTGGAATAGTTGTCACAAAGTCGTGTATTCAAATCAAACATTTCGATTCAAAGGACGCTATTGTCGAGCTAAAATTCGTGCTAATCCAATAGTACTTGCTGGGGCTGGTGATCTCCTTGACGGGTTTCCTGGCAATCCAGAAGAACTAGCTGCGGTCGATCTTGGTATATGTGTGCCGGACTTTTGTGAAAATGAAGATGTAGCGTCAGTTATTAATAATACTGTTCGTTTACTAACCATTCATCAACTATCAAATGTCCGTTCGATTGAAGATGTACTATGCGAACATGTAGCCGAGCCCGATGCACCTTATTATGTTTCAATGGTACTTGTAACAATTTTAACAGTTATTGTTATATTAGCAACATTATATGATTGCTTCTTTCGTACTGTATTGAATAAACCATATGCTACGGCAAGTACATTATCGATGCAAAATATTCATGCATTATGTAATTTTTCATCATCGAAAGAACGACCACACGGAATCTTTCATAAAGATGTAAATTCTTATTATTATCAATTTTCAAATCGTCTTCAATTACATGGCATTGGTTATCCATCAGAAACTGAAAGAGCACATGTATTGAAAAGTCGAAAAAATTGGTATAATCATATTATTTACAAATTTCATCGAATTGCTATTGAACTCTCGGCTTATACAGCTATTCTTAAACCAATGTCAAGTACAGGTAGGTTTCTATAGAGTAAACTATTGTAGAACTGAGAATAGGGTTAAGATTTAGATCTAAGATAGATTCTTAATGAGCTATACTATTCTTTATAGAGAATACTAATAAAAACTTGAATTTTAACCATTTATTTTAGGTGCCATGAAATGTTTAAATGGTATCCGTGTTCTTTCAATGGTATGGATCATTTGGGGTCACACGTATAATTATATTGGCGATCAAAGTTATTTTTTACTTACTCAAAATGCATTTGATTTATTGGATCTCCAAAAAGAACGTATAGATGCACAAATTATAATCAATGCACTATATGGTGTCGATACATTTTTTCTTATCAGTGCCATGCTAGTTACATTATCATTAATGCGTATGTTACAAAAAAGTGGTATGCCAAAATGGTATTTTTGGCCTATGATGTATCTTGAACGTTATTTACGTCTTGTACCACCCTATATCATGATATTTTTATTATACATATATGTTGTACCGTTCATTGGCCAAGGCCCATTATGGACAGCAACGAATTTTCCAATGAAAAATGATGATTGCCATAATTATTGGTGGGCGTATTTTCTTTTAGTTAATAATTTTGTACCAGGAGGACGTGGTACACGATGTCTTGGATATTATTGGTATGTATCAAATGATTTTCAACTATTTGTCCTAGCACCATTTATGATTGTACCATTATATTACTATCCATTGATTGGTTGTGGTATTTTATTCGGAGTTTTATTAGCAAGTTCATGTATATTAGGATTTAACATTATGAATACTTATCGAGTTGGACAAATTCTTGTCACACTTCAAGCTATTTGGGAAGGTAAGAGAAAAATTTAGATTTAAATTAAAAAAATTCATTCATTTATTTTAGATACTTATATTAAACCATACTGTCGCGCTGGACCGTATGTTATTGGTATTGCACTTGGTTATATATTTTTTAAAACTGATAAAAAGAAAATTCATTTACATCCAATATTCCATTTGTTGTTCTGGGCATTAACGATTGTTTTTATGGCAACAAGTATATTTGGTAACTGGACAAATCATGAAGTAGGTGCTACGCCAATGTCTCCATCAGTATATGTCCTTTACTTTGTTTTATCACGTATTGCCTGGCCATTGGCCATAGCATGGATTATATTTTCTTGTTATAAAGGTCTTGCGCCATTTATTGATAGTATGTTATCATGGCGTGGCTTTACGTTTTTTGCTCATATGTCATATACAACTTATTTGATACATCCAATGATTATGGTTTACTATATGTTTGCTCAACAAAGTCTATTTCATGCAACAGATATTACATTAATATATCTATTTTTTGGTCACCTACTATTTTCATTACTACTTGGCTTTTTAGCACATGTTGTGTTTGAACGCACATTTGGCGTTGTTATCGGATTGATTTTGCCAAAACGACAACGATAAAACAATAAGCTAATCAACAAGAACTATTCACATTTTCAATTCTATTTTTTTTTGTTTTTACTGCAAACAAAACAGTTGTTTATTTTTGCCACTTTTAAGAGAAAAAATAGTCCACTGATACTTATATATATATATACATATATGAAAGGATTGATATTTCTTGTTTTCTGTACACATTGTTGGTCACTATTAAAAAGGGCAATATCACAAGAAATATCGAGAAACGGACAAAGATAAGTTAGAAGAAAACATGACACACAAAAACAAAACAACAACGAAAAACTGTTCGTTTACATACACATAACAGGAGACAAAGTTGACATGCAAAAACAAGACGGAAATCTTGTATGAAATGTATGAAAAGAAAAAAACAGATAAATATAAATTATTAAATCTCAACTCCATCGTTAGGGACAATATCCATGGGAACGGGCGCGTCGTGAAAACTATAAGAAAATGAAATCAAACAAATTATTTTACATAAGAAAAAGGTTATTTTTTATTACCGATGGATGTTGGCGAGAGCTGATTGAGCTAAATTTTTTATTGGTTCACTCATTTTATCACTGTATGCAATTTGAGATAGTAATATTTCGCCATTTTCGCTTCGGACTAATGTGCAATATTTCTCCGCTAGAAATAAAAAATGTATGTCAACGATTGTAGTGCTGTTGAGATAAAAAGAACTTCATGAAATAAAAAAATAGGTTAATTTTAGATAAACGATATTTTTGAAATGCTTTCGCTTTATTCAAATGTTAAAATGAGTTTGTTGTAGATCTAGCATGAAAAAAGTAATCCAAATAACTGATTTTTCAAGGAATTCCACAAATTCTTTATCATAACTGGAATTTGCTTTTAGTCAAAGTAGGTCACTTGAAAAAAAACTGAAAGTATATGTATCCTTGATGAGTTCATCAAGCATTATCTAATTATTTGTAAAGAATTCAGTTTTCAAAATTCCTGCATTCGGGAAATTTACAAAATATCGTGTAAATATCGTGAAGAAGAGTTTGAAGTTCTTGAAAATCTAGACTTCGAAAAGAAAACTATCGCATAGGAAATCTAAATTCTTTAATAATCATCTATTTTTCTTCTGCTAAAATTTAATGTTAACACATACGGAGAACAGTAGTTAAATTCGTCATTGCCCAAACAGCCCACATTATGCAACCGGTTGGAAAATTTTCATTCAGCAGTCTTAAAATAGGTGCTAATGATCGATAGTTAATTGTTCGCGATTTATGTAAATCCCATGTTTGTGTAGCATCATAAATTTCTTGATTTACAATATATTGTTCAATACTTGAACTGATTGTCCACGCTTCAACTCCATCGGAAAGTATATTTGCAAGAATTCCACCACAATTATATGGGATTTCGATGTCGTTTTGTTGTGATCGTTTTACTAAAATTCTATTTATAATTGAAAAGACTTAAAATAGATAGAACTGTGAAGAACATTTTTTTTTCCGACCTAAATTTTTCCATATGCTGAGGGGTAACTAAATAATGTCTGAGTAGTTGGACTTCAGCCACGTTTCCTAGTAGACCCAACATATTTCTTACGAGATCCCGTTTGTCCGCCCATAGGTCTAAACAATCATGAAACACTTGTAACCCATCATTATCCTCAATAAATCGTCGACAATTCTCAGGTGTTTCATCGGTTATATTCCACAGTAATGTCCAAGCAACTTCAACAATTTCGCAACTTGTTTTTTTCATTAAGAAACGACGAATGATTCCCATAGCAATCTAATATTGAAATAAATTATAGAAGGACGACAAGAGAGATTGCTTTCTTTTACTTCGATAGCACCGACACGTCCAATAAACAATTTCTCTTGACCATCAACACTACATGCTACATGGTTGAGTACGGATAGAGCATTGTGAAGTAAGATTTGTTCGTGTACAACTGAGTCAAATAAATAAAGTTGAATAAACCTTATTAAAACAAGTACCGTTTGTTCAAAAGCACTCATCTAAACAAAATGAGAAAAAAAATGACTAAAGCTATCATGTTGCTTTTCTCATCATAGTGAAGTTCAACAGTTGTTCAAAACTACTAAAAGTAAAACTCTTGATATAGAACTTTCTGTTATCTATTTCATTTTGGAATAATAAATAAATTGTGCACCCTGAGGTTGAGATGTATTGTAACCAAAATGAAAAAGTGCATGTCTAAGTTTTCAAATACTTGGAAACGCTTAAATGTGCCATACATTTAAGCTAGCTGCTTTTTGTAGGATATGGAAATTTCATAGATGAACCGCCAGACGGAGATACCTGGAACGTCACAAGATAATCTCTCATTTTCATGTAATCTTCTTGGATTCGAAAATTACTGTGTTTGACTTCCCACTGACATCATCATTACTTACGATATGGTTTGGTACATGCATTTGCATCCGAGATATAGTCAGCAATCCATTACGAATCATCTAAATATTATAAGAAAATTTTATAAACTCTTTTTAAAGACGAAAAATTCTTATCGCGTATTTACCGGTGAGTGTTGAAGATGAGCACTCATCGCATTAAGAATAGCAACAAGTAATCGTTTTAAATAATCATTATATTTTTCTAACATTACGTCGGACTCATTTTGAAATAAATCAACCACATAGTACAAACATGCACTGCCGGATGTTTGAAGACTACGATCGTATAAATGCATTGCCATGCAATCCATTACCAACTTAATATGACAAGACTAATTAGTACTGTTTGAATGCTTATAGATATCTCACCTTTCCAGCGTCAAATGGATTTTGAATGGTATAATGATTGTACAAACGAAATAAATGTGCCATTATATGCGTTACCATACTTGGCCGTTCCATATAATAAGAAAGAGATGTGATTATCATTTCTTCAGTATGCTCACCAGTTATCTAAATTATTCATATATCCTTGCTTAAAGTCAATTTTGAATTAGAGATCGCGTAGATTTTATCGTTCTATCGAAAGTTTAAAGTAAAATATTTGAACTTGTGTTATATTCACCAGTAGAAAGTTCTTTCTGTCATCTCGTTATAAACATCCGCTACACATTCATCTAAATCTCTGGCAAGCGATGTATTATTTTATTTACAATATATTTCATAAACTCTGCACGAGAGACTGTTGGCGATAAATAGCTACATTTGAGCTTTGTTTACAACATATCTCATTCGACATGCAAAATATAATCGATTTACATTGGCATTCTTCAGTAGTTTAGCGAGATCTTATCTTACAAGCTGCTGCAGGATATACTGAATATATGTTTTAACAGAGGCTCAATATGTATTCCAACGCGTCTAACTTACTTTTTTTGCTGGTAACCATCTTCTAGCTGATCCTCTTTCATCGACATCGAATAGTCCCAAAAAGTCTAATTTATGTTTTAATACAAGCAAACCAGCTATGCTCGCTTGCATTGTGAAATTTCTGAAAAAATACAAAAAAAGAATTCTCAGATATTTTCAAATCGATAAAAGTCAATTTCTATTTTACATACTCGTTTTCATCAATAGAAAGTTCTTTTTTAATATAATTTAATTCTTCATCTTGATCGAATGAAAATGATCCGGCTAAATTTGTTCCGCTAATATCTAAAGATGTTAATTTCGGTAGTGATGTTATTAATTTCGCTAATGTTATTGTTGGTTTTGAATAGTTTTGTGGTTCTTGTATACGTCGATTAAATGATAGATCAAGTAGACTTAATGTTTTTAAACAACAGATAGAATCTATGGATGATTCAATAACACTTGGCAGGATATCATATAGCACTAATGAATGTATTTGTTTAAAACAATCAACGTATATTAAATTTTCAATGGCAGAATTTCTCGATAAATCAACATAACGTATTTGTTCACTGGATTGTATTAGTGTATGGTAAAAAATTTCCTCAACTGAATCATTTCTCATTGTATTATGTATGCCTTCTAATGAAAGATATTTTAATTTTGGCTTTTTCAGAAAACATTCTTTATCAATAGAATTCGGTGGAAAAAAGTCAACTAAATTTATTTTTCCATCCATTTTACTCTCAGTTTGTCCCAGATATAATGTTGTTAAACGAGGAAAATATTTTGTTATTAATTGAAATATTTCATATGTTATATTACAATCACGTAAATCGATTATTTCAATTAATTCATGTGATAGTAAATGTTTTGACATCGATTGATTCGTTATAAACGGACAGCAGCTTAAATAAAGCTCACTCAATTGAATCAGTACTTCTGATCTAAAATTAACAAGCATTTTAAAAACGCAGATTAAATTCTAGTAAAAATGTATTTTTCTCTCTTACTTTATTGTCTTGTTTTGGCCAGCATTATTAAAGAGAGAAAGAAAACAATCTGTTGTTTCCGATGAATGTGTTCGTCTAAATTTGATTATTGTTTTGAGTAATAAATTGCCTAAACGTTGAGATAGACATGATAATTCCGGTATATAAGCATTTTCATTAGCAACAATAGGCAATAAACATTTAGATAGATAACGAATACCAATCTCGGTTAGATTTAATGGTTCATTCATTATTTTTCTTGAGTCAATTTTTCAAATCTTAAAAAAAAAGAACAATCACTGCTAGATTTATTGATACACGAAACACCATGAAGTTCAATAAGCCAATATATTCGGTAAGGCTATATGCGGTTTAGAATTAAAAAGAAACAACAGCAACAAAATACTATCAAAAAACACCAAAAATGGAAAATTTGTTCATTTATCGACTAGGTTTAAATTTTATCAAATTGTGAATAGTTATCAATGATAGCTTAATTCAGTATTACCACCTGTTGTTGTTAATTTAACAACTGATCCATTAGTTGGACGTGAAGATGGATCCTCAATCCATTTATAGAATAACCTGTAAAAAAACAATAAATAAATAAATTCTTGTCTTAAACTTATTCCTATTATACATTTATACATACTCAGCAATATATTCAAGTGGTGTCCATGTACTTGTATCTGCTTTAGGCATCCATTTACGATTCATTGGTGTATCCAACGTTATCCTAAATGACGACAGACGTTTCGTAAATAGTAATAATAATTTATGCAGGAGCATTCGAGTGTGACATTCGCTTTTTTCCCATCTTATACCTCTTATTCACATCTGACTCATCATATGAAAAACAAACAAACGTACGGTGCAATCGTGAGAATGGATGAATCTTTTGGCATACCACTATTAGATGCAGCCAAACTTTTACCGATATGTATTGTAGCTGCTTTGGCTGCACCATAGCCAATCATACCTGATTGAATAAATTGCTTTTTAGAAAATTTTCTATTTAGTATTCCTACTACCTGGTGTTGCACCTAGAGCAGCTGCAGCACCGGAAAATGTTAATAATCCATTTTCCTTAAGGAATTTGCTGGCTAATGATGTAACAATTAATGTTGAATTAACACTTTGTTTGAATACCATCTCCGAATTTTTTATGAAATCTAATGATTTATATAAATTCTCTTCTTAAACTACTATAAATATTACTTGGCAGATACCTTTATCACTAGCATTACCACCAGCCCAGCCACCAGCAACGTTTAAAATAGCTTCAACTGATTCGCCATTCAACGATGATTGAATATCTGTGTAAATCATTAAAATAAAATTAGTTCAATTGTTTTTTGTTTTCTATTTAATTACGTTCGGAAACAAATTCAGCTTGCTTTTCAAGACTATCATTATCGTTAAGTGCAATACTAACATCAGCCTGTTCATTTTGCTTCAAATCAATTGATGTCACTTTCTAGAAAAAAATATTTAGTAAAACAAAATCAATAAAACATTCTACACTTACAAAATTTTTGCTCTGAAAATAGCGAACCAAGCAATCACCTAAAGCTCCACGTCCTATGATTCACAAAAACAAGTAATATTCTCTGATAAATAATTATTGGATTTCAAATTTTTTTCTTAAACCATATTTTATAGCATACCTCCATATATAATAATTTGTTTTGACATCGATTTGTCGTATTAGTTTGTTATCTGAAAAGAATTCTAAAAGCAAAACAGATAAATAGAGAACTGTATTCTTTCGCCTTTGGAATGGGAATGAATATTTATATCACAATTTATAAGAGGATAATATGGTAATCGAAAATGACAAAAAAATTAGTACAAAATATCTTGATTACAGAACAAGTCTATATATTTATTTTATTGATAATTAACGCTTGAATTTTCGTAGAAGAAAAAAGCACCATCACGAAATAAACGTAATCGTCGCATATCATTTTCACTGAATTTTTGCGAAGATGGTCGTGCTTGCTTTCGAAGGTCATCTAAGTCTGGAAAAAAGTATTTATCTTTTCCCGCTGTTTCAATCCATTTCTCAAAATCAGGTACACGGTCCACCAGTGGTATATTCTTTTCATTATGAATTCGGTCACTCATACTATCGAAAAAGAGCCATTCATGTTGGTCTTGTTGTTTTTGACATTTGACAAACGCAACATAATGAGCTACTTCGATACATAATACAGCAAATAAATTAAGTTTATGTTTCTCAACAGGAATTCGTCTTGCATTATGATTTATGAGCTCTTTGCCTAGATCTCTATGTAAATCGGATAGACATGTTGAACAGTAACATACTATCTTGGCATCAGTGTCTGGTGTAATCAATGATGGAGATTCTCTCGCAAAACATGAGTCACACGAATAAAAATCATTGGCTCTATCGGGATTATGATTTGTTAATTGGCATTTGAGACATACCAGTTGTACAATTCTGTTGTCAAGTGCAATTTGGCGATCAGGTATAATATAACGGTAAGACCGTTCCGAACGTGTATGACGAGGAGCAACCAAAATGAGAAAAGGCGGAATGGTAGCTAACTTCGCCGGGATTTCAGAAAGTGAATTAAGAAATATACTGGCAATATTTGTTGAAAGCAGATTGTTAGGATTAGCATCAAACATCTCCCCTATGAAATTGTCGAATACATGATTAAATGCTTGTTATACAAAGAAACTAAAACTTACACATGATATTTGTTGTTATATTTGATGCCGTCGCATTTGGTGGCTGATCAGGTGCGATCGTTTTTAGTGGTGCAAAATTAAAAAGTCCTTCAAGTGCTCGCAAAAATTCAGTTGGATCTTTTTCTACATCTTTAAATGTTGAATCTCCAGTTGCTTTACTCAGTTGAGTTCGTAAGTGATATAGGGCATCACCTATTTATGAAATTGAGTTAAACGAAATACGAAGACAACAACACGAAACTTACGTTCAACGAAACCAATTTTACTTCGAAGTACATGAACAATATTTTCTCTCAAAAGCTTTTGTAATTGTTTTAGAGGCTTTTTCTCAGTTTCCACATTTAGTAATGAATCGAATACATTAGAATAAGCAAACATACAGAAAATCGTTGCATCCATGTAGCATGAATTCGAATCACCTTCAATACCTTTATTTTGGCCAAGTATTGGAAGCTTAAGTGGAGGTAGATTATCTTCGACACTCTCTAATCGATCAATAGCTTTTCGGCCTTGTAAACGTTCTTCTTCTAACTTTTTTTGTTCCAGCACTTGGTAGACGGAATCGACTGAGACATAAAAGCCACGTGAGTCAGCTAGTTTCATATGCTGTGTACCACATGCCGGACAGATACCATCATAGCCTCTTAAAGGCTTTTCAGATTCAAGAGCAAATAATTGTTTGCCCCCACATGGAACGTAAGCTTTGATTTTATATGAACTGTTACCGAGTCGCACAACTTTTTCTAGCATGTCACTAGGATTGAATTTTTCACCAGTTGCAGTTTGTTTTTTTGTAGCGGTGGAAGTACCTGTAGCAATATTTTGGTTTATTTAATTATAAAATGGTCACAATAGTAACGTTACCTTGATTTGAATCGTTAGTGGCGGTAAGAGTTCGATCATAGGAAGAGCCTGTTGTAATATTTTTAGCACCATCAGTTGGATCGTAGAAGCCTGGCACTTTTATAGAGAAAGCAAAAAGTATTCAATGAGCTAAATTTTCATAAAACTCGTTTTACAGTACATCCAGGTTGTGTGTTTCCATTTGATGAAGAACCTGCACCAGACGTTGGTGTTCCAGGAGCGTTGTATGGCCTCAACATTTCAGAAAGTTATCTAAAATAGTGTTTCTATTGTGAATCAAAATGTTTTCAAAAGTTTTAAAAAAAAACATCATTTATTTCTTTCGACTGATAAAAATCTCATAAAACAAGACATCAACAAATTGTTTATTTCTAGTTTGTCAATACATATGCTCTGATAGATGTCATTAGAGCTTTTTTTTATCTCTGTCAAATATTTCTCATTCACGTAAGCAGTAGCTCCATCATTCCATTCTGATCCGCAATTTCATTCTCATTGGAGTTTCTAGAGATTCAATCACCGTCGACATATTTTTCTTCCCACAAAAAAACAAATTTCTTTATTTTTATTTTTTTTGGTAAATGATAACAACGAAAAACAAAACAAATCATTATTTATGTTGTTGAAAGTTCCTCAGAAGTTGAAACACTAGAAAAAAGAAAATAAGAAAAAAATAATTAATGAAAAAAATAAGTTTTACTTTGATGATTGATCAAGATACTTCATTGAATGCCAACTAAAATCAAGAAAAAGTACTTGTTGTGAAAGTCGTTCTATACGTGCCATATGTCGTTCTGGAATGAATAGAAAACAAATATTATTAATAAATTGACTCAATAGAAGAAGAAAAAAAAAGAAATATTATACCAGTATAAGGCAATAAACTTTCGACACATTTTTGTCCATTTGGAAGCTTTAAAATTTTATCTGGTGTTACAATGCTTAGTAACATTTTAATTATTATTTGAGCTTCTGTTGAATGTCTTGTATTTGTATTCCAATCAATCACATATGAAAAAAGTAAATCTATTAAAGGATAGACATTTTTTTAAAAGCAATGATGCAATTGTTATAAGACTTACTTAAATGATCATCTGAAAATTGTAATAAAGTATTTTTCAAATGATCGGTTCCATCAATTTCATTGAGAATTTCTAACAAAAGCAGAAGTAGAGAATATCAAAATGTGACAAAAACAATTTTTTTTACCTTTGAGAATTTTTAATGCTCGAAATGGTTGGTTAAGATTCAGAGCTATTTTTAAAGCTTCATGATACTTTTTATTTACCAATAAATTCGATACCTCTTGTTCCCTAAACGTAAAACAAACTATCAATAACATTCGAATAACACTTATACTCAAACTTAATCATAGAAATACTTGGTTGCTGTGTATTTTTAATTATAGTATAGACCACCTTTATAGGTCATGTATCCACTAGACTACACTGAAAATACCAACAAAAAGAATATGCTACTTCCCACTGCTTCCTCATTTTCTCAACGACAAGGCACATATTGCAATGAAGCGATGTTGAAGTATATTGTTTTTAGTACTTTGATTCTATTCGAATCCAGGAATGACAAAAAAAAAAGAAACTGACACATTATAATAGAGAAGGCTATATTGCTGCGCTAGAATTGCAAAGCGATGATTTTTCGTCTATGAAAAATTCCAAATCTCTCTGTATATAAATATTTGTCTAACTTACATTAGTAAAACTTCTTCGACATTGTCACGTTTTGCTTGTCGTTCTTCTTCTGTTGAATCCTAAAAAGAAATACGAAATATGTCTTCTATCTATTTTGGTTATAAGAGAAATCAGAAATTTCTTGAAAATACTCGATCTATGATTCTCAATATACATAAAATCACTTACACGCCAAACGATAACGGATGAATCACTAGCACAAGTCACAAGAAGACTTTCATCTGTTGAAGCTGTCATTCCCCATATTTTGCCTTCGTGTGCATCGATACTTTTCACGCATGTACTTGTCTTCAGATCCCATAACTTTAGAAGTCCATCAGAACCACTAAATTATATAAAACATAATAGTTGTCAAAATATCATTAAAGAACAAGAAAATCTTTCCTACCTGCTTATTAGTTGAGTACCCATTGATAAATAGACAATTCGAAGAACTGATGCATCATGCCCTTCAATTGTCTAAAATGAGAAGTAAAAAACAGAATGTCTTTCACATTAATTTAAAAGAATCTTACATGTAAACAATTGTAATCTTTCGTTGACCATATTTTAATTAATCCATCAGCCGATGCGGTTGCTAATTCCTAGAAAAATATGTGCATACATCATTTTTCGTACAACAAAAAACTACTTACTGGATTAACAGGTGAATATTGTACACACCAAATACCTCTTCGATGACCAGATAATACAGCTAATAATTTTTGATTTCTTATATCCCAAATCTAAAGTTGTTTAAATAATAAATTTTCTTACAGATAAAAGAAGCGACAAGAAATTACTTTTGCTGTTTTATCTGCTGAACCTGTTGCAAAGTGTTTATCATTGAATGAAACTGACACACTATTGACTTCTTTATCATGAGTTTTTAACGTAAACAAAGATGAGAGATTTTGTGGTTCAATGCTAAGATCCTTATCTAATATTAAATTTTCTAACGACCATACTTTCGCTGTTGTATCTTGACTACCGGAGACAATAAACGCATTGGATGTTCTAAACAGGAAATCTCAATAATTACATAGATTAGTTCGAAATCAAATCTGTATACTTTGAAAAAGCAATTGCTGCAACATCACCTGTATGGCCCTCGGCAAGGGCCACACATGAAAATGTTGATGTATCGGAATCATACGACCAAATTCGTACTATATCATCCTAAATAAATAAATTTTTATAAGATAAATTTCTCTATGTTCTAGTCAGTGAAATCTACAAGAATCCTCATCGATTCAAAAACTTCTGTCTGACACTTCATTATTTTCAACTAGATCCATTTATTTTATTCCTTATCTTGCCAATTACTAAGTAGAAAAAAAAGCCTTCAAATTAAATCTTACACTAACGGAATTTATATGTCCAAAAACAGCACAAGCAAGAAGATATGAAAAACGAAATTTCAACATACTTTTGAACATGTTGCAAGTAAACTATGATCATAACTAATGTCTAAACCAATAACAATATCAGTATGGCCTTTCAGCATTTGGCAATGCCATGTATTTAAATTAAATATCTTCACTTTTTCATCATTATTAGCAACAATAGCATATAATGGATTATTATCATTATCATTAAAAAAACGAACATCAAGAACATCACCTAATTCACCAATAAACTTAAAAGAAAAAAACAAATATTAAAACTAAATTCATGAAAAAATAAAATCATTTATTTTACTTGTTTTTCTAATTTTAATTTCTTAATATTAAATGCAACAATATTATGATCGACTGTATTTGTATAGAACATACGTGTTGTTTCATTAAAATAAGCATTCAAAAACACTTGTTCATGTTCTTTATCTTTACTATATGAATTAGCAGCCGTTTTCTCATGTGTTTTATCTTCTTGAATTAGTAAACAACGACCTGTTGTTCCGGACCATAATTTAACTAAGCCGGAATTACCAAATGTAAAAAATAATGGTTCATTTGGACTAAATGTTTGTTTAATTTTTAATGGTTTAAGATAATCCATTGATGGCAAAGAGATAAGTGCTTCAACTGTCTAAAGAAGAAAGTTTGCATTCAATAACAATAAAAGATATTACCAATTTAACAAACCTCCATAACCGGAATAGTTCGAGTAGATGACAAAGTTTGTAGATCCCATATAACTACAACACGATCACGACCAGAACTTAAAATTTAAGAAAAGTAAAGTTTTACTCGATAAACTATTTGATAAAATTATAGTGTCCAATTTAATAGGATGGTGACACTTGGCTGAAAGAGAAACTTCAGATAAAAGCGAAAGTTAGATCTGTTTAATTTTTCTACAGAGATACTTTTTGGTAACACTGATCTATTTATAAACTTTTGTAGTACAAACAACATTACCTGATTAAAGTATGATCATTGTGAAGAACAAATGAAGTAACTGTACTCATATGACCTTCTAAAACTGCTGGTTTAGCACCGGATGTATGTAGATTATGCATATAGATTCGACCATCATCAGAGCCAGAAATAACATGAATTTTTTTATTTTCTGATGTATAAAATAAAACGACTCTAAAAGAGGATACAATCATTTTATTGATCTTACTACTTTTTCAAATTACCGAATGATTGATGTTGCTCCTTTTAAATTATGTGTATAATAAAGATGTTCAACATCCCAGATTTTAACTGTAAAATCTGCTCCACCGGTAGCTAATAATGATCCACTAGGATTAAATGTCATACATGTAATCGTATTTTTATGTACGGATTTCCATGTTCGACGACATGTACTTGTTTTCCAATCAAACTGACGTAATAATTGGTTACGATAGGCAATAACAATTAAATCATTAAACAGTGCAAACGATGCAATTTCAGATGATGTATCATCTTCGCCAATCGAGCGAACTATTTGTTGCGTTTCAACATCAAGAATATGAACTAATGCATTGTACGTGCATAATAAATATTGCCCATCATTGGATATAGCAAATTGGCCACCTGTATAGAATGATGTATGCGTTGATTGCTTTACAAAATTTTCTTTTTCTCGAACCATCTAAAACAAAAAGCGAACAATCAAGAGAGAATATTCTTTATTTACAAATCCAAAGGTAAACTATTTATTTGTTCAATATCAAATGATGCTAATGAGCCTGGTTTTTGATTATCAGAAAACTGTTGTTGAACATTAACTGAATGTACAACTGATTTTAATTGTTCTTCTTCTTTTTTTACTGTTGCTATTTCATTTAAAATAATTTTTCGCTGTTGTTCAAGATGTTGATGAAGACGAGCCAATGTTTGAGATACATCTGTAGTATTTCCAGTTGAATAGTGATCATGAAGAAAATCAATGAAATTTGTATTGTTGGTCATTACTGCAATTAGAAATTCACCAAACGAATTTCTCTCTACAGCAATGATAAGTTTTGGATTTGGATATTGGTGAGAATGTCGGAAGCAATCATTTTATGTGGTTGTAGATGGCGTTGAATGTTATAGTGATGTTTAGAGATGATTTGTAACGGACTGGATTAAGAACTACGAACAAGTATTGATTCTGTATGTTGATGCAAAATGAAGTAAAACAAAATTTTGCTAGTCTCAAACAGTGATATGAACTTGAAATTTGAATTTCTAATATTGATTATTAAAAAAGAACGCAGCGACTTTTTTCACCCCTTGATCATGGACAACTATTCTACTAGTGAATATCTTTACGTGAGATTTGCAGTTAAATTCGAAATATCTTGATCTTTATAAAAGTATCAATGATGTATTATGAGTAGGTCACGAAGAGTGACTTTTGTTTTTGCATGTTGTAAGTATTATGGACCTTGTTTTCGTCTCTATGATATGAAGTCAAATCGAATTTGATGGTTCTCAGTCGCAATGATAGTGATATGCATGAAACATTTTCAGTGAGTCACCCTATGATTCGCTCGTGAAGATGGCGCTAATAATTCTTCTCTATTAAATTAATAAATTAGTCTAAAAAAACCGGAAGAATCAAATTTTTCAAACGATTAATTCATATTTTATTTTTATATTAGTTAAAGACAATTTGATTGGATAAGCACGCAAGAATGATCGCAGCGCCGACAAAAAAATAATTATACGAATGTAACTTGCATTAAATAAAACCTGCAAAACAATCATTTTTAATCGACATGGAGTTTCTTGAATGTATTAAACTTTATGCTAACAAACCAGCAAATTCTGTAGTCAATTCAGCAACAGATAAATCTGACGTAGTCGATTGGAACGAACGATTACAAACTGTGCGACGTTCAATTATAGATCAATTAAGTCGATTGAAAATTGAAGAAGTAGGCCTACGAGATTTAGCTTTGAAAAATGTTCAGAACAAACCTACACAGTCGACTATAGCAGTTTCAACAACTAATTCCAATCAACAGAACTCAATTACGAATAGCGGAAAACGCTTTTGTACAATGGCAACAAATAACTTCGATGTTGAAGTCATAAATCAAACTGAACTTGATCTTGATTCATAATTTGTTTATTGATGAATGTTAAAATATGTAAACGAGATTGTTTATTTTTTCAGATGATTGGCCATTCTACTAATTGCTTCATGTAGTGGTAGTGGCTGTTATATTTTTTTTTTATCTACATAGAAAACATTTTTTTAATAAATGGCGTCCAATACGGACTCATCACCAAATTCGAAAAAACCAGGAGGATCAGCGTCATCTCAGAATTACTATGATCTACTCGGAATTACACCACAAGCAACTGATGACGAAATCAAACGTGCCTATAGAAAGGCAGCTCTGCGTTTACGTTAGTTGTTATCAATTTAATATCAGAAGAAAAATTTCAATTTTTATATTGTAGATCCCGACAAAAATCCTGCTCCTGAAGCAGCGACTCAATTTCAAGCAGTTGATAAAGCATATAAAGTTCTAATTGATCCAAAACTAAGATCAACTTATGATCAACTAGGAGCACGTGGTATGAAAACGAATTCTTGCATTTATTTAATAGTTTCTAATAAGATTATGAATTTTTGCAATTCGCTCATGCTTTGGAGTTTTCGAGTTACAATTATTGTGAGAGATGAAATTGTAAATTCTCTATTTATATCATGTTCTAAATTGAAAACATCTATTAGACTACTCTTAATTGACCTAGAGGGAAAAACAATTATTGAAATCCGAAGGAGGTATTTAATAGGAATATTCTCGCGTGACAAAACATTTTCAAGGTGCATTGATACAATGACTTGAGTAGTAAAATAAGAAATCGAATTTACCTAATCACTGATAAACATGATTTGTAATTATGTACGTTTATTCTTTTGTTCCTTTCTAGCTGCTGATGCTATGCGTCGAATGAACGACGGTAAGAATTTCGATTTTTTTTTCATGGATTTCAATATTCTAAAATTCTCTATTTTAGAATACTCAGAGACTTTAGCTCGTCTTCCAAAATGGAAAAAAGTTCTATATGCATTTTTATGCATCGGTACATGTTGCTGTTTCGGTGTCGGTTGTTGTTGTCTCTGTGGTTGTGGTTGTTGCTGCAATTTTTGTTGTAATCATTGCTGTGGTAAATATAAACCTGAAGAAGATGTATTTACACCATTTCAAGTAAGATATTAACTTTTGAAACACTCGATAAAAAAAAACTTCTTTCATAGGAAGAAGAAGATGTTCCTGGCCTTCGTACTCAAAATAATGCTAATGAAACATCAACAATTATAGTAACTAGCCCAAAAGAGAGTGACCCAGTACTTGGTTCAACTGATGAAAAGAAACCTATACCACTACCTCCATCTTACGAATCGACATCAGTAACTAATCAATAATTGCAATAGCTATGGTATTACTCTCTACTTATTTTTAAATATATATATATATATATATATATATATCATTCCGATTTACTTTAATAATTATCCTCTCGTTTTTTTTTGGCTTATTGTAAAATGGTATTATATTTCTTTGTTTGTTTGTTTTCCGCTCTCAACTGGTTTGTTTGCTTTATTTTATATAAAAACAAATTTATCGTGCACTTTTTTTTTATTTGTAAATTTTACAATCCCGCTAATTATGCTGGTGACGATGATGATTTCGGTGATGGCTTTGATGATGATGGACAGGATTTCGATAATTATGTCTTGGAACTTGTTCATCTTCTTGAGAAGCTGATGAACTCCTTGTTTTAGCAGCTAAACAGGCGAACCAATTTGTTTCCATAGGTTTTTTAAATGTTTTCCAAGAATTTAATCGTTCACTCCAAACATAAACAAGTCGATCAGTTGTAAAAAAATGATGTAGATTTCCATAGGTAAATGCTTTTGTAACTGTACCAGTAAAACCTGGAAATTCATCATGTAGTTCTCGTTGATTAGCTAGTTGATAACCATTATCAACTCGAAACACACGTATTGCTTTTGATGTTACAACATGAACTTCACTATGATAATAGATAGCACCAACAATGGAGCTATACAAATTTCTTGGAAGACTTTTTTCGTTTCGATATACTGCACGACTTTGAGAACCAGTACCATAACTATAAGCAGCTTTATTGGTAAAAAATGTGAATTCATCCTTCCGCCTATCGTGTACAGCTCCTGTTATTTGTCTTGGTAGCTTCGGAAAGTTTTGTTCGTATGATGTCGTTCGATTGTCCCATGTACCTTCATTTGGTAAATAACGCCAAATTATACCAGCATTGAATGTGTATAATGTACCGTCTGGATGATCTAAAGCAGCATCGAGAGTCATTCGACAACGAGGGTGTGTTGTGTCAGTATCAATTGTAGTAGAACTTTTCCTAGTAGTAGCAGTAACTCTTCTAGTTGTTGTTGTTGTTGTTGTTGTTGATTTTGCAGAAGTTGCTGTTGGCCTGGTAGTTGTAGTGCCAGATGAGGACTGTTTTTTACCGTATAGGCCTTGAATTGCATCCCGATCAGGTCGTGGAATAATATTCGATTTTTCCATTAGTTGATAAGATGGAAACATGATTGAGTCTTGATTGTATGTATGATCTAAGCCGAGTGCATGACCAATTTCATGTACGGCTACCAGATATAAATTTATTCGATCATCATTGAAACTAGCAGAATAAAAAGCCATTAATTTTTATCTTTCATTATTAGATAATAGATTTTATGTCTCAAAAACTGTATCTTCTCTCAGATCAAATTACAACATACAATCTATACCTCGACAAGAAAATTAAAACCATGCTAACCTTTCTGTCCATGCTTCGTCTTTATCGAAATGTACCCGGCCGTCTTCGGGAAAAAATGCATGCGCCAATGTTCCACCAGGTCCATCGAATGCATGCGCATCTGAATGTTGTTCACGGAAAAAGTTGATAGTAAAATTTGCTGAACATGTTGAACAAACTGGTTCAATTCTCAAAGGAACATGATCAGTCCAAGCTTGAAATGCTTCACGTATAATATTTGTTGTTTGTGTTTGACTTAACTGCGTTGGAAAACCACGAAGTGAATATGTTAATGACGACTGTGACCATTTCAATGTTGTTATAGCGGCAGCATTTAAAGTAGCTGGCTTATCAGCAATACCACAGCGCGGCCGATTCATTTGTTTTTTGGTTGCATCATCCAACTTGCCAGTTACTTTTAATCGATAACGTTTTTGATATTCCTCCATTAAACTTGGAAAACTTAAACTACATTGAACGGCTGAATTTAAACATGGATTATAACCATATTTATTAAGCCAAGCTACTGCATCTTCTTCAGATACAACCGAATCTTTACGAGAGTTCTTTGCAGATAATGATACATCAATAAATATAACGAAAACGAATAGAACTATGTTGCCAATTTGTTTCATTGTATTGATTGTAAATGGTTTTGAATGTAAACAGTGTTCTGAGATATTTATATAGATTAAATATTCTTATCTCGAATAGATATTTCAAAAAAGAAAATATCCTATCAAATTTCATGTTGATTCACCATGAGTAATAGATTATTATCGTTTTGTTTTTTTAGATGTTTGAAACTACGCCAAATGGATCATCGATTCAAAGTAAACGATAAAACGAAAGACATGTTTTATTTTATTTAAAAAAATCTTAGTAATTGATTGTAAAAAACGATTATTTGATGAAGACGATTCAATTGATAAAGAAAAAGACAATGTAGAAAATCAACGAAGAAACTCTATTAAAAAACAGAAAATCATAGGTATATCAATGATTATTAGTTAATGGCTTTCTCATAGTCTTTCTTTTATTTTTATATTACATCTTAGCATCACGTTATCATCGTCAAATACCAAATCGACCATTTGTAGTATTAACAAGTCATCAGAATCAACGATATTATCTATTAGAACGTGAAGAGGATGATGATTGTTTCAAAGTAATAATAGTAATACTGTTTTTTGTCTTATATTTAAAAAATATATATATACAGTTGTCATTAAATGACGGAAATAAAAGAAGTCTACTTAAAGTATCAGTTGAAGATATGATTGAAAAAAATGTTCGACAAGTAAGTGAAGAGAAATAATTTCAATGATACAGATAAAACAATGTCGTTGACTTAGGAATTGGAAGAGCTAACAAAATCAATCGATAAGTCGACAGCTGATGCGGAAAATGAGTAATATAGTAGTAGCAGTTGTTTTCCAGAAAAACAATAACATTTCTATTTCAGAGATGATTCAACATTACCAATTGTGGATCAATATACAGATGAATTATGGGTTGAAAAATTTGCACCCCGTGCTTTTTGTGATCTACTAAGTGATATAGTTAGTTAAAATATAGTCATTGTTGTAGAAATTAAATTATTATCTATCGTCATTCTTAAAGGGAATCAATCGAACACTATTAGAATGGCTTAATCTTTGGCAATATTGCACGTCATGAACAAATAGCATCCAATGAAGCTCATAAAGATAGAACTCATTCAATTGCAACCGTCAATAAAAAGGTTTATCCATCGGATATTCAATTCGAATTAGATGCTTGTAAACGGCCACTACAAAAAGTTGCACTACTATGTGGTTCACCAGGTGCTGGGGTTTGTTAATTTCTAAAATATCGCTACGTAAGATATTCAGTATATATTTATTAGAAAACAACTCTTGCACATGTCGTTGCTAGACATGCAGGATATAACGTTATTGAAATGAACGCAAGGTAAATAAATGAATTTTTCTATTTTGATTTTATTTTCAAATTTTTTATTTTAAGTGATGATCGAAGCGTGGAATTATTTCGTACACGACTTGAAACAGCAACACAAATGCGAGAAGTTTTAAGTAAAGATTACAAACCTAATTGTCTTCTGATTGATGAAATTGATGGAGCACCAGCGGTAATTTAGATTCTTTTTATTCAATATGATCGAATGGCACCTTCCTAATGTTTATTATCTTTCTCTTAGCCATCGATTCAACTACTCGTTGATTTAATTAGTCGTATGCCGGCTGATTCACAGCAAGCAAGTAGTAAAACAAAGAAAAATAATTCATTTGTACTTCTCCGACCCGTTATTTGCATTTGTAACGATTTGTATGTACCTGCGTTGAAGCCTCTTCGTCAAATAGCTCTCATACTTAATTTTCCACGTATCGAACCAAATGTACTTGCTAAACGTTTATTAACCGTAAGAATTGATGACTAGTTTCTTTTTGTATCAGCCAAAAAGAATTTATTTGCTCTTGATTAATATAGATTTCTGAACAATTAAATATTCAAACTGATATGATAACTATGAATAGTTTATGTGCAAAAGCAACATGTGATATTCGATCATGTTTGCATTTTATGCAAGTACGTAAAAACATGAATTGGATTGAATTTCATACAAGTTTTAATTATTTAGTTTGTTGTAACACATCGAAATCGAGCGATAACAAAAAAAATGATCGAATCTACAGTTGTACTTGGAGTTAAAGATGCGCAAAAAAGTTTATTTGAAATATGGACTGAAATTTTACAAGTACCGCAATCGAAAAAGTTTGTTTTTTCTTACAGTTAACCATCGGTAGTATATTTTACTTATTGAAATCTAGAACACAATTAACACTTCAATTGGATGATCCACTTAAACGTTCTGGAAAAGTAACATTGGCAAGGTACGTAAAAAAAAAGAAATTTTATGAAAAGAAATAACTTGTACCATAAAAGTTTTGACATGAAAATATTGAATTCCTTTTTTGCTTTATTTTTATTAGACGTTTAGAATTGATCGATTTAGTTTCGAGCATCGGTAGTTATGATCGGATCTACGATGGTCTGTTCGAACATTATTTAACGCTTCATTTTCATGACCCTAAATTGACTTCAGTAAGGATAATAAAAAAATACATATTTAAATAAAATCTCATCTTTTATTAGATTGACTATGCTAATCAATGGTTATTATTCTACGATGTAATGAACAAAGAAATGTATACACAACAAAATTATTCATTTTTGCGATATGCGCCCTATGTGGCGCTAGTATTTAATCTTTTATTTGTTACACATCGTCCTATTCAAATGAGATATCCTCAGAAACAACTTGATGTAACAATTAAGACAAATAAATTTTCTTTTACAAAAAATAAAAACTGAAATTTTAGATGCAAAATAAATTACGTACAAATACAGCAGCAATTGAAACGATGTTAAATGATATAGTACCTAATATTCGTCAATATCTCAATAAAGATATTCTTGTTCTTGATATTCTTCCATATATGCTTGAAATTCTTCAACCTCGACTTCGTCAAGTAAATTATTTCATTTTAATTCGATTCCCTTTTTTTTCTATTTTAAATCTTTAGACAAATATTGCACTTTTTACTAATAAAGAACTACGAGATATACAAACGTTAATCGATGTTATGGTTACATTTAGTTTATCTTATATTCAACAACGAACTGCTACTGGTGAAAATGCATTAGTACTTGAACCGTATGTTTCATGGAAGAGTTATTAGAGAAGTATTTTGTAAATTTTATTTCAGACCTATCGATGCAGTGGCTTATTTTTCTGGTTCTAATGATAAACGTGGTTTATCATTTGGTACACGTCAAATGATATTCAAAGAATTACTTAAAGAACGTGTCAAACGAAATATTCGTCTTAAATCAGATAAACAAGAGATGTTTGTTCCAGTCAATCGTCAAGTTACACCAACTCCCAAACCGTTTGTATCATTTCTTTTATCGAATGAAATCTAAAATTCGATTCTATTCATAGAAAACATCCATCAGAATTGATTAAATTACAACCCAAGGCTATTCCTCAAAATGAAACCATTGTATGAATTATTCTACTCGAATTTAAAATACAATTTGCTTTCATTTAAGGTTGCAAGAGATTTTTTTGCTAAATTTAAACTTGGCCCAAAGAATTCGCAAATGACACCAAAATTACCTGATCAAATCGATTCAGCTAGCAAGCCAATCGAACGACAAGCGTTGATTTCATTTGCATACAACGAAGGTTTTTCTGACGCTGTACGATGTAGAATCAAAATTCAAGATCTTCTCTAATTTCGTTTATTATTTGTTGTTGTACTGTGCTCGATCTTATATGTCTATGTAGTGAATATATATTTTTGTCTATACCAATAGTCATTTGCTTCATTTTAACAATACGAAAGAAACAACAGAATAGAGAGAAAGGAAGAACAAACGATAAGCACACCATACACAATCACCGTTGTGTTTTGTCTGCATATACAATATAAATTTAACAGTATGTGCTTTACGAAAAATATACGCTATAAAGGCAATGAAGAGAATCCTTCTTTCCCCGACTGATCATCTGTGATGTCGAAAAGAATATAAAAAATCTGAGCCGACAACATGTGACCTAGTGTTTGTTTAAGTTGTATTGGAAAGAGATGTCACTGAGAGTATATCGAGAATCTACAGAATGTCCTCTATCTTTTAGCAACAGAACAAAATTTTCTAGTCCAGTTGAACTTGAGAAATAGTCCAAAAATCGCTACACTTTCTCTAAAGAGAAGAAATATTGAAACATTCTCTGAGGAGCCATCCATCTGTTCTTTTAATGTTGAGGTGGATCAAAGATTGAAGCGATGGCATTTATACACATGTAATGGAACCTAGTAGTTCTTATTCAATGACTGTGGTCGTGTTGTGAATCTATCATGACAGTGATACGATGTGTGTGTGTGTGTGTGTAAAGAATGATGCGAGTTTGGTTATTATTGGAGTTGCTCATGCATTTTTTTTCTTCGTGAATACACATGAAGATAAGCAACCATGTTGCATTCGACGCTATGATAGTGTGATCATACAGACGATGAAAAGCAATGGGATTTCGAATAGAACATCAGTGCTGATGCTGGGTAGTATCGGAAAATTTTTAATATATTTTTGTGGTTCACAATCACATTATCAATGAAAAATAGTCGAGTTTCTTGTTGAGTATCAATGAAAAAAGCAAACTATATTTGAAGTTACAAAGAGATCTTGAGCAGAAGATATCTACTGAATGCATCGAAAAGCAAATTTCTTTTTGTTGCCAATAAATAATCTATTCATTTTTCTATATTATTGATAAAGTGACAATTTTCATTCAGTATGAGTAAAAAAACAGCTAAAGGAACAAAGTTTTGCAACAGGAATGGGCACTGTTGCAAGATTACTGGCATCAACGATTATCGAGCAATGCAAACAACATCATATGCAAAATTATATGCTCGTCTTGCTCGATGCTCATGTTGATCAAACAAATGGAGATTGCCAAAATATTCTGGCGCAATTGCGCAATATTGTCAACGACGTAACCATCTGTACTGATTTGACACAATATATTCAGTACCTCAATGACATTAAAGATGGAAAAGCATTTGTCATCATTTCTGGTGCATTAGGGCAGCATCTCGTGCCCAATATTTATATCATGCCAGTTAGATGCAATTTACATATTTTGCAGCAGCAAAGAGTGACATGAGCAATGGGTGAAAGATTGGCCAAGAGTTCAAGGTGTTTTCGACTCAAGTTATCGTTCATAAAAGACATTTGCAAGCGTAACAGAAAATTTCGATAGCTTGAGATTAGTTTCTAATAACTCATTTGAGTATTACTGGAAAGCGTTTTTGTTTTTATCATAGGAATTCCGTTTCTTAAATACGAATATGTGAACTTTTCTAAGCGACTGAGTAGTGAAAGATACTGAAAAAGATATAGTAAAGCATGATTCCTGTATTAGCAGCCGTATTTTCATCGAATGTAGGACGACAGTATTATTTCTAATAGTGTGCGATAGATTTACGTCTTGATCAAGGAGTTAATCTTCATTTCTATGTAAATTTTGTCTCTGAAATTACAAAAAGACAATCATTCAATGAAGAAAACCTAATTACAATATATGTAAAAACATACGAATTGCAAATGTATTTTTTCAGACATATATATATCACGAAGTATTTCTTGGATTACTTGAAAATTACATGATTTTCTAATGACCTCTATCGAGTTTTCTTCACTTATTTATTTGAACGATTTATTCGTTTTTTTTACTGTCGATAATTAAACCGTTAAAAAATTTAAATTATAGGCCAACAAACTGTTGCTTTCAAGGCTTTAACGATGATTTTCTTCATTCATTTACATCTATATCATCGGCACGATTACTTCTATTTTTACTACGTGCATCAAAACCATGTCTCAATCATTGACTTATAGTCAACGTAATACAAAATGGCAAAAAAAGTCATTAATAACATATGATTGTTCTATCTGTTTGTCAACTAATACACATCAACTTCTTGAATTACCATGTGGTCATAATGTAAAAAAAAGACAGAAAAATTTACAAAAAAAAACTGTCTCCGTTTTATTTTTACATAGTTATGTTTATCATGTCTTCACATGATATGTGCTCATTCCACATTAGCTTGTCCATTTTGTCGTTGTCGTCTTTCGACATGGCTTCGTCGTAATCCTGATTATTCAAAATTAATTATTACACGACAATCAAACACAGAGATTTCAACGAAAAAAATGAATAAACGAAAGTTAAAAATGAAACCAACATGTAACTCTAAACCCTTATCCTTTGCAATAAATAATGAATCTGTTTTTCTTTTCTTTAAACCAATAGTTGATGAAAATGGTAATATATCAGATGATTGGTTATTAGCTAAAAATATTCAACATGAAGAAATTGACAAAGTAAATCAAAATTATATTTTTGTTTTTGCTTTTATAAGTTTTTCCCCCCTCTAGTTTCGATATAGTTATGGTCGAATAACTCGATCAATGGCTAAAAAGATGGAAACATAATCATCGACGTTTCTGTTTATTTGTGTATTCTTATAGAATAGATTTTATTCATTGTGAATTGTATATTTGACTAATTTATTTGTAACTATTATGATTGTTTTATTAAATAAATTATAGTAACAATATGTATGATATGATGATAGCTGTAGCTGAAGAGAAGTTATTTAAACTCTCAAGCTCTTTTTTGATATGATTGTTGTAATGCAAAATTTTTTTCCCATTCCATACTTTTCTAAATAATAGACCGATAATTTGAACTAAAATTGGCGCTCATAAAGTTTTTTCTTTGCTTACTGTGCAAAATTTTATTTTATCATGAATTATAATAATTGGGGTAAGTGCAGTTAAATTACAAAGTAATAATCTATTTGGAATTAAAATTCTCATATATTTTCTTTTCCATGTAATGTGTCTTAGATCAATGTACCAATGTTAGATATCGACTTAGTTCACGAATAAACAATCCATCCACTTTAGTAGATAATTGTGGTACGATGATTCCATTATGTATTGAAAAATCGTACGTTTATTTCTATATATAAAACCATCGGTTCCTTTTTCTTAATGTTTAAACTACTATAGTTTTTATCAATGTAAAAATAATGTTGGTCAAGAATATTGTGTCGAAGACTGTTGCAATTTTTCTGATCCAATCAATTTACAAAATAGCTTGTTTAAAAATATGAATATAAATAGTTCAATAAAATCATGTGATACTAAAATCATCGATGTGCCATGTTTAAAACCGATGGGTCCATATAGATCTCTGTTTGTAGGTAAAGTTCTTTTAGTTTGAAATTAAAGGAAACCTATTTTGATCCTAATAAAAATAAAAGATCATTTTTAGGCATCATCAAAAATATCTGATAAGCAGTACGAATATATCAATAGTATTGTTACGAATGTTCTTCGACAACTTGTTAATCATATATCACTTGATTCTGTAATGAATATTTTTTGTTCGTATTCATATTTATTTATCTAGATTTATTAATAGTTACATGAATTATCGTGTTGTTTACCACAAAATATCGAAAGGATTCTTTGCTATGTAATATACTATTTTATTTTTATCATTGCTAGTTCTTTTAATCATTAAGACGGATATTGATTCGAATCGGTTAATAAGAATTCTAGTCACTGACGCTCTTCGATGCTATAGTGTGAATACTGGACGTCTTACTGATTGGTATGCATTTGCTGATTCAATTACAGAAAAATTAAAAGAAGAAATCGACGCAGATAATGTTGAGCAACCACTTGTCAAAGAAAAAAAATTGCCTCAGAAAAATTCTTTTAAGACAGCTCGAAAACTATCAAAACTACCATTTGTCCATCGAAATTCTTCAATAGAATATCAATCAAAAACACAGTAAATTCATCAAACTTTATATGTTAGGTCGATTTTAAAAAATCTAGTATGTGCTTTTCAGACCGACAGAAAAAACCATTGATAATAATCGTAAAAATTCAATAAACCGACCTCAAACACTAGATCGTATAGCGGTATATAAATTTTTTTTTCTAATAATTGTAACTGGATATTGTTTACTATAGAACAAAAGTAGTAATCAATCATCATCTAGGAATTGTATACTATCAGTTGATCATAAATATAAACATGAAAAAGTTTATAATCATCAGCATACAACCACAAGTTATGACACATCATCATCATCATCATCATCATCTCACATGTTTGTTCCTATCAAAGAATCTATCGAACAAAATATCACATTAAAATCGACTAACACAGAACAATTGAAGCTGCCTAATCATGTTAATGATGAACAAATCCGTCTGCTTAATTTAATGACAAAGTTTAATGAAAATGCTCAATATTCTCATCCAATTGAAACTCTTTCAACTAAACGAACTCTACATGATGTAAAAATATTGTCTGCAAATAATGACCAATTATTATCACCAAATGATAATCAGGTTCACTTGAGTACTGACCCGATCCCATTAAAAAAGAAAAATATCAGAATCAATCATTATCCAAATATGTTAGCTGATTTTTAATAAATAAAACAAAACCTTACGAGGGAATATTCCCTCGTTAGTTTTCTCAATTGCATTGTCTAAGAGAGATAGCATATATTTGCGTATCTACAAAAAATGACGATAAAAAGATTTGTTTGTTGTGAAATAAAACTACGATAGAATGCCATGAATAAGATCGTGTACGTGATTCTTATCGAATGCTTATAGTTGTTAAATTTATTGCTTGGACAACTGGTAGCCCTAGTCGAACTTCTTTTTGCAGGCGCATGCAATTCTTGACTTGTTTTGATCAAGAAAGTCGTGCACTATGGACACATCTTGAGTTCAAGTCTTGACAGGCGCATGAATAAAAAAGTTTGACTAGGGAGATCATATTTAACTACAAAATACAAAGCATTTTACTGTTCTTATTTGAATACGCGGAGTCGTATAAGTTATCTACGTATAAATAGTGACATCTTTTTTATCGATTCGGCAACATCGAAAATTGACCAATCAGGGATCAACGTTCGAAACTCATTCTTCAAAAATCACCGATTCACTTTTGTTCGTAGATAATAGATAGTATCATTTGATAAAATGTCGTCTTTCAATCAAATTCAGACAGCTTGTGGTGCACTCGGTTATTTTGATGGTAAAACCTATTTGAAAGATGATGACTGCGAAGGTTTGTAAAAAGACAATATTGAATCATTTGCCATTTATTTCTTAACGTTTAGATGCATTACGTATTCTACTTCGCTGTCTTAAATATGAAAATGAACGTAAAGATGCTCGATTACACATGCTTGAATCAAGAATAGTCGAAAATGATCTTGTACCCATTCTCATCTATTTAAATAGTAAACATGATGGGAAAATTATTAATCATGCTCTCAAGTAATTGATAGTTTCATCCTAAAACAAAAAAAGATTGAAACTATTATTTCTTTAGATTACTGGTTAATTTAACAAAGCCTCCATTGGTATGTTTCGATGGTAAATTACCCAAAGATGTAACACTGACAAATGTTTATTTAAAAATTGAAGTTCTTTTACAAAAAACTAAAACTGTTTGTATTATTTTGTTTTTGTATAATTTTTAAATATATATCTTCGAATTTTTAAGAGTTTAGCAAATGAGAAACTCTTTGATTTTCTTGTCGCTAAAGTTCATCCAGTACTCGATACGGTATTTGTTAATTAAATTTATATAAATTGAAAAGAATCAATTAAATTTTTTTCTGTTTATTCAGAAGTGGCTTGATCGATCGGATGACGATGATTTTATCTTGCATGCAGTTTTTACACTTGTAAGAAATATTCTTTCAATAAAATCTGAGCGACAAATTTCAGAAGAAAGTGATATTAATGCACATGATCTTGTTCTATGGTAAAATTAAATTAAAATAATTTTCATGAATTTCAATAATTGATTTATTACAGGGCAATACATAAGAGTAACATGGAGAATTTAATCTTATTTTGTGGTAATAAAGCTCAAGGAGATGAACGTATTATGACTATTCTTGAAATTATTGTTTTAATGTTACGAGAACAAGTTTGTAAAAAGAATTTTCTATGTAAAGATTAGTGTCGTTCTTTTAATATAGTCGGCAGAAGAATTGGCTGCAACAGGCGAACAACAAACAAAAAGTAAACGAGAGAAAACAAATGAGTAAGTTAGAACGCATCCATCGAGCTACTTGCCTGGATATTTGTCTTTTTAAGAATCTTGCAAAGAAAATTTCGACTGACACAGTACATATTGTTTTAGAACACTTGATTTGCTTTATGAACGTGAAATGGCTGAAAAACAACAATTACATAAATTAACTGGACGGTAAAACGAAAGAAATGTATTTCTAAAAATTATTTTTGAATTTTTGTTATACTAACAATAGCCGATCGACATTTGGAGGTGCGACATATGTAATGTGTAATGCAAAAGGTATTGGTGAAAATCAACTTATTTGCCATCGACCATTGCAAAGTCTCAATGCCATGGAATTCGATCGAGAAAAACGTCGTTTTCGTCGACCGAAAAATCGTGCACCTGTTAAAAATGATTTAGATGATTCACAAAATCATCATTCAGCATTGGGAATTCGATTATTTCTACGAGAATTTTGTTTAGCATTCTTAGATAATTGCTATAATATACTTATGCCTCATGCAAGGGTAATTATTCGTCTCTGGAAATATTATATTTAATTAGACCGCTTTAATAAATTTTCTCTTAGGATATGATTATCAAATCGACATGTTTACTGAGTGATGAAACTAATTTCTTTTGGTCAATAAGATTCTTTACAGAATTTAATCGACATGCACATACATCAATCGATCGTATAAGGTTTGATTTCTTATTGTCTCTCATCGAATAGAACGGGTTTCTTTATTTAGTGAAACATTACAAATGAATACATTTCATTTACTTCATACAAAAATTGATCACTATAGAGAAATGATTAAAATCGATAAAACTGAAGCTAGACTTTGGGCAAAACGGTAGATTTTAGAAAAACTTCAAAAACAACAAAAACTCATTATTTATTTCTATTAAGATTGCAAATAGGCTTTGGTGCATTTAAAGAATATATTCTCTGTGTTAAATCTATGTTAACAAATTCAAGTGAAGTTGTCGTTCGAGCTGCAACAATTATTAAAAGTAAATAAACTTTAGATCATATTTCACGACGTTTTTTTAATCTCAATTTTTTTTCTGTCTTGCATAGATAATATATTTTATATGCAAGAATATCGTGAACAGATTTATATTTTACTTAAAGATTTTGATAATACAAAAATGACAAGGTACGAAAATAGTTTTGTTCTCTGTTGTTGAACTATTTGATTTAATCGGATAGTGCCTATCTTCATGATCTAATTGGATGTACTCATGAATTTCTTAAAATGCTTGAAGAACATACAACAAAATTGAAACATGTTTTTGTTCAACGCCGTCGTGTGGCTCGTAAACCAGGAATAAAGAAAAATAAACAGAAACAAAAAAATGTAAATGAAGGTAAATTAATTACTGCGAAACAAAGTGTGATACAAAAGAATCGTTTGTTCTTAGAAAAAAATGAACCACCGAATGAACAATTGGAAGAAGAATGGCAAAGTCAAATAGCTGAACGTTTATCAAGTTTATTACAAGGTTTAGAAGAACCTACTATTAATAAATCAGAAGTTTGTCCATTCGATGCACTTTCCGATGTTCCTATTGATGATCAAAGGTTTTTGGAAAATGTTTTTTCCTATTTGAATTTCTAACTGGTAACTATTTATTAGTCTTACGGCAGTTGCTCGTATTCAACATGCACTACGAACAAATAAATTAGATGAAGCTATTGCATTATTTCGTGCTTCGCGGTAAATATCGATTGATGAAATTATCGTTAGATTTTTCTTTCTTTTTTTGTTATCCCAGAGAAGTTTGGCCAACGGAGAAAACATTCGGTTATGAAGATATTGGAGCTGAAGAAGAATTTAATTTGCTTCGAGAAATTTTTATGACATCAAAAATGGATAGTAAGGAGTTGTAGGATTATTTTATTTTATTTTGATTCACATGTTTGTTTTTTTAATATAGATCTTTTACCAAAACATTCTGATGAAGACGAGGAAAATGATGAAGAAGAGCCACACGAAGCAGGGCATGAAGAAGGTATTTTCTTAGCAATTTATAAGTCTACATCGATTCTAAAAAGACGAAAATTTTCTGTAATGTGAAATTTTAAAACTTTTTAGCACACAAGAATTTCATAGATTATTTCTTTCTAATGACTCTGTACTTTTAGACGACGAAGAATTAATTGAAACCATTGAACGTGAAGAAGAATTTGACTTTAAAAGATTTATAAGACGGTAAGTACAAGAATCTCTACCAACGTTACATTTCTAGTGCTGACAAGGTTGTTAGATCCAACTCAATTAGTTTGGCTATTTCTCCACAATTAACTCTTTTCAACAAGTAATAGATCTTCGCTATACTACTCTGTATATACAATACAACAACTATCCGGACAACGATTAGTTCACTCATTGTATTTTTAAGATTTCTCATTAGATAAAGAACAAAGATAGATTCTCGTCAGCATCTGATAGCAATCAATCGTTTAATTGATGTCTTATCAATATTTTTCCAAAAAAAGTCGATCAATTGAAAGAAAATATTTTTCGGATTATTTTAGTTTCGCACATTCAAGTATACTTTGTTCCTATATTGATGTTCTTCGTACATACAGAACTAATACACCATTTTTAAATCATTGTATAATTCGTATGTTTTATCGTGTATCAGTGGATTGTAATTTTACTGGTATACTTTTTCAAATGTCATTATTTCGAATTTTTCAAAAATTTCATCTTGATCCAATGGCAAAGTTACAACAATTTTCAGTAAATCTTTTTTTTTGTATCGCATCATCTTTTGTTTAAGAAATTTTTCTTTAACCTTTAGGAACTATTACAATTTGGTACTTGGTTGTTACGTAAATTTTTTGTAGCTATACAAAAGAATCCGTGTATATATGCGGAATTACTTTTTTGGAAAGATCGAAGCCTTGTCGAAGATATGCTTGATGGATATCGTCAAATCACTGCTGACCGTACGAATGAAGGAGAAAAGTAAGAAATTTCTTTATTATTATTATTAAATCTTATTAATTGTTTTCATGCGTTCAGAAAAACGAAAGCTGCTTCATGGTCGATTGAACATCAAATTGAGCTACGAGATATTTATAGAAAAATCAAAGAAGAACAAGCAGAAAATCTTGGTCGGTAGAACTGAATGTTTTTGATTATATTTTTATTTATTTGATAACATGCATAGGACTTGAAAAAGTTGATGTTGTCGATCGAATTATGTTAGAATTAACGGATAAATCAAAAGCAAGACGACAAATAATCAAAGAATTAAAAATCCAAGGCTTGATTAAATCTACTAGAGAGCTTAGAATGTAAGATCAAATTTCTATTTGAATTATTTTGCTATTGTAATTATTGTTTTTTTTTATTAGCAAAAAGGCTCCAAAAGGTCGATCAAAGAAAAAAGATCTTCTTAACAATTCAAAATTACTTGGATCTGATTCAGATGTTCCAGGTGTGGAAGATAGCGATGATGATCGTGATGATCATAATGATGAGAAAGAAGAAGAAGATGATGATGATGATGATGATGACGACGACGATAAGCATCATTCTATTGAAAATAAATCGGCTTCATCGGAACATAAAGCAAATAAATTAGTTTCATCAGAATCTGATCAAGATAAGTCAAATGATTCAAATTCAAAACCCAATGATATCGTATCAACAGCGACTACCAAAATCTCTCAACAAACAAAACAAGTAGAAGATGAGGATGATGATGAATCACTGCCTATTATAACAAAGCAAACTCGTAAATATGAATCTTTATCAATGTTTGATGATGTTGATGATGATGATGATGATGATATTTCTACATCACGTCCAATCAAGAAAGCACGTCGACAATTGGTGTCTTCAAGTGAAGATGATGAATAGTTTATTTTTCTACAGTTATTTTCATTTTTGTCTTTCTTGTATTACAATAAAACAATATCAATTATCATATCTATTTCTGTTTTGATACACTTATAGAAATTTCTCTTATAATCAGTGAGATAGTAACAAACCAAAACATACGAAGAATAGCTATCATTTAAGAAATAAACACCACCAACAGATACTATGTCATTTATCAGCTCTCTAATATGCGAAATTATGGGCGAAAATTATAGACACGTAGAAGGCCTCTAATGATGATATTTATCAAATATTTCCCATTTCTGTATTTTTGATGTAATAATAATTGTACATATGTTGTCCGATAAATAGAAAGAAAAACAAAAACATAAATCGACTAGGATGAATAAAGAATATATTAATCAGATAGGAGTCCTATGTCTATATTATTTGTTTCATACACCTGTAAGAAAAATATAAATTCACAATTATTAATATGTACAAAGTCTTCTATTTCTCATCACAACTATCCTATATAACTGTTGAGAGACATACGACATAATGTTATTATTTTTTCTTCTCTTATTTTTTTTTTCTTTTTTTGTACATTATAATCAATGTGTTAATCATGCTCTCTTATATACTGCTGTAATAGTATTGCTGGTAATACTGTAGTCTAGTTGTGGGAGGAAGAATGAGAGATGCATAGTGTGCAGCATGAAAGACAATATATATATATATTATAGCGAAAGAATGTAGTATCTTCCCTTCTCTTCTTTCTCTGTACTTCACATTCATATGCTTGATTATAAATGCGCATACACACGAGAGAAGAAAAGGAATTTCTTACTATGACTACAGACTGCTGACATTTTATCTGACCATGTTATTATTGTTTTCTTTGTCTGAACCATACACGTATATGCGGGTTTCTTCCTTTTTCGGTTATTCTCTCGATTGCACGCGTCTTCTCTCCTGTTTTTCCTTGCGATTATGACTGATCGATATATTTATATGTATATATATATATATATATATTAGAAAAAGAAAAAAAATGACTGGTTCGTTCTATTAATATCGTGTAAGAAACATAGATACATCCGTTCATGACGGTGTTTCTTTCTTCTTCTTTTTTCCTACATATAGTTTTATCTGTACAAGAAAAGAAGCATAGAACGACCTCTGCTACTCATTGTTCCTTGAAGTTAGTGCTCTTCTTACGACATATATTCTACCCTCACGCTAATGATATTTCCATAAATGAGAAATCGAGTATCTTGTTTGAATATGTCGACATCAAAGTTCGAATAAGCCATTGTCTATTAACGATTGTCTCTATTGTTTTTCTATTAAACATAACTGACGAAGCAGCGCTAAATCAGCTGAAAAACGTTCAAAGAAAGAAAAGAACACGATCCTGTATTGTAAGTATAAAAATATGAATATTATGAATTCTGTCATGCGCGTTCAAGACAAAAAACGTTACGAAGTATACTTGAATTTTGAAGTAGAATAATCTTTGTTATACTAGTATGCACTTGACAATAGTATAGTACCAAAATAGGAGACAATGAAAAGACAGTATATGGCATGTCTGCTAATATTAGAAGAGAGAGAGAAAAAAAGCAGGTTTTATGTAACTCATATCGTAATAGGACTCTGTATTAGATCAATTATCGATCTATAAATGTTAGTTTTGTTTTACATAGTGCGATTAAAAGACTATCTATCGATGGTGAGAATTGTTCTTCATTGAACTTTTCGATGTTTGCCTTTTGTTCTTTGCTTTGTTTCTTTTCTTGGTCGACATATGAAAGATTAGTTATACCACTCATCGAGTGTTCACCACAATGCCATGTCTAAAGTCAAGAGAAAGACAAGGAGAAGATCATCGATATGCTATCGGGCGATGAAATGTCGCTCATTATATAAATATATAGATATATATATAGCGAGAGAGAGAGAGAGAGCGGGGAAATCTACACACTTGCATATATATATTCATAGGATGTTCTAGTGGAGAAAAGGGTAGGTTAAATAGATAAATGGTTTAATTAAGCTATTTACTTTATGTAATCTATTAATCATGATTTTGAAGATGACTAAGATTACTCCTACATCTTACGCCTTCTTGAAAATTCACCTTTGTGATTCAGAAAGAAAAATAATGTGCTTGTGAATATGTGTGGGTAAGTGTTCCCATAAAGAGTAGAAGGAAGAAAATGAACTTATTCTTTCTTTATTCTATTATTAATAAATCCATATAAGTGCAGAAATATTTTAGATGTTTGACAGTTCATTAGATTGAATCTACACGTATAGAGAGGTAGGTTACTTGCAGATGCAATGCACACATAGTTTATCGGAGGAATAATTATATTTTTATTCGTCTCCATAGGGTAGTTGACATTCATTCAACTTAGTATGCAAGTCAGAAATAGTTTAATTTTTTTTTGTTTTGCCTAAATTGATACCTGATGTATCTATGAACAACGAGGTGCCCTTTGTTTTGTAAGGCAGTTTGTATTAGTTTAATTCAATTGATGAGGTTACTATAGTTATTTTGATACAAGAAAAAAGAAACGACCTTTATTTATTCAATAAATCATAGAAGAGCAAAAGATAAAATGTTTTTCTGTTTCAATGATCTCTTTTTAATAAATTACATCGATAAAAGTCATTGTGATATTTTTCTCGTACATAAGATAATGTCTGTCTGTGTTTAAAGTCGTTTACTTCTTGTTTTTTATCAAAATATCTCATCGCGTGCACGCACATCTAATACAGGTACCTTTATTTTTTTATATTTCTTCGCTCGTTTGGGTGTGTTAACTGTTTCTTTAGTAGAGGTTGGCGTTGGAGATTTTATTATTCTGTTCTTTCTTCCTTTCATATTCGCATACATACTTGCATACATACATGGATATAAATATATATATATATATATATACGAATCAGAGACATACTAAAACCCAATTTTTGAAAAAAATTTTCATTTGTTCTGTTTTTTTCTTTTCTTCTCATCAAATAGGTGAATCACATATCTACGATTCGAAAACGAATAACCATCTAAACTAACCAGTGCGGGTCGTCGTTATAGGAAAAGAACAAGAAAGAAAGGAAAAAAAAACTTTTGAACAGAAAGAAAAAAGAAAAAATTGTCAACTATGTACAACCAGTCAGTAAACGGCTATTCAGGTGGAGGAGGAGGAGGCGGGCCTGGCTATACTGAAAATCCGCAACATAACGAGCAAGGTGAACATTTAGACGAAGACGATTTTGGACGAACCGAAGAAGGTAAATAACAAGATATGAGAATGAAACGAAAAAAACGTCAAGACAACATTCTTGTCTTATCTTAATCTATTTATTGGCTCTTCTATTTTTGAATAATTTGTTCTTGTTTAAGAATTTTATGAAGATATGCAGCGAGAATTAGCTGATGATGCTCCATGGAAAAGAATTCAACAGAATACATTTACACGTTGGGCAAATGAACATTTAAAATTAGTTAATCGTCATATTGATGATTTACAATCCGAATTAAGTGATGGATTGAATTTAATTGCTTTGATTGAAGTTTTATCACAGAAAAAAGTTCCACGTCATAATAAACGACCGAATTTTCGTTCACAAAAATTAGAAAATGTATCTGTTGTATTAGATTTTCTTGAAAATACTGAACGTATACGTCTTGTTAATATTGGTAAGTTTATTTTACCTATTGGACATAAAAATGTATGGAAGTGTAGTGAAGAGATTTCTTCAGGGTATAGAAATGTACTTAAGACAAGTGCGTTAAGATTTTCTTCTTTTTTTCCTGTTAGCTTTCAGTGTTATAGTATTATATGAGAGAGTTTTTACTTAGTTAATCACGCTTTATCAATATTGTCTAATTCGTTATCGAATATTTTGTAAGACAACAAAAGGTTTCATATTTCATTAAAATAAATGAAATCGAATAAAAAAAGAAGAAGAAGAAAAAACTAATACAACTTTGATGCATCGAGAATCGATGAAGCAATGAGCTGGAAAGAATATAGATTCGATATTCTGTTCGTTTAATGAAGATGAATTAAGAATGTATATATATATATATATATATATATCAATAGATAAAGAATAAATAAAATCTTGTAAGCAATGAAACATATTTCTGCAATAAAAATATGCACGTTAGAATTAATTTTATCAAATTTCATATCATCATTTATTTTATTTTATTTTAAATTGTGATTTATATTCTCTAATATTTGCAATAGAAATGAATGATTCTTCAAGATGCGATTGACATGTGTCCTCAAGGCGCATGACCCTGAAATAAACGTTAAGATGAACCTTGATATCGATTTTTTCTCGTTCGAAGGTCATAAAAAGCTTGCAGATATTACAAATCAACCTAGTTCAAACAGTAATTTATAGAAAAAAGAAAAAAAAATCTCAAAGAGTATAGTTTCGAATTCAAAGATATCTCACAAACGTCATTGAATTCTAACGAAAAATGGTTTCCTCTATATGTATTTATATTCGAAAATTTAGATGCTTCACATATTGTCGATGGTAAATTAAAATTAATTCTTGGCTTAATATGGACCTTAATTTTACATTATTCTATTTCACTACCAATGTGGGAATTCGACAAAGCCGATACCCCTGGCCTAGCAAAAGATATGACACCGAAACAAAAACTGATGCATTGGATACAAGAAAAATTACCTCCAGAATTACCAATCACAAATTTCACATCCGACTGGAATGATGGTCGTGCTATTGGTGCACTTGTTGATGCATGTGCACCAGGTATAAATAAATATAAATATATTAATTATAGTCAAGAACAAAACAATTAACATATCTTTATTTTCGTTCTTACAGGTCTCTATCCAGACTGGAGTGATCGTGATCCACAAAATGCATTAGACAATGCCAAGGAAGCTATGGATTTAGCTGAGCATTGGCTAGGTATTCCACAATTAATTCAACCACATGAAATGCTTAATCCAAAAGTCGATGAACAATCTATGATGACATATCTATCACAATACCCGAAGGCTAATATAAAATCGGGAGCACCTATCAGACCAAAAACCAATTCAGCACGAGTTCGATGTTATGGAAAAGGTTTGTACGTTAAATGATTATATGTTTTAAGAACACTGTTAGGGATCCCTGTGCTTTCTTGATGTTAATAACGAATGAGTACCATAACGATGGAACTAACTTTATCATTGAAGAAAGAGGAGTATATAGAGATCGAATATGTATCAGAGAATGAGTGAGTAATACAAATGTCGAGGAGTCGAGAAATAAACATATGAATGTAACATTTCTCCTCACTAACAGAAACGTGGGTTCACGCACATTAAAAGATACAAAAAAGAAAATTGAAACAAATGAGAATGCTGATACAAAGTGGAACAAGAACAAAAGAGCATAAGAAACAATAATATAACGATACTAAGGAAAATAAAAAGCAGAAAGAATCAATGCGATGGATATGTGGACTCAGCTCTATAAACTGTTTGGATGTACAAAACGATATCGACAATAGTTTTAGATGCAATACATACGATGAAAGTTTTTGAGAGACGAAAGAATAACGATACAGCTCAGAAAATTTGTATATTGAAAACCTAGATGGTCGATAAAAAATCTGCCATTTTAGATAATTTAAGATTGATACAACAAGACGAAAGCAATTTTGAAAATGTCTTTCATAAGTTGTGTTCTGAGTTTTTTTTCGATTGAGTCATAGAACGAATACCGATTTGATACCGAATGCCAAATGTCTGAATGAGGATGTGAGCGCTCCCAATGAACTAGAGACATCGTATACCATAGTTTTCGTTTGTTTTGGTTAGCGGGGAAAGATTTGAAAGAGAAAGTCTTTCAAAACTAGAGAGAAACAGTTTTGCATTGTTGTTTTTTCAGGAAAAAAGATATGATTAGTTAGAATTTGTAAGGCTTTCTTATTCAATTAAGAAAAATTTTTTTTTCTGCTTTCTTGTAAATAAATATGTGAAAAAAAGATTAACGAGAAAAAATTTTTGTTTTTCTAGTCGCAACTTTTTACGTTCATAGCTTCTAATTTCAAAGTTAACGTTCTTGGAAAATTATTTCATGGTTAGCCGATCACTCATCATTGCTGTCGTCATAATTGTTTTGAATGTATATAGTGATATTGCGAGATTTTGCTCTTCCTGAATGCATGAAAAAGTTTTGAACAATATCATCTAAATGAAAATAGATCAATGTAAAAAATAGTTCGAACTTAAAGAGAAAATAGTTTGGACCTAAAGAGGAACTAGTTTGAATCTAAAGAGAAAATAGATTCATATAAAATAGAAACTAGATGATTGCCTTTGGTAGGCTTTATTCAGTCTACAAATAAATTAAAATCGTGTACAAAGTCGAAAAGAAAATTTCCAGGGAGAAAGCTATAACGCAAAAAATATTTGAGCGGGGGAAATCCCCCACTCCCCCCACTCATCGTAAACTATGTCGTATACTAAAAAAATTTTTGTTGGTTACGGACGTTAATAAACAATTGCAACGATGGTAATGGCAAATGCATATGAGGATTCACTTGTTTTGAGAATATAACATCAAGAAAGAGGGTCATGACACCAAAATGTTAGGGATCCCCGTGTCTTCTTAATGTTAATAACGAATGAGTACCATAACGATGGAACTGACTTTCTAATTGAAGAAAAAGGAGTATATATAGAGGGCATATGTGTCAGGGAATGAGTGTACAAGTGTCGAAGAGTCAAGGAATAAACATGTCTGTAACAAACACAAAGAAAAGGATCCAGCTGATGCCTTTTTTTTCAATTTTTTCACTCTCTCTTGTCAGATGAATTAACATTTGCCTTTATTCTTCATTCACGGTCACTTTTTGTAGCAGACATTTTTATGCAATGACTTCATCGACAGAATCTTACTTTTTTAAACATCACATAAAAAAATCGAAAAATATAGTCGAAGAGCAATGGATTAAACGGATACATCATTTTCGTCCTCGTTCTCGTTTGTTTGAATATTATAGTTTAATTCGAAATACTTATTCATTTTCTTTTTGTTTCTGATTAGGTATTGAACCAAACGGTAACCATGTCGATACGCCAGCAAAATTTCATGTTGAAACCTTTGCTGCTGGCAAAGGTAATGTTGATGTTATTGTTATTAATCCAAAAGGACAAAGAGAAAAAGTAAAAAGAATTTTGAAAAAATTAGTTTTTGCTATCAAAAATATTTATTCATTAGTGTGATGTTGATATTTGTAATGATAAAAATCAAACATATGATTGCACATATTATCCTGCAATGGAAGGACAATATAAAGTAAGCTAAGATAGATTTTACAAAAAAAAGATAACTAGGCTATTTTTCTTTTTCTTACGTAGGTTATTGTAAAATTTGCCGGGCAAGAAGTACCAAAGTCTCCATTTTCACCTTATATCGACGGTAAAGCAGGTGATGCTAGTCGTTGTAAAGCACATGGACCTGGTCTAGAAGCAAACAGTGTGATCGTTGACAAACCCACATGGTTTGAAATTGATGCAACAGGTTTGTTGAAATTATGCATTGATTTTGTTTTTTTTTGTCTTATTGTTGTTGTTGTTGTTGTATACGATAAATTAGATGCTGGTAATGGTCTTGCCGAAGTTGTACTTGTCGATTCACATGGTCGACAAGATGTTGTACCTGTTGCTGTCAAACAAACTAGTCCAGGAAAATTCCGTTGTGAATATGTTCCACGTGAATCTGGCCTTCATTCAGTGAATATATTTTTTGCTGGTCGACCTATAACAAATAGTCCATATGGTGTTAATGTAGCATCATGTATGTAAAATTGAGTAAAAAATTGTTGTTTAAAAAAATAACACATAAAAGGCTTGTATAATAGCGTCAATTTCTTCATACGATGATATAAAAGATAGATTTACACCAAGTGAGGAGGACAATTATTCCTCAATTGAATTAGAACGATCAAAAAGTACAACTAGTGTTGATACAATATATCATGTCAGATTTAAAAATGGTTTGTTTAGTCAGTTTTGTTTTGCGTAGTGGGAGGTGGGGGGAAGGGGTTGTAATTTTATGTTGCTCAAAATGGTGATTGGATAGTTTTGTTTTGACTTTTTTAAGAGTGTATATTAACATTCATCTATTCATCTTTTTCTTGTCTTATTTTATAGCATCTGATGCCAAAAAATGTCGTGCCTACGGACGCGGTATTCAACCGAAAGGTATACGTACGGGTGATGTAGCTGAATTTCGCGTTTTTACCAAAGATGCTGGAGATGGTGTGATGAAAGCATTAGTAACTGGACCAGGTAAAGAGATTATTTGCCATTGATTGAATTGATTCATAAAAAAAATCGTTTTTTTAGAGGGTCTAGAAATTCCTTGTCGTATAACCAAAGCCAATAGTACAACATATGAATGTGGTTACGTACCAACTCGTATTGGACCTCATACAGTTAATATTACGTATGGTGGTGCTCATATACCTAAAAGTCCATTTCCAGTCGATGTTACACCATTTAAAGATTCTCGAATACGAGCATTTGGGCCGGGTCTTGAAGGTGGTGTTATTGGCTTTCCAGCAGATTTTGTTGTTGAAACAAACGGTGAAACTGGTTCATTAGGTACGTCATAAAATGCTTTCTTATTTTGTTTTGTTCGAAAATAAATTTGATTATTCAAACTAATTCATTAGGAGATATTAGTAAGTATTATTCTTGAAGTGTATCCTCCTTTTTTTTTGGTATGATATACGCATGGATTGGATCTTCGGGTTTTTCTTTAGCGTTTTTATTTTCTATACATTTAAAATTTCAATTTTTCTTTTCTTATTTTGAAGGTTTTTCAATCGAAGGGCCATCACAAGCACGTATTGAATGTAATGATAATGGTGATGGTTCAGCAAATGTTCGATATTGGCCAACCATATATGGTGAATATGCTGTACATGTTCTTTGCAACGATGAAGATATACCACATTCACCATTTATGGCATGGATTGAAGAGCCAGGAAATTTTGATTCGGATAAAGTAAAATGAAAATAGTTCGTTTTGTATGAACTTTAAAGTAAAATTGAAACCATCTTTAGGTTAAAGCGTATGGTCTTGGCCTTGAACCATCAGGACAAATTATTGATAAACCAACTGAATTTACAATTGATACACATAATGCTGGCGAAGGACAATTACGTGTTCAAGCTATTGATCAAGACTATCAGCCAGTTGATGTTCATGTAAGAAATAATGGCAATGGCACATATATTTGTCGGTATACGCCAAGAAATGCGAATCGTCATTGTATTCTTATTGATTATGCTGGCGTTGCTATACCACATAGTCCATTTCGAGTAATTTTCTTTTTATATCTTTTGTTGACAAAAAAAACAAAGCAATATAACACGATCGGAAAATTTTCAGGTTTGGCCAACAGAACCATCGAATCCATCAAAAGTTCGTGTTTATGGGCCAGGCGTGGAACGTGGTGTTAAAATGAATGCTCCGACACATTTTACAGTTGATTGTAAAGAAGCAGGACCAGGTAAAGAAGAAAAAAAGAATTGTTTTCTATTGTTTAATATTTTGTTTGTCTTACTAACATATTTGATTCACTTATAAAAATGCATGATTTGTTAACTTTATTTATTTGCATGTTAGTGATTTCTTCTTCTTTCTCATCTACTAATCTCAATCATCGATTTCGTTCACTTGATTCGCTCGATGTCGATAAGTGTGACAATGATATTATACCATATAAAATTGATATACAAGCTTTAGATGATGAACAACAACATTGTTCATTTGCTGCACAACATGATGATAAAAATAATGCATTACATGTTACATATAGACCTAAAGCACGTGTAACACTTGTGAATGTTGCTGTTATTTGGTAGATGCTTTTTTTTGCTCGTTTTTGTTTTTACTATGATTATTATGAAAAATCTGCTTGCTTACTAACTCAATTTACTAATAAAATATTTAGATTAGATTTTTGCGTCAGCTGTTTTAAAAACTGAAATAAATTGATTTATTATTCATTTCAGGAGATATATCAATTGCTTTAACTGATACGAAAAATCAAGATGTACCATTTACTATTGATGATAATCAAGATGGAACATTTACTATAGCTTATACACCTAAATTACCTGGTATCCATTGTATTAGTGTTCTCTTTGGCGATAATGAAATACCTATCTCACCGATTAAAGTTACTGTTGAAGCAAGTGTTGATGTAAATAAAATACGTATTGAAGGTCTTGATACAAGTAAGTTTATACTCATTAGAAATGAATATTTTCTTATAGTATTCGACAAGACAAGAAACAGAGTTTTTTCTTCTTTCTATGTATGTTTGTATTGACACAAGCAGCTTTGTTAGTTCTTTTCGTTTTGTCTTTTTTTCTACACGCATACTTCTATCTCGATCTCTCCTAATTTACATCGTAGTGCCTTTTGTTGGACAACCTGCTCAGGTAACATTGAATACATTAGTAGCTGGTCAATTACCAGCAAATGTAGTTCATGCTCGTATTGTTGGACCAACAGGCAATACACAAGAAGCAATTATCACACCAGCACCACAAGGCTACAATTTACGTTTTAATGTGCCTGAACCAGGTGTTTATGTAATCGAACCCGATGTATGTACATTACCTTTAACTCCTGTGCAAATTACAGCTATTGAACAACTTGATCCGAGTAAAGTACGTGCCTATGGGCCAGGTCTTTCGCAAGGCACAGTTAATAAACCAGCCGATTTTATTGTTGATACACGTGGTGCTGGTAATGGTCAATTAGCTGTTACAGTTGAAGGACCATCGGAATCGAAAATTGATTATCAAGATAATAATGATGGTAGTTGTCGTGTTACTTATCATCCGACAGGTAGTTTTATTGTTCATTTTTCACCTTGCCGTTATATTTATCGATTTTTCATCGTATTATAATATATATATATACAGTCTCTGGTAATTACAATATCAATATATTATATGAAGGAAAACATATTCCTGACTCACCATTTCATTCTGCTGTACGAGCTGATCTTGATACACATTCTATTCGTTGTTATGGACCTGGTCTTGATACGAATGGTGTGTATTAATACTATGTGGGAACAACGACAATATATCTATATCTATATATTTAATCATTCGCATTGCATGTCTTATCTTGCCATAAAATAATTTTGTCCTGCATGAACTACTCTTACTACTCCTATTCCTACTACTACTACTACTACTACTACTACTGCTTTCCCTTTTGTCTCTCATGTATTTACGTTTGAGATAGAAATATTTCTAATTGAATGAATAAGCGCAAATTGATTTTTCATATGTATAAATAGAAGAAAAAAATGCTCGTAGAAATATTCTTCTAGATCGTTTGATCTGTTACTAATCTTTTTTATTCGAAGACTATTTGTAAGGATCTTATATTAATACGATAATATGCTATGCTTTTTTGGTGCATGATGGAATGCTTCACAATTTAACTTCTTCAATTCTACTTTTTAATATTTTCGTTCATTTCTAGGAGTATTTCTTGAAAGTCCAACTGATTTTACTGTTGATGCTAAATTAGTTACGGGTAGTGGTTCAGGTCGTGTCGAATGTTTATTAACATCGCCAAGTGGTCGAGCTGTTCGATGTCCTGTTAAAAATATGTCCGATGGAACTTATCTAGTACAATATGCACCTTATGAGCCAGGTTAATTAATAGAAATCAAATTAGTAAATAGACACAAAATTATTTCTTTCTTTATTTTTCCTCCAGGCATGCATCAATTAGAAGTAACTTATGAAAATATTCCTGTTCCCGGCAGTCCATTCCGTGTCAGTGCTGTTCCCGGTTGTGATTCAACGCGTGTACGCGCCTATGGGCCCGGCCTTGGAAATGCAATAACCGATGAGTCAACAACATTTACTATTGAAACTAAAAGTGCTGGCCAAGGTAGTCTCGGTTTAGCTATTGAAGGGCCATCAGAAGCTAAAATGGTTTGTAAAGATAATCAAGATGGTACTTGTGTTATGGAATATTTACCTGTAAGAAATGAAAAGAAAACAAATCCTTGAAAATTTAAAATTGATGATTATGCTGTTTTGTTTAGACTAAAGCCGGTGAATATGATATAGCAATAAAATTTGCCGAACATCATATTCCCGGTAATCTAGTGATTTATTTACATAATGAAAATCTAATGATTTATTAGTTTTTTCTTTCTTTCTTTGACTTTATTATTACTTTTTAAGGTTCCCCATTCCGCGTCAATGTACGTGATCGACTCGATGCTAACCGTGTCAATGTCAAAATGAGTTCAACTATCCGTGCTAATGTTTTACAAGAAATCATAATCGATGGACAAACTGCTGGACCAGGCGCTCCATCCATAGACATCACTGATATACATGGTAAGATTTCATTTTCTTTAATTTAGTGTCTTGTTTCTTTTTGATAAAAGAAGAACTATAATTCACCTCCTTCAATAACAATCATTCATGTATATGTGTATTTATTTAAAATGAGCTTATTTACGCAGAATAGAGCTATTCAGAGAGAAGTATACCTTTCTCTTTCTTCGTGATCGATTTGAAATCAAAAAGAAAAAGGTAATACGATGAGGAGGATGAAGAAAAACAACATTGTTGTACGTATCGATGCAAAGGTAAAGATGAAGACGCCAAGGAGCATATACGTATATGTATGTATACGCATGTTGGAACCAAAGAAGAAGAAGAAGAAGAAGAAGAAGAAGAAGAAGAAGAAAAGAAATAAAGCAATAACATAGCAATGAAGGACAGACGGAACCACTATTACAATCTAATCGTGTTTCATTAACCTTTTCCTCCTGTTCGATTGCTTTTTATATTTTATGTATCTCAATTTATTTATTTATTGAGAAGTACGTGCGCGCGTGCCAAAAAAATTCTCAACCTTCATCGATTTTGTTCAATCGGAACGTCGATAAATATTTCTTCCATTCTCTCTGATAAGGCGATTCGACATACGAGTACAACTTGAGAAGCTTAGATTCCTCGTTTTCTTTCTTCTCTATTCGGCTCCACTTTCGATTAAAATGAACACTATCGTTTAAACTTTTTTCTCTTTTTTTTATTCCTTTTCTTTTTTCATTTTTCACATATGAATTTGATTTTCGATTTGTGTAACAAGTACAAGTTTGTTCTCTCCTCAACTCTCTTTCTCTCTCGCGCCTTGCTCTACTTGAAAAGAGCACACACAACTCATTTTTTATTTATTATTATAGGTCGTCGAAAGCCGGCTAGTATTCGACCTAGAGGCGAAGGCGTTTACGTTGCAGAATTCACTCCACAAGCAGAAGGTCCACATCGTATTGATATTAATTGGAGTGATAAACCAATACCACAAAGGTTCGATTTTTTTTGCAAAGAAAAAAAACCACAAATTTTGAATTTTACATTTATTTTTCATTGTTTATAGTCCGTTTAATATTCAAGTGCTTCCTCTTTTCGAACCCAATAAAATCATCATAGACGGACCTGGTATTCGTAACGGTATACCTGCATCACTTGAAACATATTTTCGTATCGATACACGTGACGCTGGTTTCGAGCAACCCGACATTCTAATTAAAGTACGATATAGCATTCTTATTACTTTTTTCTTACAAAGAAAAAAAACATTGAAATCTTTTAGAATCCCGAAGGTCTTTTAACAACATCGAAAGTAATTAATAACGCAGACGGAACATATAAAGTAATATATAAGCCGAATGATGTCGGTCGATATTTAATTAATGTTAATTATGGTGGCATTCCGGTTAATAATTCTCCATTCAACGTGAAAGTGGAACCAACCGGAGATCCAACGAAGTGCCATATTTCGGGTATGATCTTTTACGAGTGTTCTTTTTTTTTCTTTTCATTTGACTTACGATTATTTTATCTTATATTTAAATTTTTAGGCAATGGCATTAATCCTAATCTTCAAGTAGGTGAGGAATATTCAATTACTGTTGACACACACGATGCCGGCCCGGGCGCAGTTACATGTCGTATTCGTTCAACTCTTGGCAATGATCTTGATCTTGATATTGTTGACAATGAAGATGGAACATACAATTTATTCTATACACCCCATAATCCAGGAAACTATGTTATTAAAATTAAATTTGGCGGACAAGACATCCCAGGCGGTGATTTTGTCGTAACGGTAAAGAAAAAGAAAAAGAAAATTCTCCATATGTCCCTTGCCTTTATTTATTACTAACGAGAATATTTGTTCAATAAACTAACATGCTACTTAGACTTCTTCATCTATAGTAGGCATAGTTATAAAAAAAAAGACAGAAAAGACCAAAACGATAGCTTGAAATTCGATTTATATTACTCTTGAACTTCTTCTTCTTCTTATAGGGTACAACAGATCTCAGGGTATGATTATGTTTAACGCTCATTATCTCACATAGGTGTCAAACTAATCAATAAATAGGTCAAGATTACAGAATAAAACGATTGATGATAGATAAAAAAAAACGAAGGAAAAAATTGAAAAGAGAACTTCTATCATATCCGGACATGATTTCGTTTTCAATTTTGCTCTTGTTTCACTTTGTTGTTATGTTAAATCTAGTCGTCTTTGTCGTCTTCTTATTTGCTTTTATAATGCTTTTAAATAATCTGTATAGTTGATTTAATTATTTTGCTTATTTAAAGGCTGGCGATACTCATAAATATATTCGAAATCAAACAGATTCTTTTACAACAAGTCAATATCGTCCTGTCGATTTTCGTTTACCTGTTGGCGGTGGTAAACTTAGTGATATTACTGGTAAGATATTTGGATGGAATAGTTTTTCGCCTTCTCTGTCTCGTCTCCTATACCTCATATATACAGTTATTGATAAGAATTTTGAAAAGTATACATGCTTCCGGTGTTCGGTGTTCTTCATATAAATAGTACATAAAAGAGAGAGTGAGTGAGAAAGACAAGCAAAGAAAAAAAAATGATCGAATACGGCTTTATTGAACGTTGATGCGATGAGCATTATGCACAGGTAAACAGCCGGAGAGAAAGCAATAGTTACGCACATTCGATTGAACCTAGCATACAAACATACACATACATATATACATACACGTACAGACTGTTGTAGTAGTTAGAGAGTTAGATGGATTTCCAAGGTATTCATCAGTGGTATTCTTATAGAAAAATCAAACCTTTTTTTTTCTATTACTTTCGTTTTAGCATCAATACGAACACCAACAGGTAAATTTCATACCCCAATTCTTGACGACAATCTAGATGGAACTGTATCAATAAAATATCAACCCTCCGAAATTGGTTTACATGAATTAGATGTATTCTATCAAGGACAGCCCATAGCTGGTTCGCCATTTAAATTTCATGTTGATCAAGTACAAACAGGTTACGTTACAGCCTATGGGCCTGGTCTTAGTCATGGCGTTTGTAATGAATCAAGTAGCTTTCGTATTATTACAAAAGATGCTGGCTCTGGTGGTCTATCTGTAGCTGTTGAAGGAAGTTCAAAAGCAGAAATCCAATGTAAAGATAATAAAGATGGTACATGTGATGTAACCTATTGGCCGGTAATGAAAATCGAAAAAGAAACAAATTTTATATATTAATTTACCTTTTTTTCTTCTTTTAAGACTGCACCAGGTGAATATACAATTACAGTCAAATTTGCCGATAAACATATTGTAGGCTCACCATTTACTGCTAAAATAACTGGTCTACCACCAGCAATTGAAAATCAGAAACATTCACAAGTGATGGTTGGCAATCAAAGTGAAATAAGTTTACGTGTAACTGAAATGGATATTCATGATTTAAATGCAACCATACGTTCACCCAGTGGCATAGAAGATGTTTGTTTATTGAAAAAATTAGTTAATGGAAGTCTTGGCATATCGTTTATACCGAAAGAAATCGGTGATCATTTAGTAAATGTTTATCGTGATGGTAAACATATTAAAAATAGTCCGTTTCGTATACATGTTGGTTCATCAGAAATTGGTGATGCCACTAAAGTTAAAGTTTTTGGACGAGGTTTGAAAGAAGGTAAAGGAAAAGCTATTAAGAATATTATATAAGACAAAATATTTATCGATTTAGGTTATGCCAATCAAATTAATGATTTTACTGTTGTTACACGCGATGCTGGTTAGTTAGAATTTTAGAAATAACAAAAACAAATAACGAATAATATTTCATTTATGTCAATAGGTTATGGTGGTTTATCATTATCGATCGAAGGCCCATCAAAAGCTGATATTGAATGTCACGACAATGAAGATGGTTCATGCCTTGTTACATATAGACCAACAGAACCTGGTGTCTATATTGTTAATGTTAAATTTGCTGATAAACATGTACCTGGTTAGTAAACAAACAGATAGAAAGGAGGATTTCTTTAAAATAAAATGATGTTTCTTGTTTTTAGGTAGTCCATTTACTGTTAGTGTTGATGGTCATGGATCAAGCCGACTACGAGAAAGTATTATACGCGAACGTCGTGCTGTTGATATGACACATATTGGCAGTCAATGCGAATTATCTCTGAAAATTCCTGGTATAAGAAAATAAACGAAATGTTTTTGAATTATGTATTTCATTTTATGTTTTTACTTTGTAGGCACATCAGCTTTTGATATGAGTGCCTATGTTACAAGTCCAACAGGACGTTTAGAAAATTGTGAAATTGTGTAAGTAATTAAAATTTTGAAAAAAAATAAAAGCAAGAACTTCAAGATAACAAATTATTTTTGTTAATTTTTAGTGATCTTGATAATTGTAATTATTCTATAAAATTTGTTCCAAAAGAAATGGGTGTTCACACTGTTAGTGTTAAACATAAAGACATGCATATTCCTGGTAGTCCATTTGGTAAGTTAAAAAAAATAGATGATTGGTTGATCTAATACATAAATACATTCGTTAATTTAGAATTTACTGTTGGCCCATTACAAGGTGGTGGAGCTCATAAAGTTCGTGCAAGTGGTAATGGTCTTGTACGTGGTGAAGTTCATGCAACAAGTACGAATAGAAACAAAAGAAAAATTTCGTTTTTTTCTTATTTGAAATATATATATTCTAGATGAATTTAATATTTATACACGTGAAGCAGGTGCAGGCGGTTTAGCTATTGCCATTGAAGGTCCAGCTAAAGCTGAAATCGACTTTTTTGATCGTAAAGATGGTTCATGTGGTGTAGAATATTCATGTCCTGAACCAGGTGAATATCAAATATCAATTAAATTCAACGATGAACATATACCAGATTCACCATTTAATGTTGCTATCGTTCCACCATTTGGCGATGCTAAAAAACTAACAATACACAGTCTTAAAACCAAAGGTCTCGATGTTAATCGACAATATACATTTAGTGTTAATGTTAATGGTGCACGTGGTCATGTGGATGCTCGTATAACAGCACCAAGCGGAATGGAAGAACCATGTGTTGTACAAGAAATGAGTGATGATCATTACGCTATAAGATTCATACCAAAAGAAAATGGTGTTCATTGGATACATGTTCGTTTTAATGGACGTGATATACCTGATTCACCATTTCGTATTATTGTTGGTCAAGCTAATGCTGATCCAGGCCGAGTATTTGCTTCTGGCTCTGGTTTACGTCAAGGAGAAACTGGTAAAGATTAAGAAAATTGTTTATGTGCTTTTTATTTTGAAAAACTCTCATTTCATTTTAATTTTATTTAAGGTCAACCATGTGAATTTTTAATTGATACAACCAATGCGGGTGCTGGCGCATTAGCGGTTACAGTTGATGGACCATCAAAAGTTCAACTCGATTGTAGAGAAGTAATTGAAGGTAAATTAATTTCAATATGATTCGTTTGCTTTTATGATTGTTCATTTAAATGAACTTTTTTCTTCTTTGTAGGTTATCGTGTTACATTTGCACCAACAGCACCAGGAGACTATCTTATTTCAATTAAATTTGCTGGCACCAATATTGCTGGTAGTCCATTCAAATGTACAGTTGGAGGTAAGATGTCATGCATTATATTGGCTTTGTAAAACATGTTATAAAATGAATGATGATATATAGAATTAGTAATTTCGACTTCCTACTGCGAGCATTTAGTGGCAAGACATGTTCAGCATTATAAACGTTTACAATTTTTCATTACTCTATATTCAAAACAGTGCTACAGACACATTTTTTGTAACAACGAAGTGCATATTTAAAATTGGCATGGAATGACAGATAGGAAGTTAGAATTTTAATAAGTAGTTTTTTTTTATCAAATTTGACCTCTACTGATTCTATTTAAAGGTCGAGAGTTGATTAATTTATATTAAGCTGAAAATAATCTAATGGAATGTCAAAAAAGAAACAACAGATTTAGACGCTATTTATGAAAAATATACTATGCGCCCCCGTCCCGCGTTTTATGTCATGCCAAAAATTATTGCTATTTAATCGTAGATCATTTATGAAGTACTTTATTATTGACGTTTTAGAAGATTAAGTAAAATTGTTCTAACGAAGTCTATTCCAAAAATAGACACAAATAAACAATCATTCTATGACTCATTAGAATTTCATCTCATAAAAATTCTACGTTTTTTCTTAATAACTGAAAAATAAAATTTAGGTTCTGGATATAATGCAAATCGTGGCGGTAGTGGTGGTGGCCTAAGTACAATGACAACATCGTCATCCTATCTTCAACGTTCAGATGGAAAAATAACAACTCATTCAAGATATGATGCTACGGAAAAATCGGCATTATATTCATCGAGTTCAAGAAATAATAGTTATGCTACTGTTGATGCAAGTCGAGTACGTGCACAGGGTGAAGGTTTAGTACGAGCTTTTAGAAACGAAAAAGCAACATTTACAGTCGATACACGTGATAGTGGTAAGTTGAATGTTGTAATTAAAAATCGTATAGTTGATTTTATTTTTATATTTTTTCAAAGGAAATGCTATGCTGATGGTTGGTGTATTTGGTCCAAAATATCCATGTGAAGAAGTATTCATCAAACATATTGGAAATAATCAATATAATGTTCAATATGTAAGAATAACTTTGATTATTGTGTATGTCTACTGTTTTCATCATATTCTCGCTCTCCTGGTTTTAGACTGTTCGAGAGAAGGGTGAATATATGCTGATTGTTAAATGGGGCGATCAACATATTCCAGGCTCTCCATGGCACATTGAAGTTGTTTAAATCAAAACAAGAACTATATCCCTTGAGAACGAGAGCATCGAACAACCTTCTCTTATTTATATGCATATATGCTAGAGAATTTGTTTTTTTCCTTGTTTTTTTTTATTTTTTTCTTCGCCTTTATCTTTTGTTTTGAATTATCATTCAACGAAGTAGTATTGTTATATTCTCTCTGTATGTATGTATGCGCATGCTCAAACTACTTGTGTTTTGTTTTTTTACTATTACTATTATTATTATTACTATTATTATTATTATTATTATTATTATTATTCGTCAAGATGCTATGATGTGTGAAATGAGTTAGAAAAGAAAACACAAATCAGCAGTGGTCTCCTCGTTTCTACATCTATTCGTTCGGTTTACCTTATATCCGTTTCTTCTTGTTTTTTTTACATCATAGCTACTTGTATGCGTCGTTTTTTTTCTTCTTTAAAAAACCAACTGTTTCTCTCCTAATATATATATATATATATATAAACACATGTATTCATATAGACCAATATGATGTTGGAACCTTGTTTATTGTGAACTTTTCTTTGCTGTTTTGTTTTCATAGTTTTGGATAAATAAAAAGCTGCTTCTTTGTGTTTTCGATTTGCTTTATCTTTTTCTCATGTTCGTTTCTCGTTTTCTTCTTATGTATTTTTTTTTCTATTAAAAAAGATTTTTATGAACATGCTGAGAAAAGATTTACAATCTGTCCTTTTTTTTAATTCTATCTATGAACCAAGCAATAACAACATTCCTATGTGAATTCAGTCAATATTCTGATTGATTTGGATTTTACTATTTCCTTTTTTATTTTTAAAAATATCTTCGTAATCATAGTACTTAATTATGTCTCAGTTTGCAGACACTTTGGTTTTATTGACAACAATCAACATTGAATCAATAGATGAGAACAATTCGTAGTTAAAAGAAGAAGAAAAAAAGAAAGGGAAAAAAAGTGATGTGACTTACAATCATGAAAAAAAAGAGGAAGAAGAAATCTACCAACAGAATCGAGTGTGTGAGCAAATTCATGTGTAGCTATCTCCTCATGCATTATTTCCGGCGAGAACTATTGAAGAAAATTGGATTCTATCCTCTTTCTCGCTCTTTTTCCTTCCTTATTCAGCCGCCTTGTTTCTCAGCGAAAATATAATGCCTCGATGTTAGGATTAGTTTCCTTTGCTCAGTTTTTTCCCTTTTAAATAACAGAATATAAAAATCATTCATAGAGTAAATTCTGCTATTCATTGTAACAAACATGCATTCATCGTTATTCCGAAAAAATTTTCATGAAAGATATTTTTCATTACCATCAAACTTGGAACAAACAACATCATCATGTCCATCGACACCACCAATGTCAGCGACATGGCTCGAACCGCCACAAATCGGTTTGTGTCTGATGAAAGATGATCATCGTCAAGAAGTTTTTGATCTTGTTGTTGATACATTTTTTCGTGATGAACCATTAAATAAATGCTTAGCATTTGAAATACCACATGAACCAATTGAATTTACTGAACTTATCGTTTCGCATGCTTTACAAGATCAATGTTCATTTGTTGCTATTGATAGTCAAACTCAAAAAATTATCGGTGTCATATTGAATATAGTGAAACGTAACATTTCATTGACAAGCAACGATCATGAAGATAAACTTGATACAAGTGATTTTCAATCGGAAAAATTACGTTATATATTAAATGTTCTTAAACATGTTCATCGTAATATTGATTTATTTGACGAACTAAAAACGGATCATCTTTTACATACTGTTATTGTTGCCATTGATGCACATTATCGTGGTTTAAGATTGACAGAAAAATTAATTTGTGCAAGTATAATGCGTGCTAAAAATGATTTAAAGTTAAAGGGTGCATTTTCTGAAGCAACAAGTCTCTATTCATCGAAAGCATTTGTTAAACAAGGTTATCGTATTTATGATGAAATCATTTATACAAAATATGATGATATACGTTTAGCTAGTCTAGCTGGCGAACATGATCGATGTCAATTACTTGCCAAAGCATTGTAAAATGGCAAACTCTTCTTATTTTCTGTAAAAATTTCTGTATATAAAATGTTTGATGTTGTTTATTTTAATCAAAGAAGAAGAAAAAAAAAGGTTTCCTCTTTTTTCTGTCTGTTCTATATAGTTATATTATATACTTGTGTGCATATTTGTGCCTCAATATGCATGTAAACATGATGATGGTTTCGGTTGAACGGTTTGCTTGATTATAATGTAATAACTATATGTGTATGTTAGTTATATGTACATTTACACTATAAAAGTTAACGTAGTGTTTATATTAGAATAGTTATTTGTATGGCATCTAATGATGGTCTGGAGTTACGAATCGAGAATATCGATCAGAACAAGGAATCAACTACTAGCTCAACATTATTATCGCTACCTATACGTCAAATAGCAGTAAGAGAAACAGGAGATCCGACACTATTAAAAAGTCGTCAACATAATGCATCGTCATCTTCGAATACTAATGATACGGTAACAGTTGTATCTATACCGATGAAGAAATCACGCCAGTTTAGTGTCCAAAATGGTGGTACAATAGATATAGATACAGGTAACTATCTTCGTTTTCATCGTGCACGTCGTTTAGCTTTTTGGTGTTGTGTTGTATCGTTTTTACTTGACATTGGTCTTGGTTTAACGGCATTTGTTAATTGTATACGATCGAAATCTTTTCTTGGTTTTTCATATTCTGTTGATACATTAATGGATTCATTGTGTACAGTCTTTGTCGGATGGCATTTAATGACACCATCAATCAATGATATTCATCGCCGTGATAAACTTGCTTGTTGTGTTATTGGTGCTTTATTTATTGGTTCATGCCTTGCTATTGAAACTCGTGCTATACAAAGTATGCTATTAGCAAAATCTGCTCAGCCTGATATTGTTGTTTTTTCATATTCATTGATACATGTTACTGTTTTTACTGTTTTATCTGTGGTGAAAATTTTTATTAGTAAACAAATTAAATCTGCAGCATTAATGGCTGATGCAATAAATTCTATCATCGGTCTTATAATGTCATTTCCACATTTATTTTGGGATCGTGTAACATTTTTCAATAAATTTGCACATCTTGATGATCTCGTACAAGTTTTAATGGCATTATTTTTATTTCTTGCTGGATGGAAATTAATTTTAGATTCAATAACAACCATGAATATTGAATATGCAAGAAATTTACGTGAAGGAAAACTACAACGAATGTTAAAAGAACATAATGAAGCAATTGATACATATTTTGAAGCTATTGATGTTGATAATCATAGTTTATCTATAGCGCCGATTCCTGGCTCGCGACGTTTTTCTGTTATATCGAATATTTCACGAACATAGAAGCTGATAGTTTTACTAATCAGAAAATTTGTTTTTCTCTAACATGAAAATATAGGATAAATTTTGAACAATAGCAGAAATGAATATTTACAGAAGCTAGCCTCGATACAAAAGTAAATGAGTACATACTCTATTAATTTGATTAAGATCAAAGTGACATGGAAAATTATTTTTGTCTTAATAAATATTGATTTCAATATAAAGATTTTGATTAAAGATGATTTAACACAATATGATAAATATGAATTATGGAATGTCTTTGTGTTAGAATTGATGATGCTGTTGGATATAAAGAAATTTGATGCTCTAAAAATAAACATTTCCATTGCAATACACGAATTACTTAAATGCTTCTATGGAATAATTGAAAAACTAGATCTTACTTATAAAATAGAATCTCATGAGGACACTCAGTCGACTAGTAAATATTGCTTGAGAGTCACGGTTACGTGCATCAAATTATTCACAACGGAATTGTGAAATATTTAGAAAAAAAAAGTCCTGTGCTTGAATTATTAATATCTATAGTAGATGCAGTCATGTTTTAAATGAATATGTCAGTATAAGAAACAATGTTAAGATGAAAAAACTTTTTAAAAATTAATTCTAAAATTAGCTGCTTTTTATGGTCTTGGCAGAAAACATCATTGTTTTTTTTAAATACCATACAATGGTACTGTATTCTCAGTAATGATCTAATGTCGAAGACTATCGTCAAGGTATTCAAAATTCATTAGAGTTCATATAGTGTACTTCATCTTAATGGAAAAGCGATGCAACACTTAAACGACTTCTCTCGTCAAACAGCAAATATTTGCTTACCATAGCAATTCAATGGTAGTTATTTTAGCATGTTTAACTTGCCTGTAATTACGTTAGATAATACTCTTTGAATCACATCCAAATCATTTTCAACAGCAAAAAAAGATTCTATCTTGGTTTTAGCTTTGAAAATCCAGGATTAAATAGATATGCATTATTGTACGTTGATTTCGATGTTTGAATTTGAGAGAGTGCCGAAAAATATGAAGATCTATTTGATGAATTAATTTTACATTTATTATCGATGCATTTACTGATGAAAGACGGATTGATACAAGCGACAAGGTAACGCGACGTTAGCGTCGCCAACCCTCTACTGAAAGGATTTAGTCATGTAGAACGTAGTTATCCTAAACTATCTAGCTGAGGGACTTCACATTTTATAGCTTCGAAATGATTTTCATGGAAAACACGATTGATAACCGGGCATAAATAGAAAAAATGCTTGGAAGTATCACTAAGAAAGCGGCATTTAAGTAGTACTCACTAATACTATATGGCAATAGTAAAGTTAAGTGCATTCGATCTGCTACAGCTCAAGCTATGCTCCGAAAACTTTCCATCAGCTTGATAACGGAATGAAGAAAAAGACCCATTCAGGAGAGCTATGATCTAAATACCCCATTTTAGTAAAGTTACAACTCAAATTGGTCTATCAACTAGATATTTACCATGAATCTGCACGAGTAGATCAGATATTACATCAAACTGACTTTTTCTAACTCGCTTTCGTTTAGATTTGTCCTAATTTTTGCTCCACCACATGCGGGTTCATTTTGTTTCGGTGCGTTTCCCGACCAGAATGGATATATTCCTTCTCGGGTGCACGCTCACACATAGATACCTTCTCGGGTGCACGCTCACACATAGATAAATCTAAGATTAACATCTTTTGAATCAAATCAACTCGCAATCAGGAAAAACTAAACTTATTAAGATAATCAAGACAAATACAAGTTTCAGATATTTCACGACCTGTCTTCGGAAGAAATTCAAGATATGTACTATTCTCGAAAGTTGTTTCAACTTTTGTGATCGAGACAACGTGTAACTGTTCTATAAGTCTCCAAGGCCAGTAGTCTGATAATCACAACAGATTTTTAACTGGTGGGGGCGACTACTCGTTCGTCGGCGCCCCTCTGGGGCGCCACTCACGCCTACCCGCCCCCACTTGTTTTATCTCATATATGCGGTGAAGGTGATCCTTTTAAATACTGCATTATTCATTGAAAGCTTCGCCTCATTCTATAATTAATAGATAAAACCGAAGCGATTTTTCAAAAAAAAACGAAAAACAACAGTTGTGGGAGTAATTTAATTCCATTTTCATCTAGCTACATATGCGATAAATTCATCACAATTTAGAGAAGAATGAGACATGATTCCCGATTACTTAACCAGTTTGCGTCCGTTCGTAAATGCGCTAATCTAGAATTCTAGGAGTTAAGTTTGAATAAATTCTTCGTGCTGCAATAATAGTTAAGATATCAAGAATAAACTGAAGACTTTGAAAAAAGCTTTCAAAGTCTCACTGCAGGTGAGCGGCTAGTCGTTCGTCGGCGCCCCTGCGGAGCGCCACTCACGACTAGCCGCTCCCAAATAAAGAATCAATTCCACCGCACGATGCCTATTCGTAATGAAATCTCACATAACCATATGATACATCTAACACTACAATCATCATCGAATGGTACCCTCAAAACCTTTCCCTACAGAGAATTCCTATCAAGAAAATGTGTCGATCTAAACAGCTCGTATCCCATTCTAAACTTGCTTGAAATTCGTAATTTCAAAAATCTGACAACGCCATCGTGTTCCCCGACCCCGGTTACCTTCGGTCAACCCTTTTAAAAAACTATTTTTTCGCTAAAAAAGTCTCTCTCTCTCTTAAAAAAAGGAAAAAGCAAAATTTCAAAAATCTGACAACGCCATCGTGTTCCCCGACCCCGATTACCTTCGGTGAACCCTTTCTCTACACAAAATTTTNATTGGACGAACGAACTTACGAACTTACGAACTTACGAACTTACGAACGAACGCATTTAACTCGTTTTTCGTAATACCCTCCTTTCAGTAGAGGGAACTTTCAGTAGAGGGAATATCATTGGAAATGTATATTTATTTTCTAAATATTTTAATGAAGACGAATTTTTTATTTTTATACTTTGTGATTGATCAAAAGTCTCTTGTCAATTCTTCCCTTTTGTTTATTCAATCTATATATTAATTTAATTTATTTACTTCAAGTAAATGTTAACAGTTAAACAAAATACAATAATATTCAAATCGAGATTTTTCACAAATCAAAAGTGAAAATAAAAGAATGAAAAGTTTACGTAATGCACAACTCTTAAAATAGATCACATCTCAATAGGGTGAAAGAAAGATCCCATGTAGCCGATAATGGATGAATAATGGGAAAATGACACATTATTTTCCATTATTTAAAAAACAAAATGAATTGATGCATTATTATTCAATGTATTACAAAGTATTATTTAGAGTAATGTTTTTAAATTAGAAAATTCACTATTTTCGTACAAGAAATATTGAAAAAGTGATTTGACAGGTAGATGTTTGATTTGCCACAGCTTTCTGTCTATCAAGCGCTTTTCAATAAGGGTCGCGCAAGTTAAAGATCTGATAAAAAATGTAATCTGAGTTACATCGCTAAGAGTATTTTTCGAATCCCTTTTCCCTGATAATGAAAACCTACACTATTGAAAACGTGACTCAAAATCTGATCATTTATATCAGATTATCCTTTCAGTTTCCAAAATGTTTCTCCAGGTAAGCCGAATGGTTTCCGAGTTTACTCAATCGCTAAAATGTGCACTAACAACTCGACATCCGACCTCGAGTTCCTGTTTCATGCAACGAAAGACTACTAGAGTTTTGAATGCTTTTAGAATATTCTGTAGAATGAAAGAGAGCACAGTCCTTAAAGCTCTTAAAAAAAAACGTTTTCACACTTCGTCATTGCTCAGTTTCGGATGTATCAAGTGAGTTAAAACTACTCACAGTATCAATTATAACCGAGATCATGAATCATTTTGTTTTCCAAATCTGAAACCATGTCAGTAACATTGAAACAGTCTTATGTCACATATACGTCCTTCAATTGTTTTCGCTTTCAACTACAATTCAACAGGATCCAAGTGGTAAGTTTGAATTCAATAATAAGAAAAAAATATATTCATTGTCTTTTGTTTTAGATTTTTTATCGATCTGCTCGAAATGGTAAGTTACAATTCAATATTAAAATTATTTCTATTTCTTTTTGTCTATATGTTTTAGATTGATATCGATTATGATCAAAAATAAGAGAGTTGATGAAAGTTAAGGAGATAGATGTGCAGAATCACAGAGATACAATTATAGTAATTGGAATATCGATTTAATAAGATTTTATTGATCTTATGTAGCAAGTGAGGAATAAGAAATTTTCAATGAATTTTAATAAATTATAAATAATAGTGTATACAATTACGTTTCTATTGTAAAATAATGCATTGCAATGCCCATTATTTCATAAAATCAGCCCATATGGGCTGATGAGATTGATTAAGCATCAGTTGAAACGTGTCGTGCTAGCTTCCTACACACCGACACCATCGCCTGCTATTGGAAGATATGGGTTCGATTCCCGTCTTGATTATGTGATCTTTTTTGTCTAATCTTTCTTGTTAGATAAAGGACGTCGAGTATGGATATTCCTAACAGCCAAACACATAGAATGTTGTGGACAAGTAAAATGAAAATAGATAAACCTTTTCAGGATTCATTATTGATGCTTTCTCTTTCGAAAAAATATAATTTGACACTCGGCCTTAACTCTCTCTTTTCCTCTCTTTCTGTGTATTTTTCTTATCTACTATAATAAAGAAAACGACTGACGTGCAAAGTAAGCTTCAATTACAATATCTTTTGCATGTAAATTCATAAGTAAAGTAACCTGTAGATTCATTTTTATCCAAACCATATTCCACACTCCGGTGTTATTTAGTCCGCTTTTCTACTTTAACCACATACTGTAAGTCGAAATAGGCTTTTCGTATTTAAATTGAACGCATTTGTTTCTTGAAGCTGTGGGTTTAAAATAATGCACGTCTCAACTTATTGTGGATGGATTCTTATTATTGTCACCATTAGCTTTGCATCCCCGACCAAGCCATCCACCGGATGTGGTTATACAGTGAATAAATTTCAAGATTTAGTTCTTGCTTATATTGATTATAATGTTGATTGTAGGCATGTAACTTGGGCGACCCAACCAAACTAAATGTTCATATTGTATCACATACACATGACGATGTTGGATGGCTTAAAACAATCGATCAATATTATTATGGATGTAAGTGAATTATTTTCATATTCATCTCGTATAATGCATCACTATCCGACATGGGTCAAGTTTTGAGTGATCCGACCCGATTCGATCACTGCAATGCATATGATAAGAAGGGACCAAAGTTTTAAATGCTAGTCTTCAAAATAATAATCTATTTCGTTTAGCTCGCAATAATATTCAACATGCTGGTGTACAATACATACTTGATTCAGTTATTCGTGCACTGGACGAAAACGCTGACCGACGATTTATATATGTTGAAATAGCCTTTTTCTGGCGTTGGTGGAATGAACAAACCGATGCCATGCGCAATAAAGTCAGAGAATTTGTTAATGATGGTGAGCTTTGTGACATGGCCTTCTGTTTAAGATTATCTTTCAATAAGAATTTAACTTTATAAAGGACGTCTCGAGTTTATTTCTGGTGGCTGGTGTATGAATGATGAAGCAGCAACACATTACAATTCCATCATTGATCAACACAGTTTAGGTGCTGAATTTTTACGTGATCAATTTGGTGAATGTGGCCGACCAAAAATTGGTTGGCAAGTTGATCCCTTTGGCCATTCACGTGAACAAGGTTCACTTCTTGCACAGGTGAACTTTTTGTAAAAGTTGAAACAATTTCATCAAAGAGTGACATTATATACATTATTTTAGATGGGTTTCGATGGTTTGTTCCAGGGTCGTGTTGATTACCAAGATTGGCAAACACGTAACAGAACAAAAACTATGGAAATGGTATGGAAAACAAGTACTAATTTAGGTAAATAATAAAGAATGAATTGTAAATGGCAGCATGATCTAATGGAAAAATAAATAAGTGAAAACGTTGACAGTTATAAAAAATATTTTTTGCACTTTAGGCAATCAAAGTTGGCTATTTACTGCTATTTTACGTGATGAATACAGTCCACCGGACGGATTGTGTTTTGATGATTCCTGTTCTGATCCACCCATTATGGTTCGTTCAAATTTTTTTCATTTGTGTATTTCACTTGTTGTGTGTGTATTTTGCTGACTTTTCGATATTCGTCCCATAACCTTTTATTGTTCTCTGAAAAATAAATATGATCTTTATTTTATATATACTCTAGGATGATCCACGATTGCACGATTACAATGTTCCAGAACGTGTTCAAGCATTCATTCAAGCATCTCGAGATCAGGTTTGTACACGACGAAATTGGTAAAAATAATGAAATCGTATGTAAGTTTTCTTTAAAAAAAATTCGAAAGTAATTTTGGATTGAAATAGATGAAAAAATTAAAACAAAAATAATGAAATATTTAAATTAATGTATTAAATAATTTTATAGTAACTCATTTTGTTTTCTAGGCAGCTGGCTATGCTACTAATCATATAATTAGTCCCATGGGTGCCGATTTTCACTATGAAAATGCCAACGAATGGTTCAAAAATTTGGACAAATTGATCAAATATGTTAATCTTGAGGTACATATATTAATTTAGCCTTTTTTTCAACCAAATAGTGTATTTTACTAAATACAAATTTAGCAAGCTAATGGTAGTAATGTTAATACTTTCTATTCCACACCGTCATGTTATTTATATGCATTAAATAAAGCTGGCCGTACTTGGACAACGAAAACTGATGACTTTTTCCCATATGCTGATCGACCTCATGGATTCTGGACAGGTTATTTTACATCACGACCTGCTCTTAAACTTTATGAACGTCATTCAAATAATATTTTACAAATTACAAGGCAACTTAATGCATTTAGTAACAGTCAATTACGAGATAGTATTTTCGTTTTGAGTAAGAATATTTTATTCTTTCATATGTATTTAAAAGGTGTAACTTTTTTTGTTAAACACAGACGAAGCAATGGGTGTTGTTCAACACCATGATGCAGTGAGTGGAACAGAAAAACAAGAAGTTGCCTTCGATTATGCTCAACGATTATCTGTTGGCATTGATAATGCAATTGTAAGTATTCGAATAATTCCATCTTTACGCCTAAATTTCGAACACCAATATTATAAAACATGTTAATAAAAGACGTTCATGTTAAATATTTAGAGAGTTATCAATAAAGCTTTTGATAAACTTTTACCTAAAGATACTCAACCAGCACCAGGACCTCAATTTCTTTGTCAAGTAACTAATATCAGTGAATGTTTACCAATTCAGGATCAAACTCGAGTAACAACATTCATATATGTATCCTCTCTTCTTATTTTTTCTTTTATTGAATAGTTTACATTGACACTTTGGAATCCAACTGTTCATCCAGTTCTTCAGCATTATCGCGTACCTGTCACAAGATCTTATACAGTTCGTGATCCAACAGGACAACCGATTATGTCTGAGGTAACAAAATACAAAAAGCTAACAAATTAATCTCTTCTGTTTTCTTTTAGCTTATTCCTGTTTCTAACGCAACTAAAAAAATTCCTGGTCGAACCAGCACTGCTGGTAATCAATTGATCTTTAGAGCTAATTTACCAGCACTTGGTTTCAATACATATCTCTTTGAAGCTAAAAGTATACCTTTCTTGATTCACATAGTCGGTAACTAAGTTAAGATAATTTTATTTCTTCTAGCTACTGAAGAAAATCAAGAACCAAAAGTAAAAATCACACAAAATGCTGAATGTATTTTAGAAAACCAAGTGAGATAACAAAATACACGTGTAATTTTGTTTTGATTGACCTCATACGCGGCTAATTTACATTCAATCTCAAATATTTTTATACTTGCATAATCATTGCCAGTTGTCCTTCGAAATACTGCGACAGTGACTTTTCTCTAAAATTCTGTCGCTGAGAAATCAGCGGGTCTGTGATCGGCATGTCACTATGACGTTATTAGGATCAGCTTCCGTAATTACGACACCACATGTAAATCAGGGTCCCTAATAACGAAGCTACATAGAAATCGAACTAGAAGAGATACTTCTTATAGAAAACGTTTTTTCCTTGCGTTTTCATGAGGGCCAGAGCGAAGATGTCGCTGACACTTTTGAAGGTCATATTAAACCCTATCTCGATTCAAAGGTTCCTACAAAATAGTTTTCACTAGATGGCAGAGATGGGCAAGTCAGCGTTTTTTCGACTCAAGTCAAGTCAAGTCAAGTCGAGCACTTTTCAAGTCAAGTCAAGTCTGATTTCAAGTCAAGTCAATTTGAGTCATAATTCATTCAAAAAATCATCAGGTGAAGTCATTTTTTGACTTGACTTGCCCATCTTTGATTTATTATTTGTATTTTTCTTCTACATTTCAAATTAGAGTTCAAAAATTCAATTAATAAAAGTTCTCTATACATATAATTTTTGACTTGACTTGAATTTCTCTGTACGACTTGTTGCAAGTCAAGTCAAGTCTGACTTGACTTGACTTGACCCGATTCAAGTCATTTTTTGACTTGACTTGCCCATCTCTGCTAGATGGGATCCAAAAAGTCAAAAGTAGACCTTTAGAATGTTTAAAAAAATAAATATCCTTAATAACGACGCGCTACTACGTAAATGTTGACATTTATCGAATGAAAAGTAACAGCTTTCGTCCGAATCTAGAATATATATGAGAAGAATGAATATATAATCCTTTGCGTATTATTTCCCTTGATGGAACATATTCTTATTCGTTGGTTGTTGCTTTTTGAAAGATTCGGTTTAAAGAGAGCTGCATGAATGGTGTAGGCACCCAGCGGTCTATGCCGATCATCGAACTGCTAACCTGGCTGATAACTCTTATTCGATTCATATATAGATTCGATGGCTGCGAGAGATATGAAGTAGAATATCAAGCGAAACTTGGACTTGGAAAACGAGTGAAAACTATGCTTATCAATATATCTATCTCTTGTTTAGAAACTATTAGTCGATTGAGCCAAATGCATCTCATCTTAGAAAAAAATCTTTAGTTAAGCGAATTGCAATCTTACACTTGAAAAGAACTAAATAATCCACCAATCTGACAAGTCAATTGAATCTAATATGTATCATGCACAACCATAACACATTGCTGCAGGTAATGGACCGAACCGCAATATGGTTAATATATGATGATGAACTCGTCTCACTATTGTTATTTAAAAAAATATAGATAGAATCTTCTCATACTCACTTCCTTCTGAGCATGGTTGTTCAGTGAATCTAACAATAACCGAACAATCTAAGAAAGTAGCTAAAAACCCATATGAACTTATCTTTGATATATTATTGATTCAAGATCTGGACACATTACACAAACCATCATTATAGCCGCCATCGTTATCAATGTATTGAATTAATGCTAATTTATCTAGAGTTGTTTCTTTATCTTCATGAATTATCTGATGCATTGTACTTGATGATACTATTGATGGCTGATGATGTTGACAAAATATGTGATTGATATTAGGAGCTAAATAGAAAAAATAAAATTAGAAGACGAGATTTTTAAGGATGATATAGAAATGCACAGTCTGTAGCTAAATTGAAAATAAATCTATCCCCTCACCCTCAATTTTTGTGTTATGATAAATTTTGTAAATGCATAGAATTTGATTGATTTCATTCTTTAATAATAGTGTTCAAAATTGATTTTGAAAGTAAATATCTGATATCTATTCTCTGATGATACTTATAAATCGAATATCAAAACAAATATTAATGATCCAGCATTTAGTGAAAATTGGCATCAATCTGAGATTTGTCATGACCTCCGCGTATGAGGACAATCAAAGAAAACTTTTCTCGCGTCGTTATCAGGGTAATCGACTATATTACATATATTTCATTTGTCGTTTGTAGAATATTCGAGTTGAAATTGATGCTCAAGGAAATTTACAACATATTGTTAATTTAAGAAAGAGTGTTGATGTATCATTTTCAAGTCAAGGTTTCTATTGGTATCAAGGTACGTCAAAAACGATCATAAGTTCATCGATTTTACTCTCGTTCTTCTTATAACTCAGGCTTTGCTGGTAATAATTCTCATCCTGAATTTCAAGCATCTGGTGCTTATGTCTTTCGACCGCTTACACAAACGGCCGAACCTGTTAGTCAAACGCGTACAGTGTAAGTACTTTTATCAAATCTTTCTCTCTAATCTTCTCATAAAAACTAGCACCTGCATCAAAGCACTAAGTGTTCAGATAGCCGTGATTATTTTCAATGACTGGGCAAGTCAAGAAATAAGTTTATATGATGAAGCTCAACATGTTGAAGTTGAATGGACAATTGGACCTATTCCAGTCAATGATAATATTGGAAAAGAAATTATTATTCGTTACGATACTGATATTCAAAGTCAAGCAAAGTATTATACTGATGCAAATGGCCGTGAAGTTCTTGAACGAATAAGAGATTATCGACCAACATGGAACTATACAATTCTTGAACCAGTGAGTGGAAATTATTATCCAATAAATAGTCGAATATGGATTAAAGATCAAAATCGACAATTCACTGTTCTCACAGGTAAACATCATATACTTATTGAAAGAGTTTAGAGGTGTGTTAGATAATTTTGAATATTGAAATAATATAATTTGTTCTTGTTTTCTAATTGTACAGATCGGTCCGAAGGTGGTGCTAGCCTTCATGATGGTTCTGTCGAAATCATGTTACATCGACGACTTCTCTACGACGATGACCTTGGTGTTAGTGAGGCTTTGAATGAATCTGCATTTGGTGAAGGTCTTGTCGTTCGTGGTAGACATTCACTTGTTGTAGACGCATCTGCTACAAGTGCTCGTATACATCGTGTTAGTGCTCAAAATATGTACATGCATCCACTTGCTGTATATTCATTAACTCAACAAACTTTTGCTAATTATTCAGCTGCATATCGTCTAACATGGTCAGCATTAACAGACGTATTGCCATTAAATGTTCATTTATTAACATTAGATCAATTAGGATCAAAAGATTATCTTATTCGTGTTGAACATTATTTTGAAATGAATGAAGACGATACATATTCACATCCAGTGACAATTGATTTACAATCGATATTGAAATCAATTGGAACAATTACTAACACAGTTGAGTTGACACTTGGTGGAAATTTACCACTAGCTGAGTTGCAGCGACTTAATTGGGTCACTAGTGATAAGGAATCATCTCATGCGACTGATCATAGTATGTGATTTTAATTAGAATTTTTGTTTTTCATTGGCTTGTTCTGTTTAGAAGAGCCATCATTGAACGATACAAGCGTCAGACTCACACCAATGCAAATCCGAACATTCCAAGTGACAGTGGCATAGTAGATGAACAGAAATGATAAAAACTATGATATACGATATCCATTTTATTTTGCATTATTTAGGACACATATTTTCATTTATATTTTTTTCTAATTAATATTTTTATCCGGAATTGCAAGAATGAATAAATTTCTAAAGTGTGTTTTGATTTTATGCTAAGAAAGAAAACAATTATGACTTTGACTTCGTTTATAGACGTTGGATTTTTTGTTTGAAAAAGAAAGGGTGAACCGGCAGTAAAGAAAAATTGGTGTTGAGAGAGTGTTTGATTTTAGCATCTAATTTGTATATTTGGTAATTACATGCCGCAAGTGTTGTTATAATGTTGAGAACAGCTACCATAACCGGTTTCGACTCTGCTACGAGTCTCATCAAATGACTTCAATCTATTATGAATTAATTACAAGAATCCAAAACAAAGATTTATCTACATTGTTACAAAATAATAAATACAAAGATTAGGATGTGGGTGTGGGTACAGTGAAAAAAAAGGTGCCAAACGAAACCTTCGAGGTTTCGTGGAGCTGCATTATATTTTTTAGGTGTCCGTAGAGTTATACGAAATCTGTAGAAGTCTCAGAAAAATGCAAGGTTTGTAATATACTTTTAAAAGTTTCGCATTCAAAAAGGTTTGGTAAAATAGCTCGTGAAGACAACGTATTCTTGGCATATCGTAAAAAAACAAAGCGATATCTCTCGACATTGCATATAACAGAACAACTACATCACTAATGATACAATCCACTAGTGCTTTCACAATTTCATTCAATCGATTTTCATCAAATCTCATCGACAGACATCTGAACTCATCCTGGAAAACTTTTTATTGCATTCATCGCTAACTGTTTTCTCTCATCAGATCCCAGCGGTTATGATAAAGAACGTGAAGCATATTTATTGGTTGTCTTTTATCGGAGTATGATTACCATAATGCTATATTTTTTGTTAAGATTATTGTTTTGTTTTACATTGAACTAATTAATTTAGATTAGACCTTCGATCCAGTGGGTTACTATATTTCAATCATCGTCACAAAAACAATTCCTGAATCTATAGCAACAACTTTATTTGATATGCGTATCTTATTGCATTTTTTCTTTACATTTCTTTATTTAGTATTGATTCAAGTTTTGAAGTTTGGCTATAGAATCTGCAAATACATCATATCACACTTGAACTATACTTTTTCGTATTAATGGTTAGTTACCATAAGCATTAATAAATTCATTTTTCTTGTATTTTGATTCTTGGGAGAATTGCACTGTTGGTAAGTTGTTATTATAAACGATAAATTCGTTCATTCACTATTTTAGTTCCTTCATAATTCGATGATAAGTAATTTAGGATGAGAAATAAAAATTTATTTTTGTTTCTATTAAGGCTTGTCTTGAATTACATTATTAGTAAGTACTGATTAGAAATAATACATTATAGCTTATCTTCTATTTTAGTTCGTTAAGAATTCAATTATTGGATACGTTATACCATTAAAAATAATAAATTCATTTTTCTCTATTTAGATTCTTCGAACAATTCTATTTATTGGTAAGTTACCATTAGAATTAATCAATTAATTCATACTGTATTTAGATTTATGAAGAATTCTATCATCCGGAAGGTCCTATTATAATTACTATATTCGAATATTGGCTATTTAAGTTCTTGACAGTAGTGCTATTATTTTCATTAACGTATCAAAAGAATCACTCATTTTTTCATAAAGTTCAGACAAAAGAATAATATCGTTTGTGGGTGTGGGTCCTATTCTAAAAGGAATTATCTGCATTGACTTGTCCTCGCTTTGACAAGGTGGATAGTGTAATCATTCCAATGAGAAGGAACTGAATAGTTCTTGACTTTTCAGTTTCCATGAGAGTCTAAGTACTAAAATAGTGGACGTTGTGTTGTACAGCTCAATTGATGACAATCGGAATAGTAGTGATACACCCGTGAGAAGATACGTTAAACAGATTGAGATCGCCAGTGCTTTTTTGTTGAGAGAGGTGCGAAAGCAGAGATTTATGCATGAGTCTTGTATTGAATAGTGGTGCAAACCGCTTTAGCAGTGGAGTATACTATTCAGCGCAACCTTTCTCCAATGCTTCGTAGCGTATTTTATGGAACGTGAAGAGCGAAACCCTTTTTTTTATAATGGACAAAAGTATTGTCTTTTACGAAACCTAAAAGGGTTTCGATTTCGTTTAGAAAATCGGAACCTTTTTTCAATGTGTGCACATTAAACACTTGAAGCAAACTACCACACCTTTTTTTAATGATATTTCTCTCTTTCTTCCGGCACAAAGAGCACATCAAGTGTCTCTTCATTACTTTCGTTTGTGTAAACAATGAAAGCTATCTTTGGTTCTTGAATTGATTGCAAAAATTCCAACATAGCTACCAATATATATTTTGTATAATACTTGTTAGTAAGAGTCATTTCTCACTCATAAAGCTGATATTTAAATGCGTTTTTCCAATATTTCTGTAGAACATTTGTCCACTCCGCAAATTATATAAATGTGTGCTATCATAGCCTGGGTGGTATCTATTTTTATCATTGTCCACTCAATCAGATGATATCCAACTTCCATATTATTTCCGGCACTGTGGAGCTGGTTGCTGCTACTTTTAGAATCTTGCCCATCTTGTACGCATTTATGGACAATATTGAACCAGATTTATTATATATAAGCTCCTTTGTGCCGACACTCCTGCACAATTTTCTATGAGCATTCTACATGTATGGTGGAATACTCACATCCGTCAATCAGTCAACTAAGTCTCGACAGAGTACAAATGCTACGGATACGGCTACGTATTGTGCGGAGCCCTTGCAAGCTTTGACAAACGCTGTAGTCCTTATATGTTGGATTCCGACTGGATGCTTGACTTGCATAACTTGATGTGTCTGCTGCTACCTTATAGTATCGGAAGGTGTTTAATATTATTACCTTATTTACCCTCAACCATCTGACTAATTCTATGCTGTTTTCTCATTGTACTAGGTATATGTTTTTGGAGTTCAGAAGTTTTTTTCAAAGTTTCGAGGGTGAAGCCAGCAGATAAAACCATTCCACGACAAACGATTGTTTCTGTCTAGCCAGGGCGTTATGGGTGGTGTGGTGTATGGGTGTGAGCGTTAGGTGACTCCTAATTCTCCCATATACTTACACACCCACACCCACACCCATGCTGCCATAAAAATTATCGGTTGCTGTATCTTCTATCAGGTTGCCTTTTATTCTTCAGAAAAGGATACAGGAAAACTAAAAAGCATGAGAATAGTCAATATAATGAAAAGCACGCATAGATACCCGTATACATATGTATGTACATATCAACGAGAAGAAAGAATATATAGATCAAGTAACAAAGTCATATCATTATTATTCCCACTTAACTTCATCAGAATCATCTTTCGATCGAACCTTTGTTTCTACTACAGAATAAAACAGAGAAAATTAATAGCTCTGATTCATTTTTATTGATTTATCTATTTTCAAAACCAAACAAAGATAGTATTGCCAGTAAAGCAAGAACCCACCAAATTTCCTGGTGTTTTATCATCACTACTTTTCGAAAAAATCTTAGTGCAATTGAGTAGGGAACGATGGTTTGATTTTGTTACTCGTGAATCTCTGATAGAACGGAAATAACCTTTCTTCTATGTGATATATATATATACATGTATACGGTGTTCAAAGTCATCGAATAGTTAGAGAAAACTATTAATTATTAGTATTATGTGAACTTAGTCCGACCGATACAATTTTGTTTTTTTCAACACGAAATTCCCAATTTTGAACCGGTGATATAACATTATTAAATGGAGCGTTCACCACTAAATGTCCACATTGAATTTTCTCTATTATTGCAGCTTGTGTCCATGTTCCCATATTATAGGTTACTTCTTTTATTAACTCATATTCGTTTTTCTTAATAGTATATGTGCCAGAACTTAATTTAGGTCCTGATGGTTGAGACCGAAATACAGTACAGTGAATTGTTGACCTTTGTGCATTATAGATAACAGCTGAATAAACAATAGCTGGTGCAGGCAAAGGTGAAATTCTCGATGTAAGCAATAAAGTAAAAATAGCAAAGTAAATCATCATCATTATAAATTTATATCTAAAAATGCAAAAGAAAATTCAAACATTGAGAAGCAGATTGATTAACTTGGTTTTATATCAAATATTACTAAATTTTCAATCAAAGAAAACGTGTCACATTATGGATTTAGTGTCACAAAAAAATGTTAACTTAACAAGGTAACGCGACGTTTGCGTCGCCAACCCTCTACTGAAAGGATTTAGTCATGTGCAGCGTAGCTATCCTAGACTATCTAGCTGAGAGACTTCACATTTTATAGCTTCTAGCTTCGAAACGATTTTTCATGGAAAACACGATTGATAACCGAGCATAAATAGAAAACTTNATTCTTGAGTGCACGTTCACACATAGATAAATCTGAGGTTTACATCTTTTGAATCAAACCCACTCGCAATCGGGAAAAACTAAACTTATTAAGATAATCACGACATATAAATTTCAAATATTTCACATGAGCTGAGCAATTATTTCACGACCTGTCGTCGGAAGAAATTCAGAATATGTCCTATTTTCGAAAGTTGTTTCAACAGTTCTGATCGAGACAACGTGTAACTGTTCTATAAGTCTGAAAGGCAAGTAGTCCGATAATAACAACAGTTTTTCAACTAGTGGGAGCGGCTAGTCATTCGTCGGTGCCGCAGAGGAGCGCCACTCACAACTAGCCACCCCCACTTGCTTTGTCTCATATATGCGTTGAATGTGATCCTTTTAAACACTGCATTATTGATTGAAAAGGTTTACCTCATTCTATAATTATTAGATAAAAACGAAGAGAATTTAAAAAAAAACGAAAACAACAGTTGTGGGATTAATTCAATTCAGTTACATCTACAGATGCGATGAATTCATCACAATTTAGAGAAGAATGAGACATGATTCCCTAGTACTTATCAGTTTGCGTCCGTTCGTAGATGCGCTAATCTAGAATTCTAGGAGTTAAGTTTGAATAAATTCTTCGTGATGCAATAAAAGTTGACATATCAAGAATAAACTGAAGATTTTGAGAAAAGCGTTCAAACTCTCAGTGCAGGTAAGCGGCTAGTCGTTCGTCGGCGCCCCTATGGAGCGTCACTCACGGCTAGCCGCTCCCAAATTGATAATCAATTCAACCGCACGATGCCTATAGCCTATTCGTAACAATATCTCACATAACCATACCATACATCTAACACTATAAACATCATCGAATGGTATCCTCAAAAAGTTTCCCTACAAAGCATTCCTATCAAGAAAATGTGACGATCTAAACAGCTCCTAATCCATTACAAACTTGCTTGAAGTACAAAATCTCAAAAATCTGACAATGCCATCGTGTTCCCCGACCCCAGTTACCTTCTGTCAACCCTTATAAAAAAATTTTTTTTTCCTAAAAAAGTCTCTCTCTCTCCTAAAAAAAAGCAAAAAGCAAAATCTCAAAATCTGACAACGCCATCGTGTTCCCCGACCGCGATTACCTTCGCTCAAACCTATGCCTACAGATATTGTTTGAGGTTACTTTAGTTTATGGATCTGCTTTCCTATTGGACGAACGAACGCATTTAACTCACTTTTCGTAAGACCCTCCTTTCAGTAGAGGGAATATGAAAATAGATATGGCAATTCTTTCTTTTCATAGTATCCTATTTTTGGAATTTGATTATAAAAGGATGCATTCTTGTTGTTCATTACAAATTAATCACTCGAAATTATTCTATACAATATGCACCTTTCTCGTCTAGATTAACAACCTGAAATGTTTTGGCGAAAGTCTACAATAGTATCAACTATGATAGAGAAAAACACTTTTAAGATATGAGAAAATATTGCAAAATAGTTTAATCGGTTTAGTTATAATGTGTCATGTTGTAAATATATCCGACTATAATTAGCGGTGAATTGAAGGTCTTTATCACATGGGGTATCTATGTACTAATAAGAATTGAAGGTATGTGAGTCCCAGGGCGTTCAATCCCAGTATAGGAACCGATCGAAACCTATCCGATCCAACAAGAAAACCAACGAAATCCTATCGGATTTCAAAAGTATTTAGCGCAATTCCTATCGGATTCCGGGTTCAGGAATTGATGTTGGATCATCAGGGTCGGATTGCAATAAATTCCTGGATACAGAATCCTAATCTGGGAAAGTTTCTAAATCCGACAATCCAATTACCGAGAAATTCCAACTGTATCCAAACCGCGGATGGACCCAAATTCCCATTGGGAAAATCCCCATGAAATCCACATCGGATACCAAACTATTCATACTTTGGAATAAAAGATGTGCGATGGCGTGTGTTTATCACACGAAAAGAACGAACACAAAAGAAAAGAAAATGAATTTCGACTGGGAATCGAACCCAGGTAGTATCCACTCTGGTAACTAGCCAGAAGCTTTAACCAACTAAGCTATCGAGACTCAGTCTACATTCATCTTCAATTCGATGTGAACATACATTTAATCTTTCCAGTGACAAACACACGCCGTCGCGCATCTTTTACTCCAGAGTAGGGGTGGGCCATTAACATTAATTTTATATTAATGTTAATGTTTCTCATTAACCATTAAGATTAATGGTTAATGTTTTCTAAGAAAAACTTAATTCATTAATATTAATGATTAATGAAAAACATTAACATTAATTTTAAAATTAATGTTTTCATTAATCATTAATATTAATGTTAATGTTTTCATTAAAATCAATGACTTAAAATTAATGGTTAATGTTTTCATGAAAGCATTACAACTTCCCATATTAAGTAATTAACACTTTCGGAGAAAACATTAGCTATTAAGATCAGGTAATTGATTAATAATTGTAGATAATGTTTCCTTAGAAAAGCCTAATTCAGTAATATGGAAAAATTAATGTTTTCATGAAAACATTAACATTAATATTAATGATTAATGAAAATATAATCCCTAATATTAACGAAAACATTACTATTCATACTAATGGTGAATGTTTCCTTTAACCGTTAATATCATTCAAGAACATTGACATTAATATTAATGATTAATGAAAACATTAATTTTAAAATTAATGTTAATGTTTTTCATTAATCATTAATATTAATGAATTAAGTTTTTCTTAGAAAACATTAACCATTAAGATTAATGGCTAATGGAAGTCATTAATTAATGTCATTAATTAAGTTCCGTTAAAAAAAATGGTCCAACCCTACTCCAGAGTATGAATAAAATTAAGTCCTGTCATATATACATTTGCATATATATATATATATATATGGTACCAAACTACTTTCCTAAGGAACTCCGACAGTATCCGCAACTAGGATTCATCCATATTCCGATCGGTGATAGTTCCGATAAAAAACTCATAGGAAACTGTGGGACCTTGCCGAGATCCCACCGTATCCTTTAAAAATCCAACAATAGGATCACAATACAGATCCAACCAACAAAAACCGTCGGATTTCTCCAAGGTCCTATCGAATCCAACAAAAATCTTCCAATATCCGACATTCGAATCTACTCATACGATGGTTATGATTATTTGCACATTTGGAGTTCACAATGGGTGTGGGCGTGTGAGGGTGTGGGTGTGTGAGGGTGTGGGTGTGTGTGTGTGTGTGTGGGTTGTATAGCATAAATAGGAAAAAAAAGAATAATAAAGAAAAGATTAAGATTCAGATTAGGAATCGAAAATAGGAAATTTGTTGTTGATTGGTTGAATAGAAATATAAATTTCTATTTTGTGAAATGATTGAAGTTACAGCGGGGCCTCTGTAACACTTTCTATCTCAGTTTTTTCAATATCTTCATATTAAACACAAAAATGCATGTTCATCTTTCCTCATTTTCGCTGTCATTATTATCTACACTGCTATATTGTAAAAATCAAACACATGGCTAATGTAAAAATATCGATGATCGCATAAGACTACTTACCAGCCGATGTAAAAACGCTTATTTTTTTAATGGGAGTTTACAAGATGTATTACTTTTTATATATAATCGTTACATATTGTTTCTTTTTTTCTAACATAAAATATTTACCTGAGTCAATGAAGTGTGACTCTAATTTCACTGCTTCTTAATTTCGCATATCAAAACATTGCTGCATGTACACCGCCAAGTCGCCAAATAAATGATTCATATTTTGCTTTCAATTGTGACCAGTGCAAAAAAACGATAGGCATCCTACTATTTCTTTTCATCAAGTTAGCGCGTGGGTGACTGTATAAAATAACATTAACCAGACACAGATCCTCATACCGACACCCTAAGAAACCATTTTTGACGCAAAAGTAAAATAATCAACCGCTGTGCGTAGAGTAATAAACTTTTCCGATCCAACAGTAGAACAATCGATCTCTCTACGTAGAATGATAAATCCTTTCGATAAAAGAGCGGAAATATCAACTCCTGCACGATGAACACTGAACTTCTTTCAACAAAACAGAAGTAGAATCAACTATCAATCGAAGATAAAACTATCCCTTGAGATGCTAAGATAGATAAGCCGATACACTGAAAAAAACGGTATTTTACCGAACCTAAAAAGGTTTCGAATTTTGAAACGAATTCTAAACCTTTTTACGATACTGTACCGAACTTTAAAGGTTTCGTGTGACTTTACGAAACCTTCAAAGTTCGATACAGTATCGTGAAAAGGTTTAGAATTCGTTTCAAAATTCGAAGCCTTTTTAGGTTCGGTAAGGTACCTTTTTTTCAGTGTATTTGCCAGTAGAATAAAAGAACCTGTCAATGAAGAGGCATAGAATCGAGCATTCACGTACAGGACTAAACCCTTTTTATTAAGATGTAAATAAATCAACTGTTGAACGTGGAATACTAAACCCTTAGCAGGAAATGGTAGCAGAATCTATCCTTAGGCGTAGAATAATGAACTGTTTCTGAGAAGGGTAGCTTACTCTACGCAGAAAGGCAGAGTGATGCACCCTTTTAACGAAAAAGTAAAATAGTAAACCCGATAACGAAGAATAAAATACCCCTACCTTGAAACTGAACAACTATCTACTATCATCCGTTGGCGTATATA